AAGAAAGCAACGGGGACTAATGAACTCTCCATTAACCATGTTCCATTCTTTCAACTCGAGTCAAATGTCGGTCCCCATTAGGCAATTGGCTTTGACAGAAGCTATGCTAATTACCACTTACCAACCTTTAATTTCTGGGTAAAAGCAAGGGGAAAAAAACTAATGGATTTTTCATTTTCCAGCGAGAAAGGAATAAAATAATAGTAGGTCTGCTTAAATATATATTGCATTAATTACAAGAATTAATAACGTGCCTTTTTATTCACCAGATTGTTTAGCTATTTAATTTCCTAATTAACTTTCTTTTTCCCTTCAGAGTTTATCCCTATTTTTATTTTATTTGTAGAGTTCTGCCTTAAGTTATTTTGGCTGGATTTTATGCTAATTGAAGTTCTAAGAGCTTGGAAATCTATTCACACAGTTCTCTGCACAGCTTCTACAGTGAGTCTTACACCCTGTTTGAACAAAACTTGCACTGGAGGGCAGGAGGCTCTGTTCCCCCTGGCATTTCCACAGCACAGACTCTAAAAGGTGACTACATTTATGCAAGGTTGTATTGTATGTATATGTGGCGGGGAGGGTGGAGAGAACTGGTGCTTGAACTCAAGCCCCAGAGCTTTTCCTTAGTTTATGTTGGTGTGCTACCACTTGAGTCACACACCCACTTCCAGGTTTTTTGGTGGTTAACTGGAGGCAAGAGTCTCACAGACTTTTCTGCCCAGGCTGGCTTAGAACCACAGACCTCAAATCTCAGTCTCCAGTGTAGCTAAGATTACTGGTGTGAGCCAACAGTTCCCACTAATGACTTCAATAAGACAAATGTTTTGTTGTTTTTAATCACTTACACAATTAAAGTGCTGAATGAAAGCTGGAGTGTATGCTCAGTGGTAGTGTGTTCTCAGTGTGTGAGAAACCCTAAGTTCAAGCCCCAACACCAGAAAATAAAGAAAAAAAAAATTTTTTTTTCCTTTTTTTGCCAGTCCTAGGGCTTGAACTCAGTGCCTGGGCACTGTCCCTGAGCTTCTTTTTGCTCAAGGCTAGTGCTTTACCACTTGAGCCACAGTGCCACTTCCAGCTTTTTTTTTGTTGTTGTTTATGTGGTACTAAGGAATGGAAGCCAAGGCTTCACTCGAGTGCTAGGCAAGTGCTCTACGCTAAGCCACATTCCCAGCCCAAAAGAATGACTTACCATTATGAGAAATCAGAAATAGTAGGTTGTTCATCCGTCTTCCCTTCCAGTTTAGAAACTAATTATTTCCCTTCTTTTCAATACCTACACAGGTTTTCCTTTTCTATCAAAATGGAATCCATCTCTCTACTGAGGAAGTTACTAGTTAAGATTCAGGGCCTCCCACCCACAGGTGTTACTTAAATGGTGGTTTCAGTATCTCCCAAGTTTACAGGTCCAGAGTTCTGAAAGCCTGGAATGCTCTTCTTCAGCTCTGAAACAGGAGTGTTAGGAAGGGCTTCCTTGAGAATGCCAGTCCTACCCAATACTTGCCCTACACTTCAGGATTTTTATTCAGGTGACACAGGCTGGAAATAATAGCAAGTGGATGAATTGAAGCTGTCCAGGTTCTGACACCCCAGAACCTCAATACACTTCTGATTACATTTAACTACAGTGTAGTTTAAGTCTACAGTGTAGTTTAAGACTTTGAGAATACAGTCTACTTGGATTGGGCATTGACTCAAATGGTAAAGCACCTGACTAGTAATCATGAGGCCCTGAGTTAAATCCCCAATACCTACATAAGAAAAAAAAAAAGGACCCAAATATTCATGGTAAGGAATTGCCATTTCACTCTTACTTGTTAAATCATGGGCATATTCACCTAGCCTAACATGGCAGTAAATGCCAACCAACCTTTTTTTTTTGGTTGTTGGTCGTGGGGTTTGAACTCTGGGCCTGGGCGCTGTCCCTCAGCTCTTCAGCTCAAGGCGAGCGCTCTACCACTTGAGCTACAGCGCCACTTCCGGTTTTCTGGTGGTTTATTGGAGATAGGAGTCTCACAGTCTCTCCTGCCCGGGCTGGCTTTGAACCGCGATCCTCAGATCTCAGCTTCCTGAGTAGCTAGGATTATAGGCGTGAGCCACCAGTGCCCGGCCCAACCAACCTTTTACCAAGGCCTCTGAACTAAAGTAGCCCACATTTGATGGATTTCTTGGCAGTAGAACCCCATTATCCTCAGATCCCCAATCTTAAAGTTCTGTGATGGAGGATCCCAACTGAAATGGAAAAACAATGAATGCTTATTTCTTCTAGAAAGACCTTTAAAAGACGAAGTTCTGGAGTTAGCTGGCCATTTAGGCACACATCTTCTGCCAGAGCACTGACCCAATTCTTGGCCTCCTACAGCTGCTGCGCTGGGAAATGTGGACACTATTAAGTCCCTTCCATCACATTAGACTTTACTCAGCTAGTAATTATGAATATGCGCTCAGCTCTGCAGAAAGCACAACGGAATGGTCAGCAGTCATGCTTGGGGTCTGCTCCCCTGGTGTCTGGAGAAGAAGATAATGTCCCAAACTTTCAATTCTCATCTAGGAAGTTAAGTCCATTTCCTACAACTACAAAATCCCACTGCAGTGGCCTCTGTACCCGAATCTTCTCTCGAGATTTCTACCTTACAAACTTCTTTTGTGTGTGCTAGTTCTGGGACCTGAACCCAGGGCCTGGGTGCTGTCTTTGAGCTTTTTTGCTCACGACTGCCATACCTCCACTTCTAGCTTTTTGGTGATTAACTGGAGATAGGAGTCTCACGGTCTCTCCTGCCTGGGCTGGCTTTGAACTGAGATCCTCAGATCTCAGCCTCCTGAGTAGCTAGGATTACAGGCGTGAGCCACCAGCGCCCAGCTCCTTCCTTCCTTCCTTCCTTCCTCTCTCTCTCTCTCTTTCTTTCGTCAATCATAGATAGGGCTTGAACTCTGGGCCTGGAGGCTGTCCCTCAGCTCTTCAGCTCAAGGCTAGCACTCTACCACTTGAGTTACAAGCTGGGGTTAGAGGCATGGCTCAGTTGGTAGAGCAATAGCCAATGAACAAAAGCATCAGGTACTGAGTTCAAGTCCCAGTCTCAGATCCAAGGAGAAAGCAAGCAATCGGGAGCCTGCAGCTTACACCTGTAATCTTAACTACTCAGGAGACTGAGGGATCATGGTTCAAGCCAGATCAGGCAGGAAAGTCTGTGAGACTCTTATCTCCAATTAACACCAGAAAACCGGAAGTGGCGCTGTAGCTCAAGTGGTAGAACGCTTGCTTTGAGCTGAAGAGCTGAAGGACAGCGCCCAGGCCCAGAGTTCAAGCCCCACGGCTGACCAAAAAAAAAAAAAAAAGAAGGAAGGAAGAAGGGAGGGAAGGAGGGAAGGAGGGAGGGAGGGAGGGAGGGAGGGAGGGAGGAAAAAAGAAAACAAGCAACTTGTTTTTTCCTCTTTTTTTTCTTTTTTGCCAGTCTTGGGGCTTGAATTCAGGCCTGGGCACTGTCCCTGAGATACTTTTACTCAAGGCTAGCACTCTACCATTTGAATCACATCACCACTTCTGGCCTGAGAAACTGAACCAGGGCTTCATGCATACTAGGCAAGCACTCTACCACTAAGCCACATTCCCAACCCTGTTGGCTCCTAATTTAAATCAAGCAAACCAAGTCCTGTTCAGTGAGTGTCTGGGCAGTTCATCAGCATTCTCTGGTCTGTTTGAATGGAATTCTTCTCACTTAACCACTATTCACTGGAAATTACAGAGGAATGAGGGAAACATATGAAAATTATACACAAAATATATAGCACATGTCATTGTCCTAGACAGTGTCCTAGGGCAGACAGCCTTCTGCTGCTGTGTGTCTGGTTTGAAATAATACTTTCATGAGGAGATGTCTTTCCTCACAAATCAAAACTGAAGCCATAGTCTACAAAAAGAACTGGACCAAATTAAGTTGTTAATTAAAACTGATACATAATAGCAAATTCCAATGTAACTTTTATAAACCTGTCCACATGATGTCTATTTAATAGCATATCACTTGTTTTTAAATTAATTTTAGCTAAAACCAGAGGAATAATTACTTTGCTCTTTGAGCACAATGTTAAAACAAAAACTTGCTTGAGGCCGCCTACTAGTGGCTCATACCTGTAATCCTAGCTACTCAGGAGGAAGCTGTTAATTTTTATTTTTATTTTTTTTGGTTGTGGGGCTTGAACTCTGGGCCTGGGCGCTGTCCCTCAGCTCTTCAGCTCAGGGCTAGCACTCTACTACTTGAGCCAGAGTGCCACTTCTGGCTTTTTTCTGCTTATGTGGTACTGAGGAATTGAACCCAGGGTATCATGCGTACAAGGCAAGCACTCTACCATGAGCTCCCTTCCCAGCCCCTATATATATATATTCTTAAAAGAAAAATAAATGTAAATAAGATGCTATTCTGAACTCCTAAATCTGTAGCTATTTTACATCAAAGGAGGGAAGATGTCACTTCCAGCACAAGAATTGATAAGAAAAAAAGCTACCAATATCAAAAGTGTTCTCTTTGGGTTCCAAATTACTCCAAATACTGTTGGTATTGGGTATTATCAAAAATTATTTATTTGTTCATTTTTCTTTATTATTACTATAAAGGTAATGTACAGATGTTATAAAGATGTAGCCATACAGTTGTATTGTTATGTAAAGGTGATGTCTGATTGATTGTGCTAGTATTGGGGCATGAACTCAAAGCTTCACACTCCTGTTTTTGTTTTTGCCAATCCTACGACTTGAACTCAGGACCTAGGAGCTCTACTTGAGCTTTTTTGCTCAAGGTTAGTGCTCTACCATTTGAGCCATACTTCTACTTCCATCTTTTTGCCAGCTAGTTGGACATTCCAGCCTAGACTGGCTTTGAACTGTGATCCTCAGATCCCAGCCTCCTAAGTAGGCTAGGATTATAGCATGAGATACCAGCTCATAATGTACATTAAAAAAATACTTCACAAATGACATTGGAAAGGGAAGAAAGGCCCTTGCTATTTAATATGCTTTGTCTGGATCCATCACCGCATTTCACATGTGTAAGCAGGGTGAGGTTTATTTGCAGGAGGAGAAGGTCTTCCAGAAGAAATTCTTGCAGCGGGTTTTCTCTGTTTTCTCCCGGCGTGGGGGCTGCTGAAGGGGTGGATCTTCCTGGCGCTTGGCTATGTTGCTGGTGTCTCCTCCGATGAGAGCCCCGGCATGAGCCTGGGCGGTCCACTCATGCCACCAAGCCAGGAAAGTCAGGAGGCTGTTTGCCTTTACTTCAGCCCCTTCCTGCAGAGGCTTTTACAGAGAAGCAGATGATAGAAGAAAGAAAAGTCAACCTTTGGACTCAGCCAACATTAAAGATGGCCAATCTGATCTCTTCCTTACAAAAGGAAACGAAAGATACTCATTAACCATAAATCACATTTTCATTTAAAGGACGAGAAAGAGAATTCCTTAAAGAAATTACTCTAATTGGAGAAAACGAAAAGTTGCTAATTCTCAGACAAGAGAAAAAGCCATCATTCTTGCTGAGGTTCTTAATTAGAAGAGGCCAGGAAATCCATCATATTCTGGCCCCTTCCTCAAGAGACTAGCAGGCAAATAAGAAGCCTCAGAGGTGATGGCAGATCAGCTAATTTAGCTTGCTTTCTCATCTTTAGATACTCCTGGACATCTGCAAATCGCCCTCCAAGACAGGTCGGATTGAGATGCTAAATTCTGTTCTCTTAAATTCCTTAGGAAGCTTCCTGATGATAAATGACTATCTGAAACTTATAAAGTAATTTCGGAGAAAAATCCATTTTTAATGGCCAACTTTTATGTACTTTTTTCTTGGAACTTTTTCAAAAAGGAAAGAAGAGGAAATAAATCACCTCATGAAGTTACAAACTCTCACTATGGTGAATGTAATGATGCCAATTAATCGGAGCTAGTGAGAGAGTAGGGCTGGGGCTATAAATCAAGGCTCTGCATGTACGCGGGAGGAATACTGGCAGGAGTCACTCAAGTGTACCACATAGCCTGGAGGAAGCATTTAGTGTCTCAGACTGGCAGATGCAGGACATGCTCCCCCGAATGCAGAGATCTTACAGAGGTAAATGTGGTCTCAATGGGACCTTCCAGACTCTCACGATGGTCACAATGCCAATAGAGAAGCTGAAGCTGGGTTGTAGTGGCTCATGCCTGTAATCCTAGCTACTCAGGAGACTAAGATCTAAGGATCAAGGATAGAAACTAGCCTGGGCAGGAAAAGTGAGACTTTTATCTCCAATTAACCAGCAAAAAGCTGTAAGTGCAGGTATGGCTTAAGTTGTAGAGCATCAGCCTTGAGGGAAAAGCTCAGGGACAGTACCAAGGTCCTAAGCCCCAGTACTAGCACCAAAAAAAAAAGGAAAAAAAGAGACAAGCTGAGAACAGGCTAGCTAGGCAAACAGGGCCTACTCACCACACGGTCCTGGCCGGCGGCGCCCCGCTCCGGCTGAGAAGCTGTGGTGCCCCAGAGCAGCAGCAGCAGCAGCCCGCACACACACGGCCACTTCCTTCCAGCTCTGGCATCGCCCATCCTTGGAAGCCCCGAGACCTGAACCTGCGTTTGTGGATGTACGCGTCTTCTTTGGAGATGAAGGCTCCAGGGCCAGTGGTTTTTGTGTCTATCCATGTTGGTCATAAACCGCGACGCCTCTCCGCACGCTCACATGCAGTGACGCACGAGCCAAGCAATCAAGGCCCACAAAAGCATTTGGGGGTTGGATTTAGCCCCTTAATTAAAGCCTCAGGTCTTTTCCTGTGTTTAGAGTGAATTTGCTCTTATTTTGGAATGCATGTGTGCTTGCTTCTGAGAAAGTTCTACTTCCTCGTAATTATGCCTATAGCCAGCAGGAAGCCATGAGAACAAAACCAAGTGATTTAACATAATATAAAATTAGCCTTGGATAAGGAGCTTAAAATATGAAAATCTGCCCAAATATAAAGTCTGACTGAGGGGCTGGACACAGCTTGGGAGAGTACGTGCGGAGCATGTGTGACGCCTGCTTCCATTCCCAGCACCCAAAGAGAAAAACAAACGCACCCGAGAACCAGCGACGAGGGCTCAGGAGGACACAGTGGCAGCACCTCTGGGTCCACTCGACTCCAGGCAAGGATGAGCCGGCTACTGCGCCCTAGCACCGCCTTCTGCGACACAGGCCATACCCCTGTCCCTGGGTAGCGGGTGCAAGAGGAGCCACAAGCCCTTCCCCTCCCCCGTCTCCAACAAACCCACAGATCCCACAGACCTGGTGGTTCCCAAACCCCCACAGAGGACAAAGACCAACACTCGTGTATGTTTCAAGTGGAGGGCTCCAGCCTCGTACACAGGCTCAGGGTCAGCGCACAGGCCCCAACTCAAGCCCCAATGGGGCACCAAAAAAGAAAGAGAGAGAGAGAGAGAGAGAAAGAAAGAAAGAAAGAAAGAAAGAAAGAAAGAAAGAAAGAAAGAAAGAAAGAAAGAAAGAAAGAAAAAAAGGAAAGAAAGAAAGAAAGGAAAGAAAGAAAACCACAAAAATCTCTGAAATTGTGAGGTGCTGGTGGCTCTTGCCTGTAATCCAAGCTACTCAGGAGGCTAAGATCTGAGGACCATGAGGCAAGGAAATCAGTGAGGCTCTTCAATAAACTACTCAAAAAAGCCAGAAGTGGAGCTGTGGCTCAAGTGGTAGCGTATTTAGCCTTAGGCAAAAAAACTCAGGGACAGTACCTAGGCCCTGAGTTCAAGCCCCAGGACGGACAGATGGACATGGACACACACACACACACACACACACACTCCTCTGAAATTCACACAGCTACTAAATTGGTAAATCAAGATACAAATTAAGATCTGCCAGGTGCTGGTGACTCACTCTCATAATCCTAGTTACTCAGGAGGCTGAGATCTGAGGATCACAGTTTGAAGGCAGCCTGATGAATAAAGTCCATGAGACTCTTCTTTCCAATGAACCACCAGAAAACCAGAAGTGGAGCAATGGCTCTAAGTGGTAGAATGCTAGCTGTGAGCAAAAGAGCTCAGAGACAGCACCCAGTCCCTAAGTTCAAGGCCTACAACCAAATAAACAAACAGAGGAGCACCAGTGGCTCACACCTGTAATCCTAGCTACTTAGAAGGCTGAGCTCTGAGGATCATGGTTCAAAGCTAACCCATGCAGGAAAGTCCATGAGATTCTTTTTTCTTGTTGGTCATGGGGCTTGAACTCTGGGCCTGGGTGCTGTCCCTCAGCTCTTCAACTCCAGGCGAGTGCTCTACCGCTTGAGCCACAGCACTACTTCTGGTTTTCTGGTGGTTTATTGGAGATAAGAGTCTCTTAGACTTTCCTGCCCAGGTTGCCTTTGAACCATGATCCTAAGATCTCAACCTCCTGAGTAGCCAGGATTACAGGCAGTGCCCAGCTTATCCATGAGATTCTTATCTTTACTTAACCATCAAAAAGTCAAAAGTAGAGCTGAGAATGTGGCTTAGTGGTGGAGTGCTTGCCTAGCATACATGAAGCCCTGGGTTCGATTCCTCAGTAACACATAAACAGAAAAAGCTGGAAATGATGCTGTAGCTCAAGTGGTGGAGTGCTAGTGTTGAGTAAAAGCAGCTCAGGGACAGTGCCCAGGCCCTGAGGTCAAGCACAGGACTGGCAAAAAAACAAACAAACACAAAACACAAAGAAGTCAAAAAGTAAAGCTATGGCTCAAGTGGTAGAGTACTTGTCTTGAGAAAGAGAAGCTGAGGGACAGTGCCCAGGCCCTGAATTCAAGTCTCAGCGCACACACACACACGCACGCACGCACGCACGCGCACACACACACACAGTCTTTGAAAAAAAAAGTAAGAAAGGAAAGGCTGGGCGTTGGAGGCTCTGAATTCAAGTCTCAGCACACACGCACACGCACACGCACACATACACACACACACTCTTTTAAAAAAAAAAGTAAGAAAGGAAAGAAGGCTGGGCGTTGGTGGCTCATGCCTATAATCCTAGCTACTCAGGGGGCTGCGATCTGAGGATCACGGTTCAAAGCCAGCCCAGGCAGGAAAGTCCATGAGACTCTTATCTCCAATAAACCACTAGAAAACCGGAAGTGGCGCTGTGGCTCAAGTGGTAGAGCGCTTGCCTTGAGCTGAAAAGCTGAGGGATAGCGCCCAAGCCCAGAGTTCAAGCCTCATGACCGACAAAAAAAAAAAGTATGAAATACCATTTAAATACCATTTCTGATATGGCAACCAAAGTGGCACAGGTTTAAAAACAACACTAGTAGTCAGAGAGCTAAATAAATACAGCTTTATTCACCTAGGCTGCACTAAACTAGAAGCTGTAATATAGTGAAGAAATAACCGTGATTTCTGTGTGAAAAAAAAAATCAGTCATGTTTAATTGCTAACAACATTTTACCAGCTGCAGGATACTGAAGTCATGGGACATAGCGTTCACATTCAGGCCTTTCTCACAGGCTTGAGGAAGACATGGAGATATTTTGCTGGAATCCCCAGCTTTCTTTTAAACTAGCTTCTGAAGTTAATGGCTTACAAAATACAGCACATAAGCCACCTCACCATTTTTTTTTTCTTTGAAAGCATCTCTATTTATCCTGTCAGAATTCACTTTGTGGCAGGCAGGGACATCATTATAACTCTACCCATCTCTAAGCAAGTCCAAGATGAGACCTCCACTTAAGTCAGAACTGAATATGTTGTTGGGGGGGGGGGGGGGCGTGGGGGTGGAGGGGAGGAGTATGTGGAGTAAAGTTCCCCTTACAGAGGGAGGCATGGTGGGAACAAAATACCAAGTTCAGAGAGAGAGAAACAACCAATCAGCAAGGCCCATGGGCAAGCAGCAGCCAATCAGAAGAATCTCAAGTAACACCATTAAAATCTGTCCCCAAGCCCACACCAGCACAGCAGCAGCAGCCTCTGCCTCATGGCAAGGCTGCCTATGCGGTCCTTAGCCACATTCAAATAGTTTTGCTACTCGTGGAAAAAAAGGAAGAAAGGATTCCCTTGGCGACACTACTCAGGGCCGAGGCAGCTCTACCTGCTGAAGGCCGCCTTATTCCAGAGCAGAGAAAACACTTCACTCTCACTCTACCATCTCTTCGTCTGCGTGCTCCCTGGGGTTTTTGTTTCCATCCTCCAATTTCTTTTTCTTCTTTGTTTTTCGTTCTAGATTAAACTGAGCAATCTCCTCATTCTTCTCTGTGATGTATTTTAGCTACAAGAAAATAAAATGAGGCTGTATTACTGTATTTAAAACTGGTGGGAAAACACTGTATACACCTGAGGGAGAAATAACCAAACTACACCCATCCTAACCATTTCTACTTAAAGAACTTGTGGAAAAAAATAGAATAACCTTGGTGACATTACAGTTAAATCAGTTGCTTTTATTTTCTTCCTTGGAAAAATCTATGTCTTTCCAAGAACTATTTATCAATGTAAAAATTCCTTGAGTAATTTAAAAAGTTAAAAATGTAAAGTTTAGCCGGGGGCCAGTGACTCATACCTGTAATCCTAGCTACTCAGGAGGCTGAGATCTGAGGATTACTGTTCAAAGCCAGCCTGGGAAGGAAAGTCTCATCTCCAATAAACCACCAAAAAACTGGAAGTAGTACTGTAGCTCAATTGGTAGAGCACTAGCTTTGAGCTGAAGAGCTGAGGGACAGCGCCCAGGCCCAGAGTTCAAGTCCCATGACCACCACCACCACCAACAACAAGAAAAAAGTAAAGTTTAACCAAGAATGAGGACACACACCTGTAACTCAGCATTCAGGAGGCTGAGACATCAGAGTTCAAGGCCAGCCTGGACTGCATAAACAGTTTGTCTCAAAAACAAAAGCTGGCTGGGCACCGGTGGCTCACGCCTGTAATCCTAGCTACTCAGGAAGCTGAGATCTGAGGATCAGGTTTGGAGCTAGCCTGAAAAGTCCCTGTGAAACTCTTATCTCCAATTAACTACTCAAAAATGGAAGTGGTGCTGTGGATTAAGTGGTAGAGTGCTAGCTTTGAGCCCAAAGAGGCTCAGGGACAGTGTCCAGGCCCTGAGTTCAAGTCCTACAACCAACAAAAAAACATAAAAACAAAAGCTGAGTGTTGGTGGCTCATGTCTGTAATCATGAGACTTTTATCTAGCTACTCAGGAGAGGGACAGCTGAGGACTAAAGTCTAAAGCCAGCCTGGACAGAAAAGTCCATGATAGTTTTTTGACTGTAGGTACCTTGTGTGGCTTCAATTCTTGGTCTGGGTGCTGTCCCTGAACTTTTTTGCTCAAGGCTACCACTTGAGCCACAGCACCACTTCCAATTTTTTGGTGGTTAATTGGAGATCAGAGTCTCACAGGAAAGGTGGCTCAGTGGTAGAATGCTTGCCTTGCATGCATGAGGCCCCGGGTTCAATTCCTTAGTACCACATAAGCAGAAAAAGCCAAAAGCAGTGCTGTGGCTCAAGCGGTAGAGCACTAGCCTTGAGCTTAAGAGCTGAGGGACAGTGCCCAGGCCCAGAGTTCGAGCCCCACAACCAAAAAAAAAAAGTGTCTCACAGACATTCCTGCCTGTGCTGGCCTCAAACTACAATCCTCAGATCTCAGACTCCTAGTAGCTAAGATTATAGGCATGAGCCACTGGTACCTGACTAACATGAGACTTACCAGCAAAATGCCAGAAGTGGCTCAAGGTATAGTGACAGTCTTCGGCAAATGTAAAGTGAGAGTGCAGGCCCTGAGTTCAAGCTCCACTATTGCACAAAATAAAATAAAATAAAAAGCAGGGGACCAAGAACGAAGAGACCAACGGTACATGGTCTCCCTGATAAGTGGATGCTAAATCCAAAATGTTAGGTGATACGACAAAACTAACAGGACTTAAGAAACAAAGAACCCCCGCTCATCTGGTTGAACCACTACTAAATATCCCCATGCTGCTGATCACAAATATGGTATATAACATGTGAACACTGTTATATATTACAGACTGTGGTAGACAATTTGCTCCAGGGAAGTTAGAATGAACTTGTGACTTTGAAATTATGTAATCACTTAATCACAATCAAAAAAAAAAAAAAAAGAACCTCGGGGAAGGGAGGGAGGGAGGGGATGGTAGGGGGAAAACAATGGAGGGGGTAACAATGTTCAAGAGGAAGTGTACTCATTACCTCACTCATGTAACTGTAACCCTCTGTATAGTATCTTTACAATAAAAAAAAAAAGCAGGGGAGTCTGTAGCAGGCACACCAGTCACAAATATACTGTTAAAGCACGAGTGCCTGAGGCGCAGGTGCCTCACACCTATAATCATAATTGCTCAGAAGGCTAAGATCTACAAAATGGTAGTTCAAACCAGTCCAGACTGGTGAGACTCTGTCTCCAAAATAATTAGCAAAAGCTGGGCACCGGTGGCTCATGCCTGTAATCCTAGCTACTCAGGAGGCTAAGATTTCTGAGTATTGCAGTTCAAACTCAGCCCAGGCAGGAAAGTCCATGAGACTCTATCTCCAATAACCCACTCAGAAAATCGGAAGTGGCACTGTGGCTTAAGTGGTAGAGCTCTAGCCTTGAGCTGAAGAGCTGAGGGACGGCACCCAGGCCCAGAGTTCAAGCCCTGTTCCCAACAACAACAACAACAAAAGCAAAAAGTTGGGTGGAGTTGCTGCTCAAGAGGCAGAGCACCAGCTTTGAGTGAAAAGACTAAGGGATACCACCTAGGCCAAGTTCATCCCCAGTACTAGCAAACTTAGTACAGGAGCGCCTGCACATGCACGCGCACACACACAGTAAGTCTATATAAGCCAGGCAAGCAGGGAAGCCTACAGTCTTAGTTACTCAGGAAACAGAGAACAACTTGAGCTCCAGAGTTCCAGGTCAGATGGGGGAAGCAAAAGCAAAAACAAAGTCCTTGTGAACTGTCTCAAGAGCCATGCAAACACATTCACTGAAAATCTATTTATTGAGCCCTTCCTGTATGCCAGGAATGTTCTGGAGACAGAGATGGAACATAGTACAAAGAAACAAAGAACACTGCCCTTGTGTGTCCTGGCTCTGCCCACTGACCTTGGCCACCCGCCTGGGGCCCCGGGTGCCAAGTGTTATCACCTGGGAAATGAGGACTTGGTCAAAATAATTTCTACACTTGAAAACAGGGAAAACATGCCTTTTCCTGCACATTCAGTTTTACAGAAACTTTTTCCACCCTGGGTCCGTCAGAAGTGTGGGATAAGCTAATCACCCACACAGACCAGCCCCTAACCATGCACAACATGGTGTGAATGAAACACAGGAGTAAAAGTTTTGAAATATTACAAAAGAGGCACGTTATAAAATCTACAGACTCCTGATTAGAAAATCTCAAATTGGCTTTGCAAGATCCATCATAATGAAAAGAAAGAAACAAACAAACAAAGAAACAAAGAGGAAAGAAAGAAAGAAAGAAAGAAAGGAAGAAAGAAAGGAAGAAAGAAAGAAAGAAAGATTATAAATTACAGGCAGGTCTGAATGGTTCAACCAGTTCCAGTTGTTAACGCAAGGTGCCCTGGGGAATAACTTCCTGGCTTCCGGTGATTAATTGGGAATAATGTATTCTGATGGAAAAGGGGAGACAGGAAAGAGATTTGTCTCTCACCAGTGAATTACTCCTCCTCGCTAAGAGCTTCACATCGTCGGTGTTAATTGTGCTTCTTTTCGCGTGTCTGTGGAAAGGGCAGAAACAAGTCACCAACATGTTTGCTAGTGTTTAAAGTTGGGATGAAATATAAAAGCTCAAGGATCTGGAAGTAGCCCATCTTTTAAGATGAAGGACATTAAGGAACAAGGACAGACATGCAAGTGAGGTTCTGAGGCAAGATGCCAAGCGAAGAGGGAGACGGAGGGCCAGCAGAGCCCACCTGTCCGCTGGGGAGGGGTGGGGAGCGGCTGCGGAACGCGAAGGAGCCGACAGAAGCCCTTCCAGGAGCAGCCTAGAAAGAGCAAGATGCTCAGGGAGCAACTTTAGTGGAGGGAGGAAAAAAAAAAAATCACCCTCAAAACCCACAGATCACCTCTGCTTAAATAGACATTAAATAGTTGAACAAAGAATCGCTGTGAAGTGTGGCAAAGATCCGGAAAGTGATTTCTAAGGGCTGAATTAGAGACAAAGCACATGCAGATCCTCGGGACCCTGCCCTGCCAGCTGTGGCTCCCCGTGCTCCCCTCACAGCAGCTGAGGGGGAACAAGAGCGCCCTTCACACTGAGGCTGCTTTTGGGTTTTGGTTGTTTTTTTTTTGGTCGGTCGTGGGGCCTGAACTCTGGGCCTGGTCGCTGTCCCTCAGCTCTTCAGCTCAAGGCAAGCAAGCGCTCTACCACTTGAGCCACAGCGCCACTTCCAGTTTTCTGGCTTGGAGGCCAGAACCTGGACCAAAGCCCTCATCACAGTCATCTTTTCCTTGCTAGGAAAGACTATGTGAAGTAAGCATTATTCAGTTATTTATTGCTCTGATTACATTTCTGGCCAATACTAACTTCAGCCCAAAATAAGAACTTCATAAGCAGAAGTGGGATCTCTGTATCCTTAATAAAGCGGTCAGCACATACTGGTCCTCACTGAATGTCTGCCAAGCTAAAGATGAAATCACCAGAAATACTGCTCTGTTGTTCCACCAAATAATCTTTTTTTTTTTGCTGGTCGTGGAGCTTGAACTCTGGGCCTGGGCACTGTCCTGAGCTCTTCAGCTCAAGGCTAGCACTCTACCACTTGAGCCATAGCACCCACTTCCAGCTTTTTCTGTGTATGTGGTGCTGAGGAATCGAACCCAGGGCCTCATGCATGCAAGGCAAGCACTCTACCCCTGAGCCACGTTCCCAGCCCCCCACCAAATAATCTTATACATCTTCCTAAATGCACAGTGGTCGTGTGCCATTTCACAACATCTGGCGTCACTGTGTGTGTGTGTGTGTGTGTGTGTGTGTGTGTGTGTGTGTGCATATGCATGCACACTGGCACCAGGGCTTGAACTCATCAAAACCCCTCACTCTTGCTTAGCTTTTTCTCCCTTTTTAATTTTTTCCTGCCAGTGTGGGGCTTGAATCCAGGCCTGGGTGCTCTTCCTGAGCCTCTTTGTGCTCAAGGCTAGCTAGTGTTCTACCACTTTGGTCACAGCACCATGTCCAGCTTTTTCTGAGTAGTTTACTGGAGATAAGAGTCTCATGGACTGTTCTGCCTGGGCTGGCTTCAAACTGCAACCCTTGATCTCAGAATCCTGAGTAGCTAAGATTAGGCTCAAGTGGGAGTTCAACCACCAGTGCCACCAAACACACACACATATATACACACACGGAGCCACGCATTGGGGCACACACCTGTAATGCAGGTGCTCAGGAGAATGAGGCAGGAGGACCAAGAGTTTGAGGCCATCCTGGGCTATACTGAAAGACCTTGTCTCAAAAGAAAAAAGCAAACTAACCCAGAGTCAAATACAGTGGCAATGCTGTAATCCCAGCATTCAGTAGATATGAAGACTCCAAGTTTGAGGGCAACCTGGACTACACAGCAAGACCTAAAAGCTCAATAATATGTTACCATGCTATTCCTAATGGTGTGTGTGTGTGTGTGTGTGTGTGTGTGTGTGTGTGTGTGTGTGCATGTGCACACATGCGCACCAGGGATGGAACCCAAGGCCTGACACATGCGAGGCAAGCCTCTACAGGGTATACCTCCAGCCTCTACTTTCATTTTGGTTTCTGGAATTTTTATGAAAGTACTTTAAGTTTTTTAATGATTTCCACAGCTAGCACAAAGATGGCAAGTGAAGACGGAACGCATATTTCATGGGACATCGTGGAGGGTAACCTAAGGCCACCTGTCTGAATTAACGATGAATACGCATCCCATAATACCCCTGTGCTCTTGGCCAAGTGGATGATGCTAAGCGGTTTTTAGGAACTGATATATACAGGCTTAGGAGAGATTTAGAGCCTGCCCTCTGAGAACCTACTGCTTTAATTCATTCAAAACATTCATCCCAGAAACAAAGAGCTAACGGGAGCAAGGTGAAAAGTATGGGGTGTAGGAAAGGCTGGCACCAATCAGAAGTGGTCGCAAATTAAAAAGCTTTAGCTCTGTCAGGCCTTAGTCATTCCAACTGAGGCATAAAAGCAATTCGTGGCGATTGTTTCCAATTACCTGTGGTACTAATTGAAGAGAAGAGCATAAATCACCTGTAAAAGCCCCAGCCTCAAAGGGTGAAATCGAGTCCCCCCACTTTTCACAACTGTGGCGGTTAACAGCCTTGCCTGTCATCATGTGCACACCTGCGGGCGATCACCGCGCACACGTGAGGCCCCGGCCTCGTAGCGTGGGCCATTCTCAGGCTCACACCTGGTTTCCAAAATGATCAACACCGCCCCTAAACCCCCCCAACCCCCCTCCCCCCCCAACCCCCCCCCCCCCCGCCCGCAACCTCCCCACCACACACAATCAGCGTCCTGGGGACATTACTCAGATATTTTCAACCTGGAACTGAAGAATGGTTTAAAAAAAGGCCAGAAATATACTTGGAGAACTTCAAAAACTGCCAAGACAAGTGTGAATCAACGTGATTACAGCAGATGTTCTATTCCTGCAGAATGATGAGCCATGCGCACGCCGCCGGGCCAGGCCTGGCCTGCCCCCCCCCCCCCCACTTCATTCCCACAAAGAGCCAACGCACCAGCAGATGGACAGTGTCAATAAAACATAAACATAAGCATCACACCATCAAGCTCTCTACCCACCTTGCAAACATCTCAAGGTCTTTGGCAAAATTATCTGAAAGAAAAAAAAAAAAAGGTAATGCTTTAGCTGCTTTTACCTCTACCTCATTTTAGGAGGAAAAATGAAATCTCACACACTCAGTAGAGTGAGTACTAGCACAGAGCCTTTTTTTTTGCTTGAACCCAGGGACTGTGCACTGTCCCTGAGCTTCTTTTGCTCAAGGATAACTCTACCAATTGAGCCACAGTGCCACTTTTGGCTTTTTCTGTGTATGTGGTATTGAGAAATCAAACCCAGGACTTCAAGCATGCCACTTCTAGCTTTTTCTGTGTATGTGGTATTGAGAAATCAAACCCAGGACTTCCAGCATGCTAGGCAAGCACTCTACCACTAAGCCACATTCCCAGGCACCCACAGAGCCTTTTAAAGGTGAACAGAGGTGCTTCAGACGGGCCCCACGGTTTCATAACTGCACAGAGCTGTCTCAATCATCATGACTTCTTTGTCTCTCCAAACAACTGCCACCCACTGTGACTTCACCTCTGCTTTCTTTTTGTCGGTCATGGGCCCTGAGCTCTGGGCCTAGGCGCTGTCCCTCAGTTCTTCAGCTCAAGGCTAGTGCTCTACCACTTGAGACACAATGCCACTTCCAGCTTTTTCTGCTTATGTGGTGCTGAGGAATCGAACCCAGGACCTCATGTGTGTGAGGCAAGCACTCTACCACCGAGCCACCTTCCCAGCCCTTCACCTTTGCTTTCTACACACAATCCTTTAACTTGAAATTCTGCTAAACAAATTAGTGCTTGCAAGGACAATCATTTTCCCAGACAAGGAAATACCAATGCTCTCAAACTTTAAACATAAAAATGTTTAAAGCATTGAAATACAAAATCTGTACTGTTCCAGCCATCAGGGCAGTTTAAAACATAATAAAAATACAGGTGCTAATGGCCCAATGTTAGTATAATGGGGGGGGGGGGAACCCTCATAATTCTTCTCCTATTCAAATCTCCCAGTCCCAGAAGGGCATGAAGACAGAGGCCAAAAATGCTCTGTGCAGGTAAGGCATGCTCCAGCCACAGTCTGGCCCACAGCACCCCCCGGGCAGCCGAAGCTTTGGGATTTATAGCAGAGGAAGACTGGGGCTTCGTACCGCACTGCCGAAAAGTCAGCTCAGAAATTGCTGCGATGGTCTGTTTGCTGAACGGCATCTCTTTGTCCAACTCAACTTCTTTGCAAAGACAACCAACTGTATAGTGAACTGCAGCCTTTAGCCTCTGGGGGGAAAAATAAAGTATTTCATGGGAAGGTTGCAAATAAGAGCTTTCCATGCCTTAAGAAAAAAAATTAAGGCGGGTGTCAGTGGCTCACACCTGTAATCCTAGATACTCAGGAGGCTGAGATATGACGATCACGGTTCAAAGCCAGCCTGGGCAAGAATGTCCATGAGACTCTTATTTCCAATTAACCATCAGAAAACCAAAAGTGGCACTGTGGCTCAAGTGGTGGAGCAGCTGCCTTGAGCTGAAGAGCTGGGGGACAGTGCCCAGGCCCAGAGTTCAAGCCCACAACTCACCAAAAAAAAAAAAAAGGAAGGAAGGAAGGAAAGAGAGAGAAAAAAAAGAAAGAGAAAGGAAGGAAGGAAGAAAGGAAAGAAAGAAAGACATGTCAGCAGGGAGAGAAGTCAAGTATGGGGGTGACTTTCCCCAGTTATTACACAACTAAGCACTCATTCCTGAGGTGCAACGGCCCATGCTCAGTGTCTGGGGAACATGATGACAAACCAGACAGGGACTCGGCCCTTAGGGTCGTTAATCAAGTAAAGCCAGCAGGATCCCACCCCTCTATTACCAGACCCCAGCAGCCCCCGGCTAACACACCACAAAGAACAAAAGCATAGGACACCAGGAAAGGCTGAAGAGCACACCTGACCCGCCTTTGCAAGTTTGTGGGTGCACCTGAGCAGCCTTTCCAGCAAACACATTTTAGACATACTGGGAATCAAACCCAGTGCCTTGCACATGCTACGCAAGCACCTTGCTACTGGGTTATATCACCAGCCTTGAGCAAACCATATCCCACCCCCCTTTAAGGGCAGTACTGGGGCTTGAATTCAGGGTCTTTTGCTTATTAGGCAGGCACTCAAGTGGCTCTGCTTTGGTTATTCTAGTTATTTTTCAGGTAGGGTCTCACATGTCTGCCCAGGCTGACCTCAGAGCAGGATCTCCTGCATAGCTGGCACTACAGACATGAACCACCACACCAGGCTTATTAGCAGAAATGGGATCTTGGTAACTTTTGCCTGCGCTGGCTTCAAACTTCTTCCCATCTCCACTTCCTGAGTTTGTGAACAAAATGTTAACTAGAGGTGAATGCTGGTGATGGCCTCCTCCGGGTGCTCCCCGCACTATTCCTTCCATTTCCCGCAAGGTGTGAAGGCTCCGAACAAGAGCTGCTGACACTCCTGGCTTCCTGGGCAGAAAATGCTCTGCCCTCTTCCCTCGGCCAATCCCCTTGCAGGCTGCCACTCACCACAGAGCAATATTCCCATGACTGTCTCCACACTAGAATCGCGCTGCTGATGAAAGGAAAGATTGAATCCCCCTAACAAACGCAGCCGCGGAAGTCCTGGACTGCCGTCATCTATCCATTCAACCTACCGGGAGAGGCAGCGGTTCCAATTCAAAACTTTCAAACTGTGTTTGAGCCTAGGGCACAAACTCGTGTGACTGCAATCACAAGTTGGAGTAGCTAAGAATGCGAACCCAGGACTTGAGGGTGGGCTCTGGGAGAGGGTGACCTGCCAAGATCTGAATCCTCTCTGCAACGATTTCCTCCTCTGTAGACCTGACAGTTAATGGCTCCAGGGGTCTGCGTTGCACAGCTTTGGTTTCTACTGCCCGGCGCTCAGTGCACTACTTGGGCTTTATTATTATTATTATCATCATCATCATTACTATTATTAGTCGGTCGTGGGGCTTGAACTCAGGGCCTTGGCGCGGTCCATAAACGTCTGTGCTCAAAGCTAGAGCGCTACCACTTGAGCCACAGCGCCACCTCCTGTTTTCTCACAGACTTTCCTGCCCGGGCTGGCTTTGAACCTCGATCCTCAGATCTCAGCCTCCTGAGTAGCTAGGATGACAGGCGTGAGCCACCGGCAGCGGGTTCTGTTTTTTGGTTTTAAAGACAGTGTCCTTGCGAAGCGCACCCTGGCCTTGAAGTCGGGATCCTCCCGCCTGCGCCTCTGGAAGGCTGGATTCTCCGTTCGCCATCCACACGCCACCCTCACAGCTCGCCGGGCTCCCTGGCGCCGCCCTGGAGTCGGCCTCAGCGCACCACGTCATTCGCCCGGTGCCCGCCCTGTTGCCGTGGAAACCAGCACACGCCCCCACGCGGCAGCGGCGCGTGCGCAGTCCATCTGCGCCCGGGAGGGCGAGGCCGGCCCTGCGGAGAGGCCAGCAGGGGCTCCGGAGGCTCTTGAGCGCCCTGCGCGGCCCTGGCCTTGCCGGGACCTCGTTTGTCCGGTACCTGCTGGTAAGAGAATCGCTGTTGCTCCTCGGCTTCCTCCCCCTCCTCCATCACGGTGAGCCGCGCCACGCGGGAGTGCGAAGGTGGAAGAAGGAGACGGCAGCACCGTCGGTCGGATCGGGTTTTCCCGCCGCGGCGCTGGGCGACGGGCTGCGCGCGGGGTCAAAGCGCGAAGCTCCTCCCCTTCCCGCCCCGCGCGCGCCCCCTGGCGGCCGCCCTCGGCCACGGTCTCTGGGAGGGCAGCCCTGCGAGGCGGGGCGTGACCCCGCTGCACGCCAGCCGAGACTCGAATCTGGCCGGTGCTTAACCAGGAGCTCTCCGCGGAAGCGTTTTGTATGTAGGTACAGAATGTGTTACAATAAATAGTTACAATACATAGAAAGGGAGGAGGTAGAAGCCACCGTGAGCCAACTATGAAATGCAATGCTGTCTTTATGGGCGATAACAATAACAATTTTTTAAAAAACTGTTACACGGATTGAGCCTTAGCTACTCAGGAGGCTGAGGATGGAGATTCAAAGCCAACCTGGGCAGACAAATCCAAGAGACTGATCTCCAGTTAACTAACAAAAAGCTGGAAGTGGAGGTGTGACTCAAGTGGCAAAGCACCAGCTGTGAGCAAAAGAGCCAAGCAAAAGCATAAGAAGCTGAGCTCAAGACCCACTACCCCCCCCAAAAAAAACCCTCAGTCTCAAAATCAAACAAACAAAAAGGAAACATAGAAGTTAGGGCTAGGGTTATAGCTCAGTGCTACAGCTCCTGAGGGGCTTTGGGTTCCATGCCCAGCATAGAGGGGGAAATAAAGAAAAACAATGGAGCCCTGTTGGATCTTTTCTTCCATCCCAAGTTTATTCTTTCAGACCATCATCTGTAGAAAGGATTTCTTTGCTGAATCAAATAGTAATATTCAAATACTGGAAGAATAGTTCCTCAATTTGTGACTGTTCACCATGTAATCACAACAGCGAGGACATACAGTCAAGTTTTATCTGCACTAGCAGTGTGTTCTCCAGCACTCTGTTAAACCGACAGTTAACAGATTGAATCTGTTTGTTTCCAGGGTGTCAGTACTGCCACCGTGTGGGATAGTACCATTTGATCACATAAGACAGAAGGTAAAAGACATGTGCAGGCACAGCAAATCCATACACAGATACATGTAAATAAAGTGAAATAGGGGCTGGGAAGGTGGCTCAGTGGTAGAGCGCTTGCCTTGCATGCATGAGGCCCTGGGTTCGATTCCTCAGCACCACATAAGCAAAAAGAAAAAAGCCGGAAGTGGCACTGTGGCTCAAGTGGTAGAGCGCTAGCCTTGAGCTGAAGAGCTGAGGGACAGCGCCCAGGCCCAGAGTTCAGGCCCCATCACCGGAACCCCCCCCCCCCAAAAAAAAAAGTGAAATAGGATAACAATGATGAGTTCTGAGTATCCTTTTTGTCATAATGTAAAGCATGAATTTAAATAATTAATTTTTTTTTTTTGCATTTTGGGGGATGAATCTGGAGCTTCATGCTTGCTAGGCAAGCTTTCTCTACCACTGAGTCCCTACTCTTTTTGCTTTGTGGTGATGATACTGCTGTTCGAACATAGCCCCTTGAACTTGTTTTTTGTGGAGGTTGTTTTTTGCCAGTCCTGGGGCTTGAACTCAGGGCCTGGGCACTGACACTGAGCTTCTTTTGCTCAAAGCTGGCACTCTACCATTTGAGCGACAACTCCACTTCTGATTTTTTTGGTAGGTAAGTGGAGACCAGAGTTTCACAGACTTTCCTGCCCAAGTTGACTTTGCATTGCAGTCCTCAGATCTCAGCCTCCTGAGTAGTTAGGATTACAGGCATGAGCCACCAGCACCAAATTAAGATTTAGTTTATTTTTTTCTTAGTTATTTGCCAATCCTGGGGCTTGAACTCAGGGAGAGCTCCGTCCCTGAGCTTCTCTGTGCTCAAGGCTAGCACTCTACCACTTGAGCCAAAGAGCCACTTCCGGCTTTTTTTGTGTATGTGGTACTGAGGAATCAAACCCAGGGCTTCATGCATGCTAAGCAAGCACTCTACACTAAGCCACATTCCCAGCCCCTCATTTCTTTATCTTGCATTACATGTGGGTTGAGGTGGGAATGGAGAGGCAAAGAGCCTGTATAGACATTTTTAGGTGTGAACTGTCCAGCCCCCTACCCATCCCCTTAGCTTCTGCCTGTGGAAATCATCCACCTTACCTGACGTGTTGTTCAACACCACCTCTGATTTCAGCACACAAGAGGCCTGGAGTTTGAGGCCAGCCTAGGCCACAAAGCGAGATCCTGTCAGTGCTATCACCTTGCACCCCTTCTCATTTTAGAGCCATTGCTTCCCAGGGTTAATGGATATCACTGTGGCGGCGTGTGGAATACTCAGGCAAGTAAGTCTGAGGAAAAGGAGCGGTATTAGAGCATACTAGAGATTTATTTGGCTGATGCTATCTTGACTCCATGGAGTGGTAGGTACACAAGCTGGCCACTAGATGTCACCATTGCTCCATACCACGAATAAAGCTGCCCACTTGCACTGTGAAGAGCCGGTGGCCTCCCATTCTAAGTGGCTTGCTGGTAAGCGAAATGCACAGACCAGGATTGGTGGCTGGCGGTGTTTGACGTCCCCAGCCTCCTCCCTCCTGCAGGGTGGGTTGCCAACCACCAGGTGGGTTCTGAGTGCAGTGTACAGGGTCTCCTCAGGGGCCCCTCTGCAGATCTCAGGGCTGTTTGCTTCTTCAATGCACTTGCATACCTCTAGGCTTGGCATTTGCTTTCCTTGCGTACGGGAGTGAGTGTGTGTATGTAGTGTGTGTTGGATGTTTGTGCATGTAGTGGGAATGTACTGGTCCACAGACCAATAAAGCTCCAAGGACCAGCAGCCACTCAGGGAAGCATGGAAGTGAATGCAGTCCAGAAGCTGGCAGCTGCCCCCCACCCTGCAGCCCTGCCCCTGCCCAAGCGCAGGGGTCCAGAGACAGGCTCTGACTCACCACCCACAGCACCAAGTCCAGTATTAAGGTGTCAAAAAGAAGCATCTTCAGTTCTGGCATTACTTACAATCCCTCCCTCCCCCACCCCATTTTTTTAGTATTTTTTAAAAATCTTTGTTTATTGCTTATCATTATCTAATTTTATGAATTTTTGTTTTGTAATTTAAAAAAAATATTGGGGGGCCAGGCGCTGGTGGCTCACGCCTGTAATCCTACTCAGGGACTGAGAGCTGAGGATCGGGTTCAAAGCCAACCTGGGCAGGGAAGTCTGTGAGACTCATCTCCAATAAACCACCAGAAAACCAGAAGTGGTGCTGTGGCTCAAGTGGTAGAGTGCTCGCCTTGAGCTGAAGAGCTGAGGGACAGTGCCCAGGCCGAGTTCAAGCCCTATAACCAACAAAAAAAAGAAAAAAAAAGATGTCAGTCCCTAGGCTTGAACTGAAGGCTGAGGCACTGCCCTGAGCTTTTTTACTTAGGGCTAGCTTGAGCCACAGGCTCCACTTCTGGCCTTAAATTTTTGGGGGAGTGGGGAAATTGGGGGGAGGTAATGGAATTTGCTTAAAAAACTTATTTAAAAATTTTTTTCTAAGCTGGCTTCCAACCACAATTCTGCGATCTCAGCTTCCTTTGTAGCTAGGATGACAGGTGTGAGCCACCATGCCCCACTTTTTTAAGTGAGAAAATACACATACGCAAGTGTCTTGTGACACAGCAGTGACCTCATGGTATAGCCGAAGTCTAAGGCCACCCAGGGCAAGTCTTTTGCTAAAACTAACCAAGGGGCCAGGCGCTGGTGGCTCACACCTGTCATCCTCACTCCTTGGGAGGCTGAGATCGGAGGTTCTGAGTTGGAAGTTAGCTGGGACAGAAAAATCCATGAGATGCTTATCTCCAACTAATCACCAAAAAGCTGAAAGTAGAGCTGGGGCTCAAGTCGTAGAGTGTCAGCCTTGAGTCGAAAAGGCCAAGCAAGAGCAAGAGGCCGAGTTTAAGCCCAGCACAAAAAAACAAGTGTTTCTCTGTCTCTCAGATTTCTAGGTATGAGAAAAGGTATTTTCTGTCAAACCAAAGTATATCTGGTATGGAATATTGATGTTTCCTGGAAGCATTTGCTTTGTTTACTTCAGCTATAGTTATTATCTGTTCTGCTTGCTACCAACTAGCCACGTTAGGGAGATTAATCTTGTGTTGAAAAAGTTAAAATAACAAACTGTAATTGCTAAGTGGGGAAAAAAAGTAAACCTTTGACAAGAATTAAAGAATGGCCCCTTTCTAAGCGTGGTAGTCAGCTGTGCGTAGACTGTGAGCCTAGCTCCTTGATGAGGGGGAGACCAAGCGTAGCACGCTGCCCTGCAGGTGTGCCTGCCCAGCACTGCACCCTGTTCTGCAACAGTAAATTGCCTTGGGGCTGGGAAGGTGGCTCAGTGGTAGAGCGCTTGCCTTGCATGCATGAGGCCCTGGGTTCGATTCCTCAGAACCACATAAGCAGAAAAAGCCAGAAGTGGTGCTGTGGCTCAAGTGGTAGAACGCTAGCTTTGAGCTGGAGAGCTGAGGGACAGCGCCCAGGCCGAGTTCAGGCCCCACAACCACAAAAAACAAAACAAACAAACAAAAACCTGCCTTGATGATACTCATGTCTGACCGGGGAGAGTGGTGCATTTCTAACACAGGTGAGGCCGGAAGGGGCAGGCAGCAGCCTGTCCTCACAACCTGGCAAAATGTTTGCAAGCGGACTTGGCTGGACACGCGGTGCGTGCACGGGGCTGGGTCACGGAGTCAAGGCCGACGTGGGCCACACAGTGAGTGCCTGGCCCAAAAAACCACTGCGAGTGAAAAGGCCTCCTCCCGAGTGAGCCGGAAGTAGCTGCTGGAGGCGAAATGGGGGACACAGCTGTCCAAACAGACTGGGCTAGCTCCCACTCTTCCCAGGCCACTCTGAGGACTCTAACGCATTCCAGAAAAATCCTGCAGTGGCCTTAAAATGCTGGTATAAAACAGTCCCGTGGCCCTAGGCCATAATCACCAATAAAGATGCCGCAAAGCCAGAAAGAGCACAGGACACAGGCCGGCCAGGCGGAGCTGGCACACAAATGGAATTCTCAAAAAGATTTATTGTAAAGAACATGATAGAGCAGGTACAGAGCGTTCCCACGACCCACACACCCTCTGCCCAGCGCCCGCAGCCCGCAGCCCGCGCCTCCAGCCCAGGCCCCTCACTGTCCTCAGCCTGGTGTTTCTTGTGTTACTTGGGGTCTTTGTTAAGTGGAGGCGGGGAGGGGTGGGAGTGAATTCACACAGCCCAGTGGAATGTGAGGCCCTCAGTGCCATCCTCTGGCCAGGAGTGTGGCCAGGAGTGTGGGGGGAAGGCAGGGGTGGGGCTGTGCGGTGCTCACTGAGTAGAGAAGGGAGGAGCAGCAGGACGCCAGTTCCAGCATGATCAAACCCACAAAGCCCGTCCGTCCACGAGGGGCTGCAGCCGCTTTGACCACAGCGCCCAAGGGTGTGGAGGACGGTCACGTGGTAGTTCCGGGACCACTTGTTACTTAGGCCCTGGGGAACCTTGGCTAAAAGATCTGAGCAGGAAGCAGGGCAAAGGGCCCTGGAGTGCTGCGCACGGAATGTCCGTTCTGGGGAGGAGGGGGGCGGGCGCCCCATTAGGCGTTGTAGGAAGAGGACGACACGCTGCCGCCGTGGCCTGTCCAGTTGGTATGGATAAACTGTCCCGGTTTGGCCAAGAGTTCATAGGTGTGCGCCCCAAAGTAATCCCGCTGCGCCTAGACGAGAATTCCGCTGGTTAGGGAAACGCGCAGCCACGCACGGCCCTGGCAGCGCCAGGGCGCCGGCCCCGCCTCGCCACACTTACCTGGATGAGGTTGGCCGGCAGCATCTCGTGTCTGTAGCCGTCGTAGAAGGCCAGGGCAGTGGAGAAGCAGGGCATGGGGATGCCCTGCTGCACGCCAGTGCTCACGGCCCGCCGCCACGAGTCCTGCGCACAGCAAGTGGGGCCAGGGTGAGCGGCGTGGACTGTGCCCACGGCAAAACCCTCGGGGAGAATTCAGCCACGTACCTGGCAGTTCTCCACAGCGGACTTAAAGAAGTCATCCAGTAGCAGGTTCTGGAGGTCTGGGTTTCGATCAAACGCATCTTTAATCTTGCCCAGAAAGACACTGAAATAACAGAGGCAAGGAGTCAGTGGTCTGGACGTTGGCGGGAAGCAGGGGAGCCAGTCAGTGCAAACCCGAGGGAGCCCCAGAGTCCAGGGCTCAGGCCCTAGAGCAGCTGAAGGAAAGCACGGGCACGGGCGTGCTCGAGCGTAGATGACCCGCTGAGGCCGAGGTGGCCCCCAGCCCCACCCCACCCACGGACACGCACGTCCTCACAGGACACGCTATGCTGCTTACATGTAACACACAGGCGTCCTGTAGCGTTTTTATGATCTTAATTCAGGGCCTCACACTTGCTAAACAAGTACTTTTAGCTCCTTTTTTTAAAATTTGCCAGTGCCAGGGCTTGAACTCAGGGCCTGGGCGCTGTCCCTGAGGTGCTTTTTGCTCAAGGCTAGCACTCTACCACGTGAGCCACACCACTCCCAGCTTTTTCTGTGTATGTGGTACTGGGGAATCGAACCCAGAGCTTCATGCATGCCTAGCAAGCACTCTGCCACCAGCCCCTGCTTTTATCTCTTGAGCCACGCCATGTCCCCAGTCCCTTATGTATATCTGCAAATACCTCTAGGTGACGTATGACACCTAACACAATACAATGCTATATAAACATAGCATTTGCATCGCATTATACTATATTATACTATATACCTTATTGTTAGCTCTTGTTATACTGTATTGTTTAGAAAGTAACCCCAGTCCCAGTCTTGTTTTCAAGTATTCCCCTCTGCAGCTGGTTGACCCTCTGGTGCCGTTGGAGAGCGTGGCGGAAGTGGGGCCCACCGAGCTTGACAACGCTGCCGGCAGGGTGACGGTCTCTGGCACGCAGGGCAGTGTGCCGCACTGCTGTCCGGCGCCTCACACTGACCTTCTGATGATGCAGCCTCCTCTCCACATGAGGGCAATGCCACCGTAATTGAGCGTCCAGCCAAATTCAGTGGCGGCCTGTCTGAGCAGCATGAAGCCTTGAGCGTACGAGATGATTTTGGAGGCATAGAGCGCCTGGAGGGTGACAGGGAGACGGGAGTGTTGTGGGGACCTGAGCGGCTGCCTCGCGCCCTAGTGGAGACCCGGGGGGGGGGGAACAAAGTGGAGGCAACACTTCATTCCGCCAGCCACCCCAGGGCTTCGAATGCTGCCCTACACCCACTGTCTTCCAAGGGACCAGCAAAGCCGATAGCTTTGTAAAAGCCCTCCCAATTTGAGAGCTCAAACTCCAAGTCAGTTTTCCAACACGGATAAAAGGAATTCAACCATCAAGACTGACTCCAAATTCAAAGGGACGTTCAGAGAGGAACTGCTATTGGTCACACACCTTCCGAATGTCCTCCAGGAATGACTGCTTGCTGCCTTCAAACTGGGCCTTCTGGGGACCCTTCAGTTTCTTGCTGGCTTGAATCCTCTCGTCCTTGAGAGATGACAAACAGCGAGCAAAGACAGCTTCTCCTGCGTGGAGGCATTGACGGAGAGGGTCAGACACGTCGGAGCTCATGTAGCCAGAGCAAGGCAAAGGAGAAGGGCAGGAAATATGTTTTGCAAACAGCTCAGTTTTAACCTCAGGCATTTTAGCATTTAATCTGGGTCAAAAAGAATGTGCAGTACCAGAATGTAAATTGAGGGCTTCATTATCTCTTGGCTGGTGCTCTACCACTTGAGCCGTAGCTCCACTTCCAGCCTTTTGCTGGTCAACTGGAGCTAAGAGTCTCATAGACTTTCTCACCTGGGCTGGCTTCAAACCTCCATCCTCAGATCTCAGCCTCCAGAGTAGCTAGGATTTGCAGGTTTGGGCTGCTGGTGCCTTGCCAGAAAGAACTTTTATAAGTGCACTAACAGTTGTTGGCCACTTGTCTTTGAGCATGGACACAAGCATTCAACTACAAAGATCAACGTAAAGGACTTCATTTGATTGACAGACTGACTGCAGCTCAGGACTGAACCCCGGGCCTCACTGAAGCTATGCTCCACGTCCCTGGGTTTCTTTTGCTTTTTGAAATCCTGACACTCACGCTGCTCAGGCTGGCCTCAAACTCAATTCTGCTACTAGCTCTTGAGTACCACGACACTGAAGACTCAACTGATTTCCTCCCAAAGCAGTATTTCCCAGCAACTTGAACTAACTGACGAGGGTCTCCACTCCAAACCTCTTTTGAAATTTTGACATTTTATTTTCAGTATGTCCATGATCGTTCATTTTCATAATGTTACTTCATTCAAATAAAAAAATGTCAATGTAGTACTTTAAGACCACTTGACTCAACCGAGAATTTATCTGATCTAAATCCACCACTCCTGCACCTCCCCTAATGAAATGGGTTGAGATCTCTGGGAACTAAGCACGCACTTAAAGGAAAGCCATAAACTTGGGGAGCACGAGGTAAACACAGGCAACCAAAGCCCTTCCGCAACCTGATGCCTGCGCATTGGCGGAAGGAAGCAATGAAAGACCAGTGTGCAGGAAGCAAGTGTGCAAACCCTCCATTACAGGACGGGGACTAGACTAGCGCCCCGGGGCACCACCCGGGGATATGCTGGCCCTCATAATGGAAGGCTCTAAAATAGGAAGATGCTTCTGGAAGCAGGAATCCAGCTATGAGCCGGTGAATAACCGCTCATGGCACACACTAGGCCTGACTGAAAGCAGCCAGTTTCCTTCTACATAGAGCAAGACCACAGAGGTGACTTCACCCTGCTGTGCCTTACACTGAGCCACCTCCCCGTGCCCCAGGGCACACGTGAGGGTGGGGGCAGCATGCAGAGAAGGAAGAGCACGTCCCGCCCAAAGGAAGAGAGGGAGGAAGGGCAACTGGGAAATGTCTGAGCTATCATGGAGAGAATTGTTCTATCCAGAGCGAAGACCCGCCTTTCAGCAACTGTGTAGAACACTGACTTGACTTCTTTTTCCAGTCCTGTCAGAAGTACATCTAGAGCCGGACGCCAGTGGCTCAGCCTGTAATCCTAGCTACTCAGGAGGGTGAGATTTAAGGATCACAGTTCAAAGCCAGCTTGGGCAGGAAAGTCCAAGAGACTCTTATCTCCAATTAACTGCCACAAAAGCTGGAAATGGTGCTATGGCTCAAAGTGGGAAAGCACTAGCCTTGAGCAAAAGAGGTCAAGGACAGTGCCCAGGCCATGAGTTCAAGCCCTACAACCAACCAAAAGAAAAAAGGAAACAAAGTGCATCTATTTATTTTAAGACAGCTCTGCTGGTCTTGACTCCTGGCTTCAAGCGATCCTCCTACCTCAGCCTCCTGAGTTGCTGGAATCACAGCTGTGTGCCACTGTGCCCACCTCTTATTTAACTCTTAAAGAAACAGGTTTTAGGGCTGGGGATGTGGCTTAGTGGTAGAGTGCCTGCCTAGCATGCATGAAGCCCTGGGTTCGATTCCCCAGTACCACATAAACAGAAAAGGCCAGAAGTGGCACTGTGGCTCAAGCGGTAGAGCATTAGCCTTGAGCACAGAGAAGGTCAGGAACAGCGTCCAGGCCCTGAGTTCAAGCCCCAGGACCAGCAAATAAATAAATAAATAAACAATAATAAAAAAGAAACAGGTTTTAGTTTTCTTAACCCTCTTTTTTTTTTTTTGTCCATCGTGGGGCCTGAACTCTGGGCCTGGGCACTGTCCCTCAGCTCTTCAGCTCAAGGCAAGTGCTCTACCACTTGAACCTCAGCGCCACTTCCGGCTTTTTCTGCTTATGTGGTGCTAAGGAATTGAACCCAGGGCCTCATGCATGCAAGGCAAGCACTCTACCACTGAGCCACCTTCCGAGCCCTACTTCTGATTTTTATAACTTAAGTAGAACTGAGCACTTGGCTTAAGTGGTGGAAGCCCTGGGTTTGAACGCCAGGCCTCAAACTTACGAGGCTGGCACGCTACCACTTGAGCCATGCCCCCAGCCTCCACACGGTCTATGGACCCACAGAGATCAGTATTCCCAGATGTCAAGATCTCAGCAGCAGGGCCACGGGGCTCAGAAGGTGTGCTCACCGATGAGGGTGACCGGAACCCCATACTCCAGGGCGGAGATGGCCGTCCACTTCCCTGTGCCCTTCTGCCCCGCACTGTCTCTGATCTTGGGCAGCAGCTCCTGGCCGTCGCTGTCTCGGAATTTGAGAATATTAGCTGTGATTTCGATCAGGAACGAGTCTAGCTCCGTCTTATTCCATTCCTCAAACGTCTACATGCAGAGAGAGAGAGAGCAGTGTGAGGCGGAGGGTCCTGCAGGGTATACCCCACAAAGAACAACCATCTGATTAATAAACGGCTAGAGACTTAGAGACTTCTCAGGAGAAGTAAAAATGGCCAATGGACATGGGCAGCGTTCAGTGTCTCTAGCCATAAAGGAAATGCCACTGAGACTCTTCAGGAACTCACTGGTAACTTCATGACCGGAAGTCCTGTTTTATGGTCCTATAAAATGATGTAGGGCCATCAGGACTGTATTACAATAGCTTCCCCTAAATCAGGGTGGAGTCTATGTAGCCACCAGTCAGCCAGGCCAACAAGGAAGGAGGGACTCCTTGCAGAGGAGGGGGCGGGGGACAGGGAGAGGGAGCCCCTCCTTGGAGCACCGAGGGCCCCCTACTGTGGAGGTGTGCCTAGGACTCACCTGGGCCATCTCCTCATGCTCCAGGCCCAGCACATCCTTCATCAAGTGGTACGCCTCGCAGATCAGCTGCATGTCTCCGTACTCTATCCCGTTGTGCACCATCTTCACGAAGTGCCCGGCCCCCTCGTCTCCCACCTGTCGGGGTGAAGAGCACCAAGGGGCGGATCAGAGCTGCAGACAGCACACCAGACAAGCCCGCGGTTGCACAGCATCCACAGGAAACCTAATGAACGTGGAGCAAACCTAGTGTTCCTGAGCACAAACCTCAGTGTATCTACTCCATTGCTCCCTACGTTTTTCTCTCTCATCACTGTCAGAGGCCATGCTGCGCCCCAGCTCCAACCCACAAGTGTCATCTTTGCCCTGAAGTCGCCTCTTTCTAGCAACTGCAGATTAAATAAACTGGCATTATAACTGCCAGGTGCAGTGGCTCACGCCTGTAATCTTAGCTACTCAGGAGGCTGAGATCTGAGGATTGCTGCTCAAAGCCAGCCCTGGCAGGAACGTCCCTGAGACTCTTTTTTTTTTTTTTGGGTCCAGTCGTGGGGCCTGAACTCTGGGCCTGGGCACTATCCCTCAGCTCTTCAGCTCAAGGCTAGCACTCTACCACTTGAGCCACAGCGCCACTTCTGGCTTTTTTTTTCTTTTTGCTTATGTGGTGCTGAGGAATCGAACTCAGGGCCTCATGCGTGCAAGGCAAGCGCTCTACCACTGAGCCACCTGCCCAGCCCCCATGAGACTCTTATCTCCAATTAACCACCAGAAAATCGGAAGTGGCGCTGTGGCTCGAGTGATAGAGCTCTCGCCTTGAACTGAGCTCCAAGACAGCACCCAGGCCCAGATTTAAGGCTCACGACTGAACAAAAAAAAATAAGTTGACATAATTAAGCTTGTCTTACCAGCCTGTGCTATAAAGTGAGTTCAGGCCATCCTGGGCTATAGACTGAGACCTCAACTCAAGATAAAACAAGACACAAGACACTTGTCTTCTCTAGATATAAATATATTGTAGTTGTTTCTAAGTTCCACTGAGAGTAAAATAGCTTTAGCACCAAGGTCGACCCACTGACTTGTAAGTCCAACTTTAAGTCCCAACAGTGACGAGATCTAGCTGAGACACACTAGCAACAAGGACAAAATCAGATTTCAGTTTATTAACCGAATAAACGTAACTACTGCCATGATCGACTTTTCTGAAAGTTGCCTAATGAGCGAACAATCAGTGCAATGTAACAAGAGTCAACTTCGGGGCTGGGAAGGTGGCTCAGTGGTAGAGCGCTTGCCTTGCATGCATGAGGCCCTGGGTTCGATTCCTCAGCACCACATAAGAAAAAAGAAAAAAGCCGGAAGTGGCGCTGTGGCTCAAGTGGTAGAGTGCTAACCTTGAGCTGAAGAGCTGAGGGACAGCACCCAGGCCCAGAGTTCAGGCCCCACGACCAGACCCCCCCAAAAAAACAAACAAACAAGTCAACTTCATGCGCGGCGCCGGCAGGCACGCTGAGCGCAGGCAGGGGCCTGGATGGCCCGGATGGCCTCCCAGCAGCCATCGATCACAGGCTCTGAGGATGCGGACTGGCCCCTTCTCATGTGGACACTGCTCCTCAAGCCTATGGCTGGTGACCTCACCTCACCCTGAGGTTGGCGGGCGCTCAATCACTCGAGCCATGCTTCCCAGCCCTTGTGTGGCGGCATGCGTTATGCCGGGGGCGAGGCTCAGACTACTGTTCTGTGGAGTTGGGATAAGGATAGAAGGGTGCACTGCCACACTGGACTTAATGGTTAAGATAGGGTCTCAGATGACTTTTGGTTGGGGTCTCGGTAACTTTTGGCCCGGACTGACCTCCAACCACAATCCTCTCAATCTTTTCCTCCTCATCATACAGGGACTAGAAGCTAGAGATCCTGGAGATTATGTAGATCACCCCCACTGGAAGCGAACAGAGAGCCTGAATGACACACTCAATTCCTTGTCTGCTGTGCTTTTCCATCTGCACTTTGGGCTGGAGACAGGAGATCATCTATTCTCTCAACACTACCAAACCCAGGCGGCCCAGCGTCCAGACTTCAGTGAGCACCGAAGCGCTGGAGCCCACATCCCAGGCTAAGGGAAAGGCTTCTTCCACTGTGCCCGGACAGCTGACATGGCTAGAGCCCATCAACCTTGCTTTCACCCAGATGGCAAACCCAGTTAGATTTCAACACTCATTGGCCATTAAGTAACATGGCTTACTTCATCTCATCTTACTTCCGCTTATTTAAGGAAACCACCTTGTGGTAGATGAGGAAGGCAGCCATTAACACACTGACCTCCAGGCTTTGAACAGTCCATTAAGACACCAGGACAGGTGCTGGTGGCTCGAGTAACCCATTATCCTAGCTACAAAAGGAGGCTGAGATCTAGACGATCACAGTTCAAAACCAGCTCAGGCAGAAATGTCTATGAGACTCCATCCCCAGAGATACTGATCAAAACACTGGGCTAAGCCGGAAGCCGGTGGCTCACGCCTGTAATCCTAGCTACTCAGTAGGCTGAAATCTGAGGCTCACAGTTCTAAGCCAGCCTGGGTAAAAAGTCCCAATGAGACTTTTTTTCTGTCAGTTGTGGGGTTTGAACTCTGGGCGCTGTCCCTCAGCTCTTCAGCTCAAGGCGAGCGCTCTACCATTTGAGCCACAGCGCCACTTCCAGTATTCTGGTGGTTAACTGGAGGTAAGGGTCTCATGGACTTTCCCACCTGGCTGGCTTTGACAGCTCTGAGTTCAAGCCCCACAACCAACAACAAAAACAAGTTGGGCTAGAGGCATAGTTTACATAATAGAGCACCAACCACGCTCGCGGTCCTGAATTCAAACCCATTTACCAACACCAACCCCCCACTAAAAATAAAACAACCGAGGACACTGGGACACGTGGGCATGCGCGTTAGGCACCAGCTGGGTGAGAAGCTTGTGTCACCAGCTGACCACTGGGACCACACGGGTCTTTGCTCAGCTGTGCACTGTCTGTCACTTCGATGAGTGCACGAGTCAGCTGACTGCACTTGCCCAGTCACAGCAGGGTTCTCCGGTCCCCACTTTCGCAGCAATGCTTTGGAAGATTGTCTTGATGTGAGGCCTGTGGGAAGAAAGGTCCATTCAGCTAATAAGACAAAATGCGCAGGGATCTCATCTCCTAGGAACGCTACCACCCCTGCTTTTTTTTTTTTTGTCGTCCTGGGGCTTGAACTCTGGGCCTGGGCGCTGTCCCTGCACTCTTCAGCTCAAGGCGAGTGCTCTACTGCCTGAGCCACAGCACCACTTTTAGTTTTCTAGTGGTTTATTGGAGATAAGAGTCTCGAGGAGTTTCTTGCCTGGCCTGGCTTTGAACTGCAATCCTCAGATCTCAGCCTCCTGAGTAGCTAGGATTACAGGTGTGAGCCACCGGCAGTCCTAGGGCTTGAACTCAGGGCCTGGGTGCTGTCCCTGAGCTGCTTTTGCCTAAGGCCAGCCCTCTACCACTTGAGCCCCAGCAGCCACTTTTAGCTTTTTCTGTGTATGTGGTATTCAGGAGTAGAACCCAGGACTTCACGCGCGCTAGGCAAGCACTCCACCACTAAGCTACATTCCCAGCCCCCAACTCTGCTTTTTTGTGTGTGCTGGTGCTGGGGTCTGACAGGATCTGGGCACTACATGTCAGCTTTTTCACTCAAGGCTGGCCCTCTACCACTGGAGCCACACCTCCATTTCCAGTTTTTTTCTCGTGAACTGGAGGTAAGAGTTTCAAGGACTTTCCTGCCCCAGCTGGCTTTGAACCAATATTCTCAGATCTCAGCCTCCTGAGTAGCTAGGATTACAGGCATAGGCTACCATGCCATGTCCAGCTCAACTGTGTTTCTAATAGTCCACAGAATGGGTGCCCTGAGTTCGTGTATTCTTATATTTTTGAGAAGCAGGAAGGCTCTCTAACTTTCTATTTTAACATACTGAAAAGAATCTGCAGACTGATTCATCTGAGAGGTCATCTGGAGAATCATCTTTCATAATAAACCCTTCCTCTTTAGAGGTCAGGTTTCATCACTCCTGTATTCTATTGCCTAATTCTGGAATATCTGAGACTCGAACTCACTCTGAACAGCAGGTCCCCCCCCCCCGCCCCCGCACGCCCTCCAGAGGACCTGCACGGCTGTGTCTTTCTCTCCTGTGCCGCCCACACGCTGTCCACACCCCTACATCACTTGCTCACAAAAATTCCCCAGAATCAAACAAAGACAGGTGCTGGGCACAGCGCCTCATGCCCGTCATGCCCGCCACTCGGGAGGTGGAAGATGGCATTCACAGCAAAGCCAGGCAAAGAACGTGTGAGATCTTATCAGAAGAAACTGGGCATGGTGGCGTCGTGAACCTGTCTCAGCCATGACGAAAGCGTCAACAGGAGCAAAGTTCACGTCAGCCTGGGGCAAAAAATGAGACCCTCACTCTGTTCACTTAATCATTTCTACTTGGTTAGTCATAGAGTCAAATATTGTGTTTAATTACCTTCTTCTTCGCCAGTTTTTTCTGGGGGTCGGTCCTGGGGCTTGACTCAGGGCCTGGGCCCTGTTGATGAGCTTTTTTCCCCAAGACTAGCGCTCTACCACTTTGAGCCACAGCACCACTTCTATGAGACCCTATCTCAAAAGTAAGTAGAACAGCCGGGCACCAGTGACTTACCCCTATAATCCTAACTACTCAGGAAGCTGATATCTGAGGATTACAACTTGAAGCCAGCCAGGTAAGGAAAGTCCATGAGACTTTATCTCCACTAAATTAGCAAAAAAGCTGAAAGTGGAGCTGGGGCTCAAATGGTGAGTACTTACCTTGAGCACAAAACCTCAGGGCCAATGCCCAGTCCCTGAGTTCAAGCCCCAGAACCAACATAAAGTTAATTACTTAATAATTTAAAAGCTAGAACAAAAAGGGCTGGAGGTATGACTGAGGCAGTGCAGCGACTGCCTAGCAAGTGAGAAGCCGTGAGTTCAAACCCCAATGCCAGCGAACAGACAAGAGTTCAAGCCCCAGTACGAGCGAACAGAAAAGTGTTCAAACCCCAATGCCAGCAAACAGACAAGAGCTCAAACCCCAATGCCGGCGAACAGACAAGAGTTCAAACCCCAATGCCAGCGAACAGACAAGTGTTCAAACCCCAATGCCAGCAAACAGACAAGCAGGAGTTATTTTAGGACCACATCCCAGCTACACAGCGGACCTGACTCCTCACGCAGACAGTGAACTTGATACTCTCCAGTTGGCTTCTCCAGGCCTGTGGGAATTTCTACTTGTCTTGTCTGCTCTCACTGACAGAGGTATCAGTGGCTCACACCTGTAATCCTAGCTTCCAGGAGGCTAAGATCTAAGGATTGTAGTTTGAAGCTAGCCTGGGCAAGAAAGTCCAATGGATTCTTGTTTTTTTGGTCCATCATGGAGCTTGAACTCTGGGCCTGGGCGCTGTCCCTCAGCTTTTCAGCTCAAGGCAAGTGCTCTACCACTTGAGCCACAACACCACTTCCAGCTTTTTCTGCTTATGTGGTGCTGAGGAACAGAACCCAGGGCCTCATGCTTGCAAGACAAACGCTCTACCACTGAGCCACCTTCCCAGCCCTCCAATGGATTCTTACCTCCAAGTAACCAGCAAAAAGCTGGAAGTGGAGCTGTGGTTCAAGTAGTAGAGTACCAGCCTTGAGTGAAAAAGCTAAGGGACAGTGCCCCGGCCCTGAGTTCAACCCTTAGGACCCCCACTAACAAAAAAAAAAAAAAAAGACACACACAGACACACTCCCCCATTGGGTGGGAGTACCTCCGGCTCCCGCAGCCCCACGCTACAGACGTCAGCTCCAGACTGCACCAGAAGCCCTGCCGGCCGCAGGCAGCCCTGGGCTGGGCGCAGGAGGTGCTGAGGGTACTCACCAAGCTTCTTTGTTCCCTCCGGGCATGAGTGACGGGCCGTACCGAGCCCCTTCCTCGCCACCACTGACGCCACTTCCCACAAACAAGAGTCCCTTGGCCTTCAGGTCTCGACATCGTCTCTAAAGGACAGAAACACAATTTCATAACGCTGCCAAAAAAGTTCTTCCTGGGCTGGGAATGTGGCTTAGTGGTAGAGTGCTTGCACAGCATGCATGAAGCCCTGGGTTCGATTTCTCAGTACCACATACACAGAAAAGCTGGATGTGTGCCTATGGCTCAAGTGGTAGAGTGCCAGCCTTCAGCAAAAGAAGCTCAGGGAGGAAGTGGCACTGTGGCTCATGTGGTAGAGCACTAGCCTTGAGCTAAAGAGCTGAGGCCCAGAGTTCAAGCCCTACAACCAGGAATTTAAAAAAAGAAAGTAGTGCTGGGTGCCAGTAGCTCATGCCTATAATCCTAGCTACTCAGGAGACTCAGATCTGAGAATCGAAGTTCAAAGCCAGTCCAGGCAGAAAAGACTGTGAGACTCATCTCCCGTTAACCACCAGAAAACCGGAAGTGGCGCTGTGGCTCAAGCGATAGAGCGCTCGCCTTGAGCTGAAGAGCTGAGGCCCAGAGTTCAAGCCCCAGGACTGAAAAAAAAAAAAAAAGAAAAGAAAGAAAAGAAAAGAAAAAGAAGTTCAGGGACACTGTCTAGGCCCTGAGTTCAAGCCCCAGGACTGGCAAAAAAAAAAGTTCTTCCCCATGAGCAAGGTGGCGTGATGTACATCAGATATCCTACATTTGCCAGGAAACAACACAGGGTTAGGAAGAACCACTCAACCACTTAAAGTTTAGGCACAGACATGAATTGGTGGCTCACACCTGTAATCCTAGCTACTAAGGAGGCTGAGGTCTAAGGTCAAAGTTAAAAGCCAATCTGGACAGATTTCAGACTTATATCTCAACTAACCAGCAAAAAGCTGGAAGTAAAGCTATGGCTCAAGTGGTAGAGCACCAACCTTGAGTGAAAACACCAAGCAGAGTGCAAGGCCCTGAGTTCAATTCAATATTTATGCCAGTACTGGCATAAATAATCAACCAGTAAATGATAAGAAAGTAAAGCATGCTGTGTTGGGGAAACAGCAGGAGTGGGAAGGTGAATGAAGAGGATGCAGGAAGATATCTATGACCAGGGAACAGTAAGACCTGTTGAAACTGATTTAGAGGAGGGGTTAAGGAAAGGCGAGGTCTGGCTGGACACAGTGTCATCACGCATGGAAGTGTGGAAATGTCACAGTGATCCCCCTCTGGTATAACCAATGTATGCTAACAAAAAAAAATAAATCTTATGAGCTAGGTGCAGTAGCTCAAGCCTGTGATCCTAGCTACTTAAGAGGTAGAGATGGGGGATTGTAACTGGAGACCAGCCAGGGCAAAAAAGCGTGACCTATTCCCTCTGAATTGATGGCTGGGCAGTGGCGCATGCCTGTCACCCCAGCTACAGGGAAGTGAACAGCTCTGCACAGAGCCAGCCACTCATCCTCCCCAGCAACACAGTGGAACACAAGTAGGAGGTTCACAGTTCAGGCCCGTCTGGCATAAAGTGAGGCCCTTCCCAAGAGTAACCAGCACAAACAATGCTGGAGGAGTAGCGCCAGAGGTAGAGCCTGAAGCCCGCTCCCCACTACCACACAGAAGTGGAAAAGAGTGAGCGTGGGACAGCGCCATGAGTGGGTTTCACAGGAAGACGACTTGCTGGCACTGGGCACTGCAGCACACAGGACTCCTGAGCACTAGAGCCGCGCCGCTTGGTTCATTACACCCTGGCCCACAGGGATCGTGGGAAGGAAAGGAGCAAGTTAGGCTGAGTTCTCAGCTGGCCGTACCTAAGCTGCTGCCGATCCCAAGTGATCTGGGTATCTGGGAACCTCATATACCGAGTATGCCTTAGCAGGAAAAAGCAGGTGACTCTTTCATCACGTGAACAATGTTGGTAATTCTTTCTAGAATGTTCTAAGGACCTGAAAGAATGTGGACTTCCCAACACTCACTGTAGTATCTCGATATTCAGAATTCCCTCCATCAATGATGATGTCACCGGAGTCCAGCAATGGCACCTGCAACCAGACACCAGCATTAAGGTGGGCCAGACACAGAGAGAAAACAAACTTCTGCCAGCGAAAAGAACAAAAAATTATCCAGAATATTCACAGTCTAAAGGGTTAGGGTTGAGCCTGGCACTAGTGGCTCATAAATCTCAGGAGATCCTAGGATTGTGGTTCAAAGCCAGCCCAGACAGAAAAGTCCATGAGACTCTCATCTCCAATAAACTACTCAGAAGAAGCTGAAAGTGGCGCTGTGGCTCACGGGGCAGAGTGCCAAGCAGAAGCATGAGGATGCGAGCTCGAGCCCCAGAACTATGCCAAAAATGCAACAAAACCACCACCATTTAGTATTTGCTTATGCTGAAGGGGAATGTACCCGTGTTTAGACCCCCGTGTCAGAAGCTGATCATGGCAGCTTAACACCTGGCTATGAATGAAGCTGAGCGTGGCTTCCTTTATCAGTGTCCTTCATCTCTAGGCCCTTCACTGAGACAGCAGCGGCACGGAGTCACTCTCTCTTCTCCCTACAGAAACAGCCAATCACTTTGCTGCTGCTGCTTTCCCAGAGCGGTCAGAACAGTTACTGGAGAGTCTTTTGTGGTTTTTTTTTTGGCGGTTGTGGGGCTTGAACTCTGGGCCTGGGCGCTGTCCCTCAGCTCTTCAGCTCAAGGCTAGCGCTCTACCACTTGAGCCACAGCGCCACTTCCGGCTTTTTCTGCTTATGTGGTGCTGAGGAATCGAACCCAGGGCCTCATGCATGTGAGGCGAGCGCTCTACCACTGAGCCACACTAAAGCCAGCCAGCAGTAATCCTACCTACTCTATACATGTAACCCTAGCTACTCAGGAGGCTGAGATCTGAGAATTGCAATTTGAAGCCAGACTGGGCAGACAAATCTTCAAGAGATTTTCTTAAATTAACCAGCAAAAGCCAGAGTAGAAGTGTGGCAAAGAGGTAGAGTGCCAACAAAAAGTGCAAAAGCTGAATAAAAGCATGAGGCTCTGAGTCCAAGCCCCAGGACTGGCACAAAAATAAACAAATTTGCCCACTAAGACTTTATTAGTGAATAGCACTAAGCATTCATGAATAGTATACAAAATTGTAAAATCTCAGGGGTAGGATGTGCTCGGCAGGTGGAAGGCCCGGGTTCAATCCCCAGCGCCAAAATGAACATAGAAAATGGGCTGAGGATGCTACTTCATGGTTGTCTCACAAACACTAGGCCTGGGATGGGTCCCTAACGTTGGGGTGGAAGGTCAAGGGGAAGAGGGGAAGAGATTCAGCCCCCATCCCACTGACAGCAAATACCAAAGAAAGAGAAAGGATGGGTGGGGCTGGAAGAACGGGGAAACGATGAAATGGTGGGCACTGATCAAGGTGCACTGTCCTCATAAACTGGCCTGTTAAACTGTGCAGCCAAAGATAATAAAATTATAATAATTAAAAAACGTCTCTGGGTACCAGTGGTTCACACCTGTAAACCTAGCTACTCATGAGGATGAGATCTGAGGATCAAAGTTCAAAGCCAGCTCAGGCAGGAAAGTCCCAGAGACTCCAATAAACCACTCAAAAAACTGAAGTGGCGCTGTGGCTCAAGTGGTAGAGGACTCATGTTGAGCTGAAGAGCTCAGGGACAGCACCCACGCCCAGAGTTCAAGCCCCATGAAAGTCCATGAGACTTTTTTTTTCTGGCCAGTCCTGGTTTTCTGGTTGTTAACTAGAGATAAGAGTCTCATGGACTTTCCTTCCTGGGCTGGCTTTAAACCTCGATCCTCAAATCTCAGCCTCCTGAGGAGCTAGGATTACAGGCGTGAGCCATCAGCACCCAGCTATAGTTACTATTCTTAATAAATCCTTAGTGAAAAGCTTCTTCATATCCTTACATTACCACCCAAGGATATGCTGTGAATTAGTCCCAATCGTTAACCAATACTAAAACATTCAGGCAAGTGTTTTGTCAAACAGAAACTGAAATAAAAATTTCTAAAATAAAACAACTGAAAAACCAGCAAACCAAATGCAGGGGCAGGGGCAGGGGCAGGGGCAGGGCAGGGGCAGGGGCAGGGCAGGGGATGGGGCAGGGCAGGGGATGGGGCAGGGCAGGGGATGGGGCAGGGGCAGGGGCAGGGGCAGGGGCAGGGCAGGGGCAGGGGCAGGGCAGGGGCAGGGCAGGGGCAGGGGCAGGGCAGGGCAGGGGCAGGGGCAGGGGATGGGGCAGGGGCAGGGCAGGGGCAGGGCAGGGGCAGGGGCAGGGCAGGGCAGGGGCAGGGGATGGGGCAGGGGCAGGGGCAGGGGATGGGGCAGGGGCAGGGCAGGGCAGGGGCAGGGCAGGGGCAGGGGATGGGGCAGGGGCAGGGCAGGGGCAGGGGCAGGGGCAGGGCAGGGCAGGGGCAGGGGCAGGGGCAGGGCAGGGGCAGGGGCAGGGGCAGGGGATGGGGCAGGGCAGGGGATGGGGCAGGGCAGGGGCAGGGATGGGGCAGGGGCAGGGCAGGGGCAGGGGCAGGGCAGGGCAGGGCAGGGGCAGGGGCAGGGGATGGGGATGGGGCAGGGCAGGGGCAGGGCAGGGGCAGGGGCAGGGCAGGGCAGGGGCAGGGGCAGGGGATGGGGCAGGGGCAGGGGATGGGGCAGGGGCAGGGCAGGGCAGGGGCAGGGGATGGGGCAGGGGCAGGGGCAGGGGATGGGGCAGGGGCAGGGCAGGGGCAGGGGCAGGGGCAGGGGCAGGGCAGGGGCAGGGGCAGGGGCAGGGCAGGGGCAGGGGCAGGGGATGGGGATGGGGCAGGGCAGGGGCAGGGGATGGGGATGGGGCAGGGCAGGGGCAGGGGCAGGGGATGGGGCAGGGGCGGGGCAGGGGCAGGGGCAGGGGATGGGGCAGGGGCAGGGGCAGGGGCAGGGGCAGGGCAGGGGCAGGGGCAGGGGATGGGGCAGGGGCAGGGGATGGGGCAGGGGCAGGGCCAGGGGATGGGGCAGGGGCAGGGCAGGGGCAGGGGCAGTGGATGGGGCAGGGGCAGGGCAGGGGCAGGGGCAGGGGATGGGGCAGGGGCAGGGGATGGGGCAGGGGCAGGGCAGGGGCAGGGGCAGGGGATGGGGCAGGGGCAGGGGATGGGGCAGGGGCAGGGCAGGGGCAGGGGCAGGGCAGGGACAGGGACAGGGGCAGGGGCAGGGGCAGGGCAGGGGATGGGGCAGGGACAGGGACAGGGGCAGGGGCAGGGCAGGGGATGGGGCAGGGGCAGGGGCAGGGCAGGGGCAGGGGATGGGGCAGGGGCAGGGGCAGGGGCAGGGGCAGGGGATGGGGCAGGGGCAGGGGCAGGGGCAGGGGATGGGGCAGGGGCAGGGGCAGGGGATGGGGCAGGGGCAGGGGCAGGGGCAGGGGCAGGGCAGGGGCAGGGCAGGGGATGGGGCAGGGGCAGGGACAGGGACAGGGGCAGGGACAGGGCAGGGGCAGAAGCTGCACTGGCCTCACCAGTTTGTCAATGAAGTCATCCACAGCTTGGCCAGCCTTCACAAGCAGGATGATCCGCCGGGGCTTCTTCAGCTTGGAGACCATCTCCTTCAAGGACTGTGCACCAATCACTTTGGTTCCCTTTGCCTCATTGGCCAAGAAATCATCTACTTTGGAGACTGTCCTGTTAAAAGCACACACCTAGAAGGACAAAAGGCCTGCTTAGGAGATGGAGGACACACAAGACCTTCACTCTGTGGACCCAGCAACAGTGAAATATTTACTCAGCCCACAGTTCATCTGCCTCCTCCTTTTCATTATCCAAGTGCTGGTGGATCCCTGTAAGGTTAAGTCACAGCCTCAGGGAGAAACAGCTGAGAACGGAGGCACAGGCCAGCAGACACAGCACTCAGGTGTCATGTAGCGCCTGTCCCTACCACGAAGGCCCTAGGTTACACCTAGGCCTAGACAGTTCCACAGGGGTTGGGCTTTCCTCCCTGAGAGTCCTGGCATCTAAGTCACTGGAGTATTTAGGAACAGCATTTTGGGCTGTACCTGCTACTCAGGAGATCCCACAGAGGCCAGGTTGAATAACACTGTCTGATGGAAAAGAAGAAGAAAAAATTCAGGAACTAGAGGCTCAAGTGGTACAGTAGCCAGCAGAGAGTGGAAAAAGTCATGGTAGAATGTGATGCCTTGAGTTCAGGCACCAGTACTTGCACAAACAAATGTTTTTTGGCTCTCCCCAGCTTATACTAGGTTAGAGGAGATTCATCCTGATTTAAGATACTGAACCTTGCCTGGAGCCAGTGGCTTGTATCTCTAGCTACTCAGGAGGCTAAGATCTGAGGATGAGAGTTCAAAGCCAATCCAGACTGAAGTCCCTGAAACCCTTTTTTTTTTTTTTTTTTTTTGGCCAGTCGTGGGGCTTGAACTCTGGGCCTGGGCGCTGTCCCTCTGCTCTTCAGCTCAAGGCTAGCACTCTACCACTTGAGCCACAGGGCCATTTCCGGTTTTCTAGTGGTTTATTGGAGATCAGAGTCTCACGGACTTTTCTGCCCAGGCTGTCTTTGAACCGCGATCCTTATATCTCAGCCTCCTGAGTAGCTAGGATTACAGGCGTGAGCCACGGGCACCCAGCTCCCCGAAACTCTTATCTCCAATTAACCAGCAAAAAGTGAGAAGTGGGGTTGTGGCTCAAGTGGTAGGGCACTAGCCTTGAATGAAAAAGCTCTAACAATGTCCCAGCCCTGAGTTCAAGCCTCAGGACAGAAAGAGAGAAACAGAGACCTAGAGACGGCTACCGGCACACACGGAAGCAGGTTCTCGGTGCACTGTGCAGGGATCCCTGAAACTGGGTCAATGCCAGGAAGATCCGCTCAAAGGCAGCTGCGTCCCCACAACTCACCACAAAGCCGTGGTCATTCATGTTCAGTATTAAGTTCTGGCCCATGACAGCCAGTCCGATCAGTGCGATGTCGGCTCTGGAAGGCGGAGGGAAAACAAAGGGCGTCGTCAGTGTCTCCGGTGGGCTTTACACCGGACGGGGGCTCCGGCGCGGCGCGGCCGCATGCGCGCGCGCCCGGGGACCCGCGCCCGGGGACCCGCGCCCGGGGACCCGCGCCCCGCCGCTCGGGGACCCCGAGGCCCCTCCCCATCCGCACTCGCCCCCGGGGACCCGCGGGGACCCGAGCCCCGCCGCGCGCGCGGAGCCCCCGAGCCGGCCGGGCTGGGGGGGCGGCGCCCGAACCCGCGCCGCGGAGGGCGGGCCCCGGGCCCGGAGGCGCGGGGTCGCAGCGCGCGCGGGGGGCGGCCCCCGCGCTGAGGGCCGCGTGGAGGAACCCGCAGACGCCCGGCCGGGTCCCCGCGGTCACTCACTGGGCCATGGCGGCGGCGGGCAGAGCGCGGCGACTAGCAGGAAGCGCGGCCAGCGGGGTCGGCGGGCGAATGAAGCGGCGTCGGGATCCCGCTGGCCTCACCGTCCGGCTTCCCGGAACCGGCCAATCGGGAGGAAGGGCTGTAGCTTCGCTCCCCACCATTGGTTCTCTCCGGCGCCTGTTAGACCACCTGAGGGCAAATAGACACGCCCACCTCGAAGCCTGACCAGTAGAGCGCCGAGCCGTTCGAGGAGCCCCAGCAGGGAGCGGGGCGCTTGGAGCCCGGCAAGGTGGCCTCTTCGGCCAGCCGGGACTTGGTTCTCGGGTCCGGGACTGGGGCCCGCCGCTTGGCGCAGACTAGAGCTGCCGCCAGGACCTCGTGCGCCGTTCATTAGCCCCTTAGCGGTGAAGGTGTAACTTCGGCCGGACCGCGCTTTACAGTTGACAGGGCTTTTTTGCAGAGTTGACGGGTTGCTGTGCGCGGAGCAGCGCAGGGCCATCCTCGCTGGGAAGCGACCGGGGTACCCGTCCCCGCGGGCGGGGGGCGGCAGGGGGACGCCCAGGACGCCGAGAACGTGCGGGGCCGCGTGTGGCGTGGGCCTGAGCCAAGCGGGGCGAGAGGGACCGGGGCGGGGGGACCCCTCCAGCCAGGGCTGGGGACGCAGGCCTTGCTCCCAGGCCGCGGGTGTCCAGTGGGAAGGACAGCTGGAGTGGCCCAGTGGGCGTGGGGGACGGTCACTAATGGTGGATGGTGGACATTGGTCGCAGGGTCGCAGCCGGAGGGGAGGAAGGGGCATCCGCTCAAGGCCCCACTTGGCAGTCAAGTTTTGGTCTGGTGCCGGTGTATCTCGGAGAGAGGGTTAAGGCCAAAGTGTTAGTAAATCAAGGCACTGCTCTGGAGTCTCAAGATAAGGACATCTAACTTAACCGAAACCTTCAAACAAAACTACCCATCTGGCGGGGAGGGAACGTGGGAGAAAAACGAGGCAGGGGGTAACAACGCTTGACAAGCAGTGTACTCACTACCTTAGGTATGTAACAGTAACACCTGCACATCACCTTGCAATAAACTAAAACAAAACACCCAACTACCCATCTTGGGGATACATCGGATATATTGTATATTAAATGTCACCAAAAAAACCACCCTAGTTCTGAGCTAGGAAAAAAAAGTCCATGATCTTACTGGATTGTTTATGGAAATTGCTACTCGTTTTCTCAGTTCCTAAAACAAGTACTGATATAATTTATGGAAACAAAATTAATGTAAAGGGATAGTGAGATAAGAAAGTCTGAGAACCACCTACTGACCTAGCCAGACTCCTGCTTGAGATGGAGGCTTGCTGACTTGCTCTGTTCCAAGTTACTAACTTGGAGACTGGTGGCTTTCTGAGGTCCCTGTCAGTCAAATCTGGGATAGAGTGGGGGTAGGGCAGCACATTCTAAGTAGTAGATCAGATGGCTTCTAGAATGAACTGGAATTTACTGCTTGACAAAAGAAAAGGGTTTCGATGTCACATCTTGCTAATTCTGGTTCCATTGTTTTCTTGCTGTGTGACTGGGGGCAAGTTTTTGTGCTTTTTTTTTTTTTTTTTTTGGTCATGGGGCTTGAACTCTGGGTTTGGGCGCTGTCCTGTGCTCTTCAGCTCAAGCACCTGGCTTTTGTAAAAGATCTTGTTTCTGACTTTTGGAGCTGGTGATTGAGTCCTGGACATTAGACATAGTCCTACTGACCTCTCCTCCCTAGGGGCAAGTCACTGGGTCTCAGGATGTCTCCTCTGCAACGGAAGGGAAAAAAGAAAGTGAGAGAGTGAAGAATACAGAAATGCATTGCAAGTATATATGAAGATGGCATAAGAACTTCAAAGAAAGCTGCTGAGTAGTTGGGAGATGGGTGAAGAGAAAGCAAAAAAGAGGGTTATTCTTATTAAAATGTAATATATACATATTTGAAATACAATCCCTTGGTACAATTATGCATACTATTAAAAAAAAAAAAGTTGGGCACTGGTGGCTCATGCTTATAATCCTAGCTACTCAGGAGGCTGAGATCTGAGGATCATGGTTCAAAGCCAGCCTGGGCAGGAAAAGTCCATGAGACTCTTATCTCCAATAAACCACCAAAAAACCAGAAGTAGCGCTGTGGCTCAAGTGGTAGAGCGCTAGCCTGGAGCTGAAGAGCTGAGGGACAGCGCCCAGGCCCAGAGTTCAAGCCCTATGACTGACAATAAATAAATATATAAATAAACAAACTAGCCAAGACTGGTGTCTCATGCCTGTAAACCTAGCTACTCAGCAGGCTGAGATCTGAGGATCAGGAGTTGAAGCTAGCCTGGGCAGGAATGTTTAAGAGGCTTATCTCCAATTAACCAGCAAAAAGCCAGACATAGCCAGGTGCTGGTGGTGCTGTGGCTTAAGTGGGAGAGTGCTTACCTTGAGCAGGAGAGCTGAGGGACAGCACCCAGGCCCAGAGTTCAAGCCCCATGACAAAATAACAATAATAATAATAATAATAAAAAGTCCAAAGTAGAGGTATGGCTTAAATAGATAGAGCTCCAGCCCTGAGTGAAAAAGCTAAGGGACAGCACTTAGGCCCTTAGATCCAGACATTGTACAAACCAAAAATAAAATTTTAATCTGATGGATTTTTCGGCCAGAATCCTTAGTTCTCAGCCTCCTGAGTAGCTAGGGTTACAAGCAGGCATGCTTGTAATCTCACTGGTGTGAGACCCTTTGTGCCTAAGACTTTCCTTTATCTTTGCAGGGCTGGGGATCAAGCCCATGCCTTATCCATTGCTAGGTAAGAACCCTACCCAGTCCTAGTTTTGTAGTAAGGGCGTTTTGAACTCAGGGCCTTGCACTTGGTAAGCAGGTGCTCTACCACCTGAACCAAGCCCTCACCTCCAGCCCTTGGGCTCCAGGCAGGGTCTCCTGCCTCTGCCAGCCTTGCACCCCTCCCCAAGCTCTCAGATCCTTCTCTTGAGTTTACCAGGGCGGAGCTGGGTCTGCTGGCTTTGCCCAGAGACATGAGGCAGCATGCAGTAATAGATTCTATACTGGGAGGTTCCACCATGGCCATCTCTCTCATAGCCTGGATTTGGCACTTCAGCCTCACAGCAATGAGATGCACGATGGGAAACCAGAAAAATACCGTGCCCCCCAGCCTGCCTTGTCCCTACCAGGTGGGAGAGTGAACAATCAGCTACAGGCAAGACCAGAAAAGCTCAATATCCTGAGACACCATCCTGCAGCTAGAACCCAGGGCTTGAGTGCTGTCCCTGAGCTTTTTTAATGCTCAAAACTAGCACTCTACCACTTGAGCCACTTCCAGATATTTGGTGGTTAATTGGAGATAAGTCTCCCATACTTTCCTGTCCAGGCTGGTTTTTGAACTTTGATCCTCAGAGCTCAGCTTTCTGAGTAGCTAGGATTACAGGGGTGAGCCACCAGTGCCTGGTCAGACAACATCCTTTATCCTGATAAGGACAAAAAGAAACAAAACCCCTCAGAGCCAGTTAGGAGCAGAAGTGAACTTTGACCTTCCGATGTTAGCCAGGCCTTCTCTCCCCACTAGGGTCAGAAGGGAATCTGGTGGAGACTCATACTACTTGTTTTCCCAGCAGAACTGGTGGATACTGTACATAGTGCTTAGTAGACTTTAAATGGAGTTAACTTTTTGTGAGTAGTTTTGACGTGCCAACAACTGCTTGTAGAAATTCTGCCTCCAGAGAGCACCTTGGTGACAGGTAGACTTTTCAGCTTTGTGGCAACTACATGCTCTTCCTGTGGGCTCTTCCCAAGAAAGCCTGCACTCAGATGCTGTTGCTGGAGCAAGTTGATTGCTCTGGTCTGAGATTTAGCAAGAGAGGAATTCTGCTGAGTCAAAGTGACAAGACATCTGTACTTCCTGAATCCACCAAGAACGGTCACTCTTTATGAGAAGTTTGGCTAGCAATCAAACATCCATTTTTCTCTCTCTCTTACATTACATGCTACATCAACTTGCCATTTCTCTGTTAGGGAATTAACAGGGGAAAAACAAAACAAAACAAAAACACCTGCTTCCCAGAGAACTGTTACAAAGCCATAGCAAAGATGTATTCCCCTGGGTTGGAAAGCGCTTGTGAGCCAGGGAGTCACATGGAACAGACCTGCAGTTCTTAGAAAATCCACCAATGCAGCCAGGTACCCATGGCTCACACCTGTAATCCTAGCTGCTCAGGAGGCTGAAATCTCAGGATGGCAGTTCGAAGGCAACCCCAGCAGGAAAATCTATGAGACTCATCTAAAGTACTCAGAAAAAGCGAGGCGTGGCACTAGCCTTTATTATATCTGCCCAGGAACTTCAAAAGAAACTTATATAAGATCGATTTCAGGGTTAATTAACCAGTTCAAAATGGAAGTCCATCATAGTTTAGGGAAAGCACAGCCTGATGTAACCTCTAACGCCTAGCTTTTTTTTTTTTTTGGTGCCAGCACTGGAGCTTTAACTCAGAGTCTGGACTTTGTCCCTTAGGTTTTGCATTCAAGGCTGGTGCTCTACCACTTGAGCCACACTTCCATTTTCAGTTTTTTTTGGTGGTTGGTTGGAGAAAAGTCTCATAGACTTTCCTGCCCAGTCCAGCTTTGAAACCTCAGTCTTCAGATCTCATCCTCTGAGAAGTTAGTGATACCACTGATGTTACCAGTTTAATGAATGCTTTCCCTCTTTCCCTTTGTGGAATGGGGGCTAGCTGTGGGATGGGGGCTACCGGTGCATGCGCACTTGCTGTCTCCTGTGGAATCCTCAGCACCCCGACAGCACACCAGGCAGAACAGCACCCCAATACCCACTGGACATACTGACACAGAGTCATGGATGCAGCTGGGCCAGAGACATGGAGAGATTTTCCTACTACTACCTCCGATGCCCCAGAGGTGAGTGCCATGACCCCCAGCGGCTCCTTGCTTCTTGCTGGGTGCAGATTCCCAGGACAGTGCAGATTCTGCTCTCAGTGGGAGCTTGTTAAATTAAGCTGACACATTGCAATTTTAAAACCATGGCCTTGGGCTGGGAATGTGGCTTGGTGGTAGAGTAGGAATAAAAGCACGTGGCGAGCCTTTGGATGCACTGGTTGTACCTTTATTATTTTTACCTCGTTCACTAATAGTTCCGTGGTGCAAGGTTACCATACACACAGTTAGATAATGTCTGCATTGCACATCTAAGGCTATACAGCAAAAGAATCAGAATTAGTACAAATACAAGAACTGTATTTACATTCTGTATTATACTCAAGCTCCAAACATCAGATAATATTTACAAAATAAAACATGAAAATGAAAATCCAAAATTAATAATGTACATTGTTGCGAATGTGCTCAACTCCTTCACTGGGGAGAGATCAGTTTGCAAAGTCTTGGTTCAAAAAGGCCACTTATGCGTCATGGACTTTGTCACAGAGCATGAGAATGGAGACAGAGGCTGCGATGTCAACACACAAGTGCTTTCGGGCCGGACGCCTCACTATGGAGAGGCTGGTGGATTCCTCAGGTAAACTGATGTCAGAACACTTAGCATGGAAAAAAAAAAAGTGGACGGGAAGACATGAGAAGCCACACACCCCGGCCAGCCGCCACGTGTGAGTGTGTCCTTTTACAGCATTGGTGACCAAACCCAGGGCAGGGCGGCACACATCAAAGGCAAGTGGGCCTCCTCTGAGCTGCATCTCCAGCCCCTGGCTGTGAGCTGTTAGCATGAGTTCTGCATCAACTCTAAATGATTTCCTTTAAGCAATTAGGGAGGGGGGGAGGGGTTGGGGGGGAGGGGCGGCTTTCTTAAAGGTTTTAGAATAGGGTTCAAACATTCAGTTCATAAATGGCCTTTTGAACAGCAGCAGCAAATAACCTCAAGCTGCCGAGCTCTGGCAGGTGTGGCGCCCGCTGGCCACGGTGGATGGCGGCAGTGCACACAGCAGAGTCCTGGCCAGTACATCTTGCATGCCACCTAGAGCAGTCAGCAGCTTTAGTCCTTTCTTCTTAAGGAGCAAATTAACAATCACATTTCAAAAGGGAACCCAAAGGAAAGGTGAAAGACCCACAACACACAAGCAACAACCCCAGTGAAGAGCCCCAGAAGAGCCGAGCAGAGCGCAGTGCCCAGCGGGCGTGCGGAACGAGTCCCGGTAGGGGTGCGAGAGAGAATCCTTCTCTTCCAGTCCATGTGCAATTCATTACAGCTATATAAATATACAAATACCTTACAAAATTAAATATCCCTGTAAATCAGACGAGAAGCAGCAGGCAACAAAGCCCATGCTTTGAGATATGTGCCAGAAGTCATTACATCTTTAGATCCTGAAGACCCTTTCCCCTGGGAGCAGCTGTGTAAAATCTATGCAGGGAGCAGGGGTGAACAATCAGCCATCGTGGTTTCTTGGTTGCTTAGTGGCTTCTTGTTGGGGAAGCGCTCTCCTCACATGAACAAGACCCTTGGTTAAGGACCTGCCGTGGAGCCCACTGGAAAGTGGCCACGCAGCGCCAGAGGAAGCCCCATGGTGCTCCTGACCGGCAGTGCGGGGCTGCCTGGCCCCGCCCAGCCTGGGCCTGAGAGCTGGCTGACTCCCAGGTGGCCCCGCGCAGGCGCGTCTGAGCACTGGAGTGGTGGCAACTGTGAGGCCCTATTCTGGTTTGGTCAGAGAAAGGAGGATGGGAAGTGAAGAGAGGAGGCAGTAATTAGCACTGTTTTCTGTAATTTGCATAATTCTTTTGGCTGTTTGTTCAGAGGACTGTTTTACTGCTTCCCTGAAAGGGTTCTGAACGTTCCTGCCATCGTGGCTGTAGCAAAGGAGTCACGTAGCTGCTGGCTCCTCACATTTTGGAGCAGAAATGGACAGCTGGAAACATCAACACTCCCCCCGCCCCAAAATGGCCTGAGTTCCAATGTGGAAATGGGCTCCTAGAAGAAGAGGGGTTCCACAAGGGCTGTGTGCACCCACGGGCCGCAGCAGAGGCTGGGACGGTGGAGTTTACCCGCTTCCTCCTCGTCTGCAACAGCTCATGCCAACTTCTGACACTTCAAAAGCAAAGACTTTCCAAACCAGTTTTGTGTTAAAAACAAAAAACAAACCCTGAGCGATCAGATCAGCGCATCGCTGGGTTCCGCGCTCCCTCAGGCTCCGCCTCCTGTCTCGGCCAGGACCCTTCCTCCCACAATGCCTCAGGTTCTACTTCATCTTCATTTCCCTGAAGTTAGTTCCAGGCTAGGAAGCTGTCTCTAAGCACAGACAGACCCAGTGGGATGCCAGTATATACCAGGAGGCTTACTGTATCCAGCAGATAACCAAGAGACTCCTAAATACATTACAAATCTCATCTATGCTTAGGAAACAAATAACATTACAGTTAGTGACTATATTCTAAGGAGAGGAAGGAAGTTTGGGAGTTTCTGTTGATTACTTCTCAGATAAAAAGGCCGATTTCCACCTTTCCTTCCCTAAGCTCTCCTTCTTTCTCAGGGCAAGATAAACTTTCACAAGCCAGCCCCGCCATCTCTGGAGGTGGGTGCTGACAGACTGCTCTGCAGATGTGTGCGAGCCCACCACCGGGGACCTGAGTGAGCAGATGCTTTTCTGGATGCCTGAGCCATGATGAAAAGCTGGGCAAGGGAGTAAAGAAGGCCCGGAACAGCCCCAAGTCACTGGCAAAGCAACTCAAGTTGCTGAGCCTCCTGTCCCCAATCAGTTCTGCAAAATATTCTGGCATTAAACCAAGAGCGTTATGTTCTAGGATGGTCCCTGGCTTCCAGAAGCCAAGGGAGGCTCTGCAGGGAGTAAGTTCCCTCATTCCTGCTCCAAAGGTAGCTCCACATTGCGTGGAGGGAACATAACCGCAGAGGGGAGACAGCAGGGCTGGGCAATGTAATTATTTGTCCGCAAGTGTCTTTTGTTTTGCTTGGAGTGGTAGTGGGGGTTGGTCTTAATCCTGGTTGACAAGCATCGTTGGAAATGGCCAATGTTACACCGAGAGCTAGGTTTCCTTAATCAAAGCAAACTACTAACAGTCACATTTCACAGTCAGCACTGTCATAATTACTGCGTCAATAGTGACGGAGTTTATAACCAGCAAGTGAAAGGCACCCCCTTGTGGGGTCTGTGTGCATGACATGGTACCAACTCCAAACTACCACCAGCATCAGGAGATGCAAGGCTCCTCTTCTGCAGGGCCCCTGCTGCAGGGAACTGCAGGCATTCCTGATGCTGCCCTCACCCACCTCTACACCCTACCCTCTAAACCCCACTGCAGCATCTCCAGCCATCGTTTCCTGACAAGCCCAAAGTAGCCACTGTCCCAGGCCCACAGTAAAGGCTTCTCAGTCTTTCCCTCTAGGAGAATCCAGAACCATGCACTAAACAAGCCCTAATGTTGACTCTGAATCTAATTGATGCATTCTTGAGCTCACCATAGCTTTCTCCCTGAATACAAATGCAGGGATTAGCAAAGGCAAACAGAAGAGGGGAAAAAAGGTAAGCTTTTCCTTTGGGATCTAATAATAAGGCCAGATGTCTCCTTACTTCACTTTCTAAGCCACCCAGGAAAAATTAAACTGGTATTAAAAACAGTCCAAAGAAAAAGGTTATCCTGAAAAACAGACAGAGGTATCCAAAGACAACAGTCCGACAGCAGCAGAGGTCACAATGGAGATCTAGTGTACAAAAGGAAGCCAAAGTACATGAAAAAATAAATTGGAGATTTGCTGGATCCTCTCAGGGTGCATGTGTGTGTGCATTGTGTGTGTGTGTGTTAGCCTTTTTTTTCCTTTTGTTAGGCCACATGCTACTAACAAGATTCTCAGCATAAGAAAAAGAAGAGTACAGAGCCATGAAGATGGGGCACAGGAGAGCTAGAGAAAGTGTTGAACGACGGCGGGGGGGAAAGTAGTTAAGCCACAGGATTACATACAAGAGTAACCGTTAGGAATCACAAGGAAAATGAGAGGTAACACTTTCTTTATCTCTTGAAGGCGAGTGAGGGCTCAGTAGAGTTGCTTAGTATTTCAGTTGGCTTGGGCATCTTCGAGAAAGTTTTGACCTGTGGGACAAAGGAGAATCGAGATGGAAAAATGATGCAGGTGTCTCTCCGCACAAGTATTATTCCCTATGGCATTGCAGGCCCAGGCCTGTAGGCTCCTGAACAAACCAGTGGGCTCAGCTGTGGACTTCCTCATTCTGGGTAATGAGTAATCCTGTCACACAGCCCTTCAAGGATCTGTAGCTGAACGGGGAAGTCTATTGAGGTCCTCACAATCTTCCCTTTCCTCAGTGTTCTGGACCACCTTCAGACCTCAGAATTGAAAAACAAAGGCGATTCGTAGGTGAAAATATGACCAGAGACTCTTCAGTGACTCAGGACATAAGATTTTATCTTTTCTTTTCTTTTTTTTTTGTGATGGTCCTGGGGCTTCAACTCGGGGCCTGAGCACTGGTCCTGAGCATTTTTGCTCAAAGCTATTGCTCTAACACTTTGAGCCACAGTTCCATTTCTAGCTTTTTTGGTAGTAAATTAGAGATAAGAGTCTCACAGATTTTCCTGCCTGGGCTAGCTTCAAACTGCAATCCTTAGATCTCAGCCTCTTGAGTACCTAGGATTACAGAATGAGCCACTAGTGCTCAGCCCACAACAGAAAAGCTGAAGCCTCATTACCACCCTTACAACCTCTAGGACTAAAAGCTAAGAAGAAAAAGGAGACCCAAGAACAGCTTCTTAGTTTCGGGTATGTTGGCAAATGCCCATAATCTCGGAGGAGCAAAAGTTCAGGGCCGGCCTGGGCTACACGATCAAGACCCTGCCTCCAAAAAACTAACAGCTTCTTACCGTATTGTGCCAGCAAGGAGTGGGTTAAAGGCATATAACCAGTCATTCATGTCTTTGTCATTGAGAGCTTGCAGAAGGACACCCCGGTGCTTGGTACACACAGCAAAGGTGTTAGGTGTCTGAAAGAAACAGGGAGGCAAGGAGGTTACTGCAGAAATGAGCCACGGTCACCTGACCGTCCGCGCCACACAACAGAATTCACAACTCTGAAGGGAAAGGGGAAGGTGTGTGGTGAAAATCCGAGAACAGCAGGACAGACCTTCACCATGGCCTGCTGGTCCTCGCTATACTCCACTTGCGCCGTGGACAGGTTAATGATGCCACGCTCCACCGGGTCCTTGTCGCTGTTATAGATGAAGACGTAGGGGCGACGGACCACGACGAAATGCTTAGCCCAGTTGCTGGACAGTGGCTCCTTGAAATTCAGGTATCCTTTCTTAGAGACCACTGAGCTAAAAGGACAAGGAGAGAAGTTACTTTCTCACATAAAGACAGTGACCATGACCCTCAAAATATGTCTCTCCCAGTCAAGTTCCCAAATTCAGCAAACAGGCAAATGATCCATTGGGCCTTGATTCTTAGTGGCCAAAGTAATTCAGCAGATCAGCAAGCTGCCGTAGGAACGTGCTACGCCAGGAGAGGATGCCGGAGGTCACAGCGGGGCAGGAGGCCAAGCTCCCCGCCTGCCACCACGTCAGTGCGCACTGGACAGCAACACACTCGCACAGGCTTGTGGTCTGTCCCAGGACAAGGCAGCACTCACCCTGGTCTAATTTCTTCAATATCTGGAACAAGATTGAGAAACTCATTTTTTCCTGCTCGGGCCAAATAAGGTGTCTCCACAGTTGGGACAATCTGAAACTGCTCCATTTCCGGACAGGGGCTAGAGGCCCTGGAGTTGGCTTCTGGGGTCCTTTAAAAGACAGAGGTTAGAGAAAGGTTCAAATGCCAGGCATGGTGGTGCACGCTGATAATCCCAGCACTTTCAGCCAGCCTGGCCTACCATAGTGAGACACCAGTTCAACGATCCCCAGCACTCATTTCAGTGACATCAAGGTGCCTGTGCACAGCCACCTTACCAGAGAGACGCACGCCTCTCTCAGGGCACCAGGGGCTCACATTAGTTTCAGAGAGCTCAGCTGAGAAGACAAGATGCTTTCCCAAAGCTAACACTGGATTCCAGCACGCAGAGGATGCTGGTGCCCACCCGGCCAGCCCCACGCCCTCCTCTAGGAACACAAACAAACCTGCCCTGCATCAGCCCCAAGGCCAGACCTGGGGCAGTAGTTCTCAACATGTGGTAACCTGACCACGAGCAGCAGCTCCATCTGGGAAACCAAGAAATTCAAGTCCCTAGCTGGACCCAGACCCCCAGAGAGGCCTGGGGTGGGGATTAGCCATTGTGCTTTACCATGCCTCTTACAGACTCTAGGCACTGCCTTAGGGAAGGCAGGAAGCAAGCAGATGAGGCAGGGCAGACCCGGCTGTACTGCTGACCAAGACTCATCCCAGCCGTTCGTGAGAAGGCAAATCCTCTGCTTTGTTGCTATGTGTGTCTCTACAGAACAGTTTGGCCTCTGATTCCAAGAAACTCATTTTCCTACTTCTTGAGTTGGTATACCTAAGATAGTATGTCAGGTTTAGCTAGCTTTTCTTTCCTGTGTGGTTGATAGCACCCAAATTTTAATAAAAAAAATTTTTTTTTCAGTCATGGGGCTTAAACTCTGGGCCTGGGCACCATCCCTGAGCTCTTCAGCTCAAGGCAAGCCCTCTATCACTTGAGCCACAGCGCCACTTCCGGTTTTCTGGTAGTTCATTGGACATAAGAGTCTCATGGATTTTACTGCCCAGGCTGGCTTTGAACCATGATCCTCAGATCTCAGCTGCCTGAGTAGCTTAGGATTACAGGTGGGAACCACGGGTGCCCTGCTTAATAAAATTTAATGAGAAAAGGCTCCAATACGTTTCTGAGCGCTGCCTAAGGGGGTGGTGCTGCCCTCGCTGAGAACCACAGCAGAGGAGAGCTGACATTTCCCCTAATTCGCAGACTGGTTTCTCTCCCTGAAACCTGGGCACTTACTTCTGATCCACAGAATTGCTTCTCGAGTCAACCAGAGAGGGGCAGGTGGAGGATGGAGTGAGGGTAGCACTGCTGAAACTGGACACAGAAGGGTCCCGTCCGATCGGAGAGACGTCAGACAACTGGAAATAAGAAGGACATAGCCAGTGAGCCTCAGCAGCAGGAAGCTACCTCTGCCGAGAGGGGCTTACATGACCAGCACCTCCCTTCTGTGCCTGCTGCAGAAGGCCACTAAAGAAAACAAGCCTGGCCGGGCATTGGCGGCTCACGCCTGTCATCCTAGCTACTCAGGAGGCTGAGATCTGAGGATGGCGGTTCAAAGCCCGCCCAGGCAGGAAAGTCCGCACGACTCTTATCTCTAATAAACCACTCAGAAAACCAGAAGTGGCGCTGTGTCTCAAGTGGTAGAATGCTCGCCTTGAGCTGAAGAGCTGAGGGACAGTGCCCAGGCCCAGAGTTCAAGCCCCACGACCGACAAAAACAAAACAACAACAAAAACAACAACAACAACAAAAAAACAAGAAAACAAGCCTGCAGACAATATCAGAAGATAAGTGTTTCATGTTCTGAATCATGACATTTTCAAAAGGGGGGCTGGGGACAGTGTAGCTCAGTGGTAGAATGCTTCCAGGCCCTGGGTTGTGTCCCTGCATAGCAAAGCAGACAGATAGAACCCATACCCCTCGACATTGACAAGGTTGACAAGGCTGCCTTAGGCCTCTGGCATGGAGTCAGTAAGTTCATGCGCATGTGCATGGGGCACTCCCAGCATGCCAGGAGTTGTTCTACAATATGACCAGGAACTTCCTCTCGTGGAGAAAGTAGACACTAAATCCCTCCACAAGACATTTCTTCTCTTTTTCTTTTGGGTAGTTCTGAGGTTTGAACTTAGAACCTTATACTTGCTAGGCAGGTGCTCTGCCACTGGAGCCACTCCACCAACACTCTTTGGGTTATTTCCTGTGGCAGGGCTTTATGCCTAGAATGTCATCCTTCTGTGTGTGCTCCCCTGAGTTCTAGGACAGCAGGCGTACACTGCTGAGTTCAGCCATGGGTTGAGATGGAGTCTTGTGAACTTTTTTGGTTCAGGTTGGCCTTGAACCATGATCCTCTGATTTCTACTTCCCAAATAGCTAGGATTTCAGGTTTAAGCCTTCCTGCCTGGCTCAATAAAAATCAAAAAGAATCAAACAGTAGTAAGTGCTACAGCAAAAAAGGAAGAGTTAACAGTGGGATGTAGAAAGTTCCAGCGAGCTGCCAGTTTGCCCTGAGTGGTTAAGGAGGTCCAGCTCAAAGAGACAAACTTGGAACAAAAAAACATGGAAGCATAAAGGGAGCCAGGCATGAAAATATCTAGAAGGAAAGGCAGGGTGCCAGTGGCTAATCCCTGTAATCCTAGCTACTAAGGAGGCTGAATCTGAGGAGTGAGATTTGAAGCCAACCCAGACAGACAAATCCAAGAGATTCTTTTGGTGGTGGTGGTTGGGGGGCAGTCCTGGGCCTTGAACTCTGGGCCTGGGTTCTGTCCCTAAGCTCCTTTGGGCTGTTTTTTTTCTTTTTGCTTATGTGGTGTGGAGGAATCGAATCCAGGGCCTCATGCATGCAAGACAAGCACTCTGCCACTGAGCCACCTTCCCAGCTGGGCTGGTTTTAAACTGCAATCCTCATGAGTAGCTAGGATAATAGGCATGAGCCTCCGGCACCTGGCTCCAAGAGACTCTTATAATAATTAGCCAGCATAAAAAGCTGGAAGCGGAGGTGTGGCTCAAGAGGTAAAGTGACAGATCAAGCCCACAATATCCATCCTCCCTCCCCACAAAGCGTATCAGGACAGAGGCTCTTCCAGGAACATTAAGTGTTCAAGTCCCAGATGGAATGAGCTGGCACACGCTGACTAGGACAGAGGAGATGACAAAGCTTTTTCAAGCATCTCACTCTCTGTGGAAGGCACTGAACTATGTGTCACTTAGAGCCTTAGCACTTCCTTGTTTGCTGTTACACAATTCATCATTTCCTGCATATCCTCTAAGGGGGTTCAGAGAAAAAACAATGTCTCCCTTTTGATTATCACCCCAAGAGACACAGAAGTCAGCATACTCACACTGAACATTCAGAACACAATACAAGGGCAACATGTCATACATCTTTTAAAAAAACATTTTTCTTTTACATATTACATTAAGCTAGTTGGTTGGAGGTAAGTCTCATGGATGTGTGGATGTGTGCACAAGCTGGCTTTCAACTGTTCTCCTCAGATCTCAGACTTCTGAGTAGCTGGGATTACTGACATGAGCCACCAGAGCCCCACTGTACCACATACTGAACACAACACTCTAACGTCAGCAAATGCTGGGGACAGGAAATCTGGGCTACTCCACTGGCTAAAAATGACGGTCTCCAGGTGCTCACTCACCTTGCAGTCACTGATGCTGCTGTGGACCTGGTTGAATTCTCGGTTGAAGGTGTGGGTGAGAAGCTGCAGGCACTAGAGAAAAGAAAGAAGTCTAAACTGACAACTTCCATGACTACACAAAGCCCTGGGTGGAAGGCAGGAGGGGAACGAACAGGCTTTAAAAATACTGGGCTGCTTGGCTCTAGGAGCTCACGCCTATAATCCTAGCTACTAAGGAGGCTGAGATCAGAGGATCATGGTTCAAAACCAGACTGGGCAGCGAGAGTCTCACTCAGTGAGACTCTCTCTCTCCTGATGGTTGTGGGGCTTGACCTCAGGCCCTGGTGCTGTCTCCTAGTCTCTTTGTGCTCAAGGTAGCACTTTACCACTTGGGCCACAGTGCCCCTTCTGGTTTTTGAGTGGTTAATTGGAGGTGAGTCTCATGGGGAATTTTCTGGCTGGCTTTGAACCATGATCGTCAGATCTCAGCCGCCTGAGTAGCTAGGATTACAAGTATAAGCCTCTAGTGCCCAGCATTCCCACCTCCCACCCCCCCATCCTAGGGCTTGAAATAAGGGCTTTGGCTTTGTCCCTGAGCTGTTTGAACTTTTGCACTCAAAGCTAGTGTTCTACCATTTGAGTCATAGCACCACTTCCAGTTTTCTGGTGGTTAATTGGAAATAAGATCTCATGGACTTTCCTGCCTGGCCTGGCTTTGAGCTGTGATTCCCACATCTCAGGCTCCTGAGTAGCTAGAATGACAGGCATGAGCCACTGGCACCTGGCTTTCCATGAAACTCTTATCTCCATTTAATCATCAAGAAGCAGAAATTAGAGTTATGCCTCAAGTGGTAGAGTGCCATTTTTTGAGTGAAAAAACTCAGGGACCGCATCCAGGCCCTGAGTTTAACCCTAGGATCAAAACCTAAACAAAACCAAAAAATCTTAGGCTGGGACACAGATATTGTCCAAGCTTGAGAAATTAACTATAAACATCAAGGAAAGCTAGTGTATCTATGCAATAAAATTAATGGTTTGATATAAAGAGCCTTGTGTGTGTGTGCCAGTCCTGGGGCTTGAACTCAGGGCCTGGAAACGGTTCACTTCTGGTTTTTTGGTGCTTAATTGGAGATAAAAGAGTCTCACAGACTTTCCTGTTTGGGCTGGTTTTGAACTGCGACTTCAGATCTCAGCCTCCTGAGTAGCTAGGATTACAGGCATGAGCCACTTTGTGTTGGAGCCACAGCTCAGGTGCAGAGCACCAGCCAACAAATGAAGGCAAGTGTCAGATACCAAGTTTGAGACCTGGTCTTGGATGTCTCTCCCTTTTTTTTTTTGGTCAGTCCTGGGCTTGCACTCTGGGCCTGGGCGCTGTCCCTGGGCTCTTCAGCTCAAGGCTAGTACTCTACCACTTGAGCCACAGCACCACTTCTGGTTTTCTGTTGCTTTATTGGAGATAAGAGTCTCACAGACTTTCCTGCCGGGGCTGGCTTTGAACCGCGATCCTCAGATCTCAGCTTCCTCAGTAGCTAGGATTTACAAGCATGAGCCACGGGCGCCTGGCTCCAACCCATTCTTAAAACTACAAAAATCAATTTGTGGCTGGGGACTAGTAATTGTAGCTAATCAGGAGGCTGAGATCTGAGGATTACCCAGGTCCTGCGTTCAATTCTCAGTTCCAGCACATAGAGCCAGATCCCTCCCGCCCTCCCCCCCCCCCCCCCCCCCCCCACACACAGAATTACTGCAAACACCATAGTTAAAAAGTGCTTAAGGGCTGGAAGTTGGCTCAGTGGTAGAGTGCCTGCCTTGCATGCATGAGGCCCTGGGGTCGATTCCTCAGCACCACATAAACAGAAAGAAGCCCAAAGTGGCGCCGTGGCTCAAGTGGTAGGGCACTAGCCTTGAGCTGAATTGTTAAGAGATAGCACCCAAGCCCAGAGTTCACCCCCCATGACCAAAAAAAAAGAAGTGCTTAAGAGGGACTGGGAAGGTGGCTCAGTGGTAGAGCGCTTGCCTCACATGCATGAGGCCCTGGGTTCGATTCCTCAGCACCACATAAGTAGAGAAAGCCAGAAGTGGCTCTGTGGCTCAAGTGGTAGAGTGCTAGCCTTGATCTGAAGAGCTGAGGGACAGCGTCCAGGCCTAGAGGCAAGGCCCCACGAGTGCCAGAAAAAAAAAAAAAAAAAAGAAGTGCTTAAGAATGTAAAACATCTCTTTAGTTGCAATTCACTCAGGCAGTAAAAGGCTCATATGTTAGATGGAAAATTTTTTCTAAGCCAAGTAGAAGACTATTCTGTTTCTAAAACAGGGAAAACACAAAGTCCTCTGATTTTCCTACTTCCTTTTCAGCCATCTGCCTCACATTTCTACACCTGAGAGTCACCCGCAAGAACCTTTGCTTGTCACCCACAGTTTCAAGCCTATGGGTAGGATTTGAGTGTCATTTGCTTTTCTTTTATCGTTTCTTTTCTTTTCTTTTTTTTTTTTTTTGGGGTCCAGTCATGGGGCCTGAACTCTGGGGACTTTCCCAGCCCCTATCATTTCTTTTCTATTGTGATTAAATAATGAATGTTATTTTCTGTTATGTGCAAGTATAGGCCTTGGAACCAGTGGCTCTCAAAAACAAAGGACTCATAATAGATGAGTAAGAGAACGGGTCCGGGCCTCAGGTGGGCTGCTCAGCAGCAGGAAGGGTGCCCACCTTGGTGGCCAGCTCCTTCTCGCGGTCCACCAGGCTTTCGATGTCTGTTGAGTCGTAGCCGCTGCTCTCGCTGGGGGTGACAGCACTTTCGAAGGTGGTGGTTGAGATCTGAGAGGAGATGCTGGTGGAGGTGCTGAGGGTCCCACTGCTGAGGCTAGGGGACAGTGAGTCGCTCAGGGACTTGGGGATACTGTCACCAAGTCTGTCACGCAGCAGCAGGAAGTGGCGGGTTTTTTCCACCTGAGAAGACCAACACCACTACCTCAGCAAACAAATTTCAAATAGACTTTAATAAGTCTACTACTACGCTTGCATCATCTCAGAAAACTGAGAAGCCATGGTGACACGGAGAAGGCGGGGAAGGCCTGTGAGCATCTTGCTCCAGCATCCTTGCCCTGGGCCCCTCCTGCCCCTTGTACCTCATGCAGCAGCTCCAGCTTCTCCAGCTCCCACTGGTGTTCCAGGATGAGGCTGTCTCCACGAGGCCGCCAGCCTGCTAAGTTCTCTTCTCCCCGCACGTATGCCACCGAAGTATCCAAGACTTTTCGCCTCCTTCTCTGCATACCTATGACAAGAAGGAACATTTTTTTTTTCTTTTTGTCGGTCACGGGGCTTGAAGTCAAGGCCTGGGTGCTGTCCCTGAGCTCTTCAGCTCAAAGCTACAGCTCTACTACTTGAGCCACAGCACCACTTTCTTCCGGTTTTCTGGTGGTTCATTGGAGGTAAGAGTCTCACGGACTTTCCTGCCCAGGCTGCCTTTAAACCATGATCCTCGGATCGCAGTCTCCTGAGTAGCTAGGATTACAGGCGTGAGCCACCAGCGCCCTACAAGAAGGAACTTTTTTGCCAGTCATGGGGCCTGAACTCTGGGCCTGGGCAATGTCTCTCAGCTCTTCAGCTCAAGGTTAGCACTCTACCACTTGAGCCACAGCACCATTTCTGGCGTTTTCTGCTTATGTGGTGCTGAGGAATCGAACCCAGGGCCTCATGCATGCAAGGCAAGCACTCTACCACTGAGCCACATTTCCAACCCAAGAAGAAACATTTTTAACTTCTCACCCCTCCCCCCCACCTAAATTGGTTAGAACAAAATATTAAGTCAGGTGCTGGTGGCTCACACCTATAATCCTACTCAGGAGGCTGAGATCTTAGGAGTGAGGTTCAAAGCCAGCCAAGGCAGGAAAACCTGTAAGACTCTTATCTCCAGTAAAATATTAAAAAAAAAACAAAAAACTACCAAAAAGCTGTGAGTGGAGCTGTGGCTCAGATGGTAGAGTGCTAGTCTTGAGCACAAAAAAGTTCAGGAACAGCATCCAGGCCTTGAGTTCAAGCCCCAGTACTGGCATGCACACACATGCGTACACACACGCGTGTGCACGTGCGTACACACACACACACACACACACACTACTAATTATATGTGACAATTTAAGTTTGGTCTCAAGATCTAAGGAACGTGTTTTAAAAGTTTTCCTTATTAATAAAATTCTTACCTTTCTCCCACTGCAAATCACTAAAGTTTTTCCTTTTCTTTCTTTTTTTTTTTGGTCGGTCATGGGGCTTGAACTCTGGGCTTGGGTGCTGTCCCTGTGCTCTTCAGCTCAAGGCGAGAGCTCTACCCCTTGAGCCACAGCGCCACTCCCAGTTTTCTAGTGGTTTACTGGAGATAAGTCTCACAGACTTTCCTGCCCGGGCTGGCTTTGAACCGTGATCCTCAGATCTCAACCTCCTGAGTAGCTAGGATTATACGTGTGAGCCACTGGCACCTAGCATTTTCCTTTTCAATTTTTTTTTTGGTGCCAATCCTGGGGCTTGAACTCAGGGCCTGGGCACTGTCCCTGAGCTTCTTTCGCTCAAGGCTAGCGCTCTACCACCTGAGGCACAGCGCCACTTCTGGCCTTTTCCATTATGTGGTACTGAAGAATTGATCATGCATGCTACACAAGCACTCTTTCACTAAGGCACATTCCCAACGCTGTTTTTTCTTTTTATAATGTTGTGTATATGGATATTCAGAGCCAGGTTCTTATACCTGCTAGATAAGTGCTCCACCATTAAGCTATTTCCTTAGCCCTGAATTTGAATTTCTAACAATGTCCCAGGGGAAGCTGATACTATTTCTGTTATGTTAAATTGCCAACTTATCCTTGGGTTATGGCGAGAGGAATAATTATAAAATTTTCCAAATCAAATTCACTCTAATTCACTAGAATCTCTTTTCTTTTTCTTTTTTCTTTTGTCGGTCATGAGGCTTGAACTCTGGGCCTGGGCGCTGTCCCTCAGCTCTTCAGCTCAAGGTGAGCCCTCTACCACTTGAGCCACAGCATCACTTATGGTTTTCTGAGTGGTTTATTATTGGAGATAAGAGTCTCATGGAGTTTCCTGCCTGGGCTGGCTTTGAACAGCGATCCTCAGGGCTCAGCCTCCTGAGTAGCTACAATTACAGGTGTGAGCCACTGGCACCTGGCCTCGAATTTCTTTTCTTTTCTTTTTTTGGGGGTCCGGTCATAGGGCCTGAACTCTGGGCCTGGGTGCTGTCCCTCAGCTCTTCAGCTCAAGGCTAACGCTCTACCACTTGAGCCACAGCGCTACTTCCGGCTTTTTTCTTTTTTGCTTATGTGGTGCTGAGGAATCGAACCCAGGGCCTCATGCATGCAAGGCAAGCGCTCTACCACTGAGCCACCTTCCCAGCCCCCCCTCGAATTTCTTATAAAATTTAATATCTCACATTTTATTTGGTAAAACTTTGATAATCACCTTATTTAAAATTAAACAATGTTGCACCTTACCATCACCACCACAGGTTTGTCAGTAAAAACAGTTTCTAAAATAGTTTTCTTTGGTAAGAAAAATACCACTGGGTACCAGTGGCTCACATCTGTAATCTTAACTACTTAGGAGGCTGAAATCTGAAGATCTAGGGTCAAACCCAGCTCAATCAAGAAAGTCTGTGAGATTTTTTCTTTGTCTGTCATGGGGCTTGAACTCTGGGCCTGGGTGCTGTCCCTCAGTTCTTCAGCTCAAGGCTAGCGCTCTACACTTGAGCCACAGCATCACTTTCAGTCTGTGAGATTTTTATCTCCAATAAACCACTCAAAAAAGTTGGAAGTGGTGCTTTGGCTCAAGTGGTAGAGTGCTTGCCTTGAGCAAAAGCCAATTAACAGGTTCAGAGTTCAAAAAAAAAAAGAAAGAAAAGAAAAAGAAAATATCTATCCTACATGGGCACACTACAGTTTTGGATTTTTTCAGTATCTATGAAGCAAGTGATATAATAATATCACCTCCTCTATTCTTTTTTTTTTAATTTAATTTAATTTTTTTTTTGTGAACATATTGTACAGACGGGTTACAATTACATGGGCAGGATAATGCATACATTTCTTATCAAGCATTGCAGCCTCCTCCTTTGTTTACCCTTCACATCCCTTCCCAGCCTCCTCCCCTACCCCCCACCTCCTCTATTCTTAACAGCTTACCTGGACTACCTGTATCTGCCATCTTGCATAAGCTGAGTTCATAAATTCCAGTGACCCGATTACTGTTTGAAAATAAAATGGAACAACTGCTTAATTTCCTTATAGCAGAAGAGCAGGAACAGTTCCCCTCTGTCTCCTCTGCAGGGGCTGCAACGCACTCTCAGGTATCATGGCCAGCATTTCTTTTTTCCTACTCCAAACTTGTAGTTTGTCTTTGCTTAATCTTTGGACTACTACTATTTCAACAGAATGAATAAAATAGGATGATGAATAGAAAAAATTTAAGTACAGATGTATAAACTAAAAATTCTTTTCTTACCAAAGGACATAGGGGATAAGGGGAAAAGACTGACCGGAGCAAACTGATACACAGTAAGCCGCGGGGACGGCGATAAGGAAGGGAGCAACTCTTCCATTGGGTCACAGTAACAGAAAATTCTTGTTTTATCATTATTCATTTTTCCATACTATTCTTGTTGACATATTCATGTAATGTCTTTTTTTTTGGTCGGTCACGGGGCTTGAACTCTGGGCCTGAGCGCTGTCCCTCAGCTCTTCAGCTCAAGGCTAGCGCTCTACCTCTTGAGCTACAGCGCCACTTTGGTTTTCTGGTAGATTATTGGAGATAAGAGTTTCACGGACTTTCTTGCCCAGGCTGGCTTTGAACCGTGATCCTCAGATCTCAGCCTCCTGAGTAGCTAGGATTACAGGCGTGAGCCACCAGCGCCCGGCTTTCGTGTAATGTCTTAAATGGGCATAATGCATCTTAAGAACAAAACTCCAATGGTAATCTATAATAAATATTAAGGGCATCAATTGGTCCTTGCAAAACTGTTTCCAGAAGTGTTCATTATGTAACATTCCTCCTGCCTTCACTAACTCATCCATCCACCCATCAATTTTATTAAATGCCAGCATGTGAGTCACTCCATTTCCCACATGGTTTAAGAGCAGCAAGCTGATTCTGTTGTAATGGGCAAAGAAACTGGAAGCTAAACTTACGAGTCTGGTGACTTTGAGTAGCCACTGCCAAAGAGGCTGCGCAGAGAGCGTGGTGGTGAGATCTTGGCATCTCGGGAATAGAAGACCATGCACACATCCTTGGTGATGACAGCTGGCTGGATGCAATGATCCAGCTGAAAGAAGGTAAGAGTGCAGCTGAGTAAATGCAGACATAGTACTGGGGCTGAAGGCTTGCCACAGTGAATTTGCAAAGCTAGTCTCAGATGTGAGATAGGAGGGTTTCCCTTCTACCAATGATGTCAGTCGCTATTCAACAAACAATAAATGCAAGGTCAGTTGGTGCATGTGATAGATTACTTATTTTCCTCTAAGATTAAATGCTACTTAAACCCTATTAACTCTTTTTAATAGGCACAAAGCTAATGCAACAACATAGAGGCAGTAAGAGGCAGAACAAGAAACTGAACTTAAGGCAGGCCAGCGCCAGGGTCTGTGCTGTGAAAGCACTACCAAGCTCCATCACAACCATGCAAATGGGTAATTTTCTTAAACTCCTGCATTTTTCCAGGAATGGTGACTGGGCCACGTGCTGGCAGCTAGATCCTAGCTATTCAGGAGGCTGAGATTTGAGGATCAGTTAGAAGTTGAGTCCAGGCAGGAAAATCTGTAAGATTCTTAACTCCAATAAACTACTTAGAAAAAGTCAGAAGTGGGGCTGGGAAGGTGGCTCAGTGGTAGAGCGCTTGCCTTGCATGCATGAGGCCCTGGGTTCGATTCCTCAGCATCACATAAGCAAAAAGAAAAAAAAAGCCAGAAGTGGTGCTGTGGCTGAAGTGCTAGCCTTGAGCTGAAGAGTTGAGGGACAGCACCCAGGCCCAGAGTTCAGGCCCCACGACTGGACCCAAAAAAAAGAAAAAGTCAGAAGTGGTTCTGTGGCTCAAGCAATAGAGTGCTAGCCTCAAGCAAAAGAAGTTCAGGGGGCTGGGAAAATGGCTCAGTGGTAGAGTGCTTGCCTCGCATGCATGAGGCCCTGGGCTCGATTCCTCAGCACCACATAAGCAGAAAAAACAGGAAGTGGTGCTGTGACTCATATGGTAGAGTGCTAGCCTTGAGCTGAAGAGTTGAGGGACAGTGCCCAGGTCCAGAGTTTAAGCCCCACGACAGGCAAAAAAAAAAAAAAAAAAGGAAAAGAAGAAGCTCAGCGACAGCTCCCAATCCCTGAGTTCAAGCCCCAGGATTGGCCAAAAAAAAAAAGGATCATTTGACTGATAGTTTAGGAACAGAATCTAATACAATCAGAACATGCAGAAAGTATAATCATGTAAGTCATTTAAGGATGTAAGAAAGAAAGGAAAAGAAAACTAGTCTACTTTTCACTGTTTCGTCCATAATTTGGCTGCTGCTCAAGGCTGGTTGTTCTCAGTCCTTGAAGTGCTGAGTTTCCTCACCTCTAGATAGGCGGACAAGGTCATGTAGATCTTTTCTCCATAGGGCGTCACTCGGTTCAGAAGAAGGGAGTTATGCAGGGAGCTGTCCCACACTGCCTCAAAACGATAGAAGGTCCTGAAGTCAGGAAGACAAGAAAGAGTTAGTCATTCAGGGCTGGGAATGTAGCTTAGTGGTAGAGTGCTTGCCTAGCATGCATAAAGCCCTGGGTTCCATTCCTCAGTACCACATACACAGAAAAAGCCAGAAGTGGCACTGTGGCTCAAGCGGTAGAGTGCTAGCCTTGAGCACAGAGAATCTGGTCAGGGACAGTGCCTAGGCCCTGAGTTCAAGCCCCAGGACTGGCAAAAGAAAAAAAAAAAAAAAAGAAGAAGTTGGCATTCCCTTACTCCATGCATTGCTGCTCTCAGGGATCTAGAGCCTCCTAGGCCAACACCAACGTTCTACCCGCCACAGTGTAACACCAGAGGAGCCTCATCTCCCAGGGGAAAGCGAGGCACCATCCACTCGCCACACTCATCACCAAGGGGCATTCACTGGCTACAGTCTTTTTTCCTTTTTCTTTTTAAACAAGCCTCCATGAACATTAAAAGAGTGAGAAGAGCGAGTGTGGACACCATCTAAAGGAAAGGGAAAGACCAGGTAAGCTGCGATGTCTGTCAATTACGAGTGCCAGAAACCAATACCCAGTCATTTGCAAGCTTTACTCTTTCCATCATCAGAGACCTAAATCTCACAAAGAAATATGGTTGGAACAGATAGAATTGAAGTATTTAGAATCTTGTTTTGAATGAAAGAACAAAAGCTGGTATTTCAGTAAAAGAGAATGATTTTTCTTTTTCTTTCTTTTTTTTTGTCAGTTGTAGGGCTTGAACTCTGGATGCTGTCCCTTAGCTCTTCAGCTCAAGGGAAATGTTCTACCACTTGAGCCACAGTGCCACTTCTGGTTTTGCTGGTGGTTCATTGGACATAAGAGTCTCCTGGACTTTCCTGCTGGGGCTGGATTTGAACTGTGATCCTCAGACCTCAGCCTCCTGAGTAGCTAGGATTATAGGTATGAGCCACCAGACCTGGCTGAGAATGACTTTTTAACACCAGAGTCAGCCAACTACCTACCATACACTACTTTTTACCAGAAAATCAATTTTGTATTTAAAATCAATTTGAAAATCAATCTTGTATTTAAGAAGCAACCATAGCTAAATTTAGTATATATCCACAAACTGTTTTTCTTCACTGGCAAAACACCACAGGCCAAGCATGCTGTGAAACTGCAGTGGGTGGTAGGGTCACAGTTCCACTCCAAGCTCTGCCCGTGCGTCCCTTCTCAGAACTCCAGCAGGGACATCGCCCACTCCACCATCATAGCTCTCCACAGGCAGACACAGCTCGCCTGGCTCACCAGGGAGGGGTGTTTGTAGCACCCTCTTTCCTGCCCATTACATTCCTCCTTATTCTTCCCAAATGATGTTTCCTTTTCCAGATTTCCAATGGTAATCAGCAGTTATATTCTCTCTCTCATATTTCTTCCTCTGGAAAGGGGCAGAGAAAGCTGTGTGTGTGTGTGTGTGTGTGTGTGTGTGTGTGTGTGCGCGTGTGCATGTGCTTGCTGGTTGGCACTGGAGCTTGCTTGCATTCTCGCTTGACCTTTTCAATCATGGCTGGTGCGCTATCACTTCAGCCATGCTTCCATTTCTGGAGTGATTAGACCGGAGCTGAGCCTTGTGGATTCATCTACCTGCGCTGGCTGAACTGTGATCCTCAGATCTCACCCTCCTAGTGGCTAGATTATAGGCTTGAGCCACCTGTGTCCAGGCAAAAGTGGCTTTGATTGAAAGGGCATTGTAAGATAACACAAGACTGGGCTGAGAGGCTGGGAAGGTGGCTCAGTGGTAGAGCGCTTGCCTTGCATGCATGAAACCCTGGGTTCCATTCCTCAGCACCACCTAAACAGAAAAAGCCAGAAATGGTGCTGTGGCTCAAGTGGTAGAGTGCTAGCCTTGAGCTGAAGAGCTGAGGGACACGCCCAGGCCTAGAGTTCAAGCCCCAAGACTGAACCACAGCAACAAAAAAACCAAACCAAACCAAAACAAAACCAGAGACTGGGCTGAGCAATGTTACTAAAGCAAGCTGCAGGAGAGTGCAGGGTTACAAATAGGTTTAAGGTAACTGTTTAAAGTGTGTACTCATTTCAATTTATTCATTTTGAACAATTTTAAAACCAACTTCTTACATGGTGGCCTCCTGGTACAGCTTTTTGCTTTTTCAGTGCTGGGAATGGAACCACACGCTAAGCTGTGCATTCCACCACTGAGCCCCACAGCACCTTCATGAGTCCTCTGGAGTTCACTAGAAGAACCTCTGAAATGTGATCTGGATAGTGTGCAAACTTAGAGGTAAATTCCTTATGTCTATATCATAGCTAGGCACTGGTGGCTCATGCCTGTAATCCTAGCTACTCAGGAGGCTGAGATCTGAAGATCACCGTTCAAAGCTAGCCTGGCAGGAAAGTTCATGAGATTCTTATCTGCATGAACCACCAGAAAACCAGAAGTGGTGCTGTGGCTCAAAGTGGTAGAGTGCTAACCTTGAGTGAAAGAGCTCAGGGACAGCGCCCAGGCCCAGAGTTCAAGCCTCATGACCAAAAAAAAAAAAAAGCCAACATAGATATAACATTTCAGGATATATTGTCTGTCATATTTTGACAGGCAAAAACCCTTCCATTTTCTTCCCTAAATTAAAGAAAGACGGGAAAGGCCAGATATGATGGCTCATGTCTATGATTCAGCTACTCTGGAGGCAAAGGTTGAGAGGATAGTGATTCACTGTGGTTGAGGCCAATCCAGGAAAAAAGTTAGGAAGACCTCATTTCAACAAAATAACGTGGATATGGTAGCACACACCTGTCATCCCAGTCATGAAGGAAGCTTGAGAAGGAAGATAACTGTCCAAGCTTGGACTGGGACAAAACCTGAGACTATCTGAAAAAAATAATCTAATGCAAAAATGACTGGAAGTGTGGATCAAGTGACAGTGTGCTTACCTAACAGGAGCAAGACCCTGAGTTCATACCCCAGTACTGCCAACCCCCAAAACTAAAACAAAAGAACAACAAAAATACAAGACAAACAAAGGATGAGACAAGCACACTTTACGGGAAAAGGAAATGTTTAAAACTATATGAAAACACTTCTTACAGATGCAGCTACCCAAATAGCTAAACTTTTCTCTACTAAGGCATAGGACAACAAAACAAAACACAACACAAAACAAAGAAGAAAGCAAACAGGGATTTGCAAGGCTACATCACAACAAACCCTGTAAGCTTTGAAGAGAAAGGGCAGACAAAAAATAGAAAGCAGCTGGGCATCAGTGGCTTACATCTATAATCCTAGCACCTCAGTAGGCTGAGATCTGAGAATCAGTTTGAAGCCAGCCAAAGCAGACAAATTTGAGAGACTCCTATATCTAATTAATCAGCCAGAGTCAAGGTGTTACTCAAGTGGTAGAGCACTACCCTCCCGCAGAAAAGCTGGAGGCAAGAAGTAGACAGCAAGAAGTCCTGAGTTGAAGCCCCACTACTGACACTAAGAAAACAAGTGCTGGACACGTTGCTTATGCGTTCAATCCTAGCTATTCAGGAGGCTGAAATCTGAGGATTGAGTTTTGAAGCCAGCCCAGACAGGTTGGAGACCACCAGAAAACCAAAAGTGGAGCTGTTTCTAAGTGGCAGAGTACTAGCCTTGAACAAAAAAGCTTTGGGGGCTGGGAAGGTGGCTCAGTGGTAGAGTGCTTGCCTTGCATGCATGAGGCCCTGGGTTCGATTCCTCAGCACCACATAAGCAAAAAGAAAAAAAGCCGGAAGTGGTGCTGTGGCTCAAGTGGTAGAGCACAAGCCTTGAGCTGAAGAGCTGAGGGACAGAGCCCAGGCCCAGAGTTCAGAGTTCAGGCCCCATGACCGGACCCCCGCCCCCCCCCCCCCAAAAAAAAAAAGCATTGGGACAGTGTGTAGGCCTGAGTTCAAGCCCCAGGACTGACAAAAAAAAAAATTTATGTGAAACTATCCATACATCTGTAAAACCCAGGGCCCTAAGACCAGTCTTTCAGCATAGAATAAGGTTTTGTTCTATTCTAGGTACAGCTTAGGTTTACATGGGGAATAAACTACTAAAATAAAAAAGCAATCAGGGGGTCATAAGACATAAAGTATTCTGATAAACTAGAATCTTTATGTACAAAGAAAGCAAACAGAAAATACCTAGGAATATCCTTATCAAGAAAGAGCCTGCAAAAACATAGAAAAGGCTTTTGTTAGTACAACCAAAATAAAGGAGAGAGATGTAGGAAAGAAAAAATATATAAATAAAACAAACAAGCTAATAATCAAAGTGAATTCAAATGGACAATTAACTGAGAACCCTGGACACAATGTGATACAGGCTTACAGTGACAAGGTCCATTTCCTGAGACTTCCAACTAAGGTACATGCTGGACAGGGGAGGGAATATGGAATCCATCTCTATTAATGACCCTTTCAGTGAGGACTTAGTACTGGGAATGGTAAGAAGTTGCTGTGGAGCTAGGGAAAACCAACTTAATTAGTCAAAAATATGGGACTAGAAAGAAAATGAACAATGGTCTTTGTCAATCATATATACTCCATTATCAATGTCCCAGAAAAGCCCTCTAAGACACATACACAATGCATCTAATTTAGAAGTTCTATACAACTTAAACCATTAAGCTTTAGCCAACTAGAACAAAGTGCTCTTATAGCCATACTCACTTAGCAATGCACTTTATAAACCTATGTTTTCCTCCTCACTCAAATACCAGATCTGAACACATGCAAGATGTCCCTTATGCCCAATTAGCCCCAAAGTACTGATCTGCTTGCTTACATTCTGAAAGTTGTGCTTCTTCTTTTTCTTATTAATTAATTTATTTTGCTGGTTGTCAGTCTTGAACTCTGGGCCTGGGCACTGTCCCTCAGCTCTTCAGCTCAAATTGAGTACTCTACTGCTTGAGCCACAGTACCCCTTCCAGTTTTCTGAGTGGTTTACAGGAGACAAGAGTCTCATGGACTTTCCTGCTCAGGGTGGCTGTGAATCATGATCCTCAGATCTCAGCCTCCTGAGTAGCTAGGATTACAGGCGTGAGCCACCAGTGCCCAGCTGTGCTTATTATTATTATTATAATTACCTAGTTAAATTAAACATTAAATATATCGATGAAACATGAAGGCTAAAAGAAATAGTTTCAATGAAACTATCTGAATGTTTTCAAAATATCTAGAAATTTTGACTTGTTTAAAAAACAGCCAGGCACCAGTGGCTCATGCCTATACTCCTAGCTACTCAGGAGGCTGAGATCCAAGGATTGTGGTTCAAAGTCAGCCTGGGCAAGAATGTTCTTGAGACTCTTATCCCAAATTAATTACCAAAAAATCTGGTAATACAGCCAGGGCTCAAGTGGTAGAGCACCAACTGTGAGTTAAAAAGCAGAGTTAGACTGAGAGACCCTGAGTTCAAGCCCCAGTACAAGAGAGGGGGGCAGGGAGGAGGTGGAGGAGAAAGGAGAAAGAGAGGAGAAGAGGGGAGAGAAGAGGAGAAAAGAGAAGAGAGAGAAAGGAAAGAAGAGAAGAGTATGAGGAGAAAGAGAAAGAAGAGAGAAAAAGGAGAGAAGAGAGAGAAAGGGGAGAGACAGAGAAGAATTTGACCTTAGAGCAAGAGCTGGATTTTTTGGGTCCGGTCGTGGGGCTTGAACTCTGGGCCTGGGTGCTGTCCCTCAGCTCTTCAGCTCAAGGCTAGCGCTCTACCACTTGAGCCACAGCACCACTTCCGGCTTTTTTCTTTTTGCTTATGTGGTGCTGAGGAATTGAACCTAGGGCCTCAGGCTTGCAAGGCAAGCGCTCTACCACTGAGCCACCTTCCCAGACCCGAGACTAACTCTTATAACAAAATCAAACTCATTTCCTACAGCCCCTGAGCTGCTACTTGGGCTTGACTCAAAGGACTTCTCAAGGTTACTTTACTATACACAAATTTGGCACAACCAGCATTTCAGTCAAACAAACACCATCTTTCCTGATATATTTTGGTGAGTATCCTAGGGAAATTTAAGATATTTTTCAAGTTGCAAAGAAAATGATAAAGGCCTGGTGGACATTGACTATAAATGACTTTCTGGAGAGAGAGAGTCATGTAGACTGTACTGTTCAGTTCTATTCAGGGAGGATCAATGCACCCCTCTTTACCTCTGTCACCCCATCTCCCTCCTGTTCCCCAGCCCCTGCCAATTCCTCTTACATGTAAAAAAGCAAGCATAAATTTGTTCCTGTTTTCTAGGAAAAACTGTAGCACAAGGAAAGAAATCAATTCTGGCCCAAGCTTTTTGTTCTGTTTCTAGGTGAAAGCAAGTTTTTCGGGGGCGATAGAAGCACAGAGAAGCCCTCACCGCTCCTGTTTCCCAGCCCTTCTGACTTGAGGATATGGAGTCACTGCAACAATGACCTAACAGCTTACCTGCCAGGATAAAGGAACCCATGAGGCTCACTTCCCATCTAATCTGAACCTTATGCATGGTCTGCTGTCACTTAATTATAAAAGGGAATTTAAAGAAACATAGTTTAAGGAAAAAAACAAAATAAAAGCTGGGCACTGGTGGCTCAGGAGGCTGAGATCTAAGGATCATGGTTTGAGGCCAGCCTGGGCAAAAAAGTCCACAAGTCTCTAATCTCTAGGAGACTACTCAGAAAAAGCTAGAAGTGGCTCTGTGGCTCAAATAGTAGAGCACTAGCTTTGAGCACAAAGGCTCAACAACAACCCAGGCCCCCAGTTCAAGACCCAGGACCAGAAAAAAAAATCTATTACTGTTAGCAGCCAATCTTGAGGGTAAGAGATTATATTAAGTGATCAACTTTACACAAAAATGAAAATGAGAAGCAAGTACTAAACCCAGAGGCTTCACTGTTCTTTGGAAGAAGAGTGCAAAGCCTTTCTCCACAGCTGCCATTTCACTTGTCTGATCACTCTGTACATTTCCTTTTTTTTTTTTGATGGTGGCACTGGGGATCCAACCCAGGGCCTTAAGCATGCCAGGCAAGTTATTCTTCCTAGTTACTGACCACTGAGTTAGATCCCCAGACCCTAGTCTGTACTTCTAAACCCTTGGGGAGCGTGCTGAGTTTTAAGTGGTCTTTCTACTCATGGACAAAGCAGGTCCATTCCCTAAAGGTAGCTGATCACATACACAAACCTCCAGGCATTTCTTTCTTTTTGGAAAGCAGAGTGGGTAAGGGAAGAAATATGGTTTTTTTTGGAATGAGGAGGGAATTTGTGTTCTCATTCACACGGGAAGACCCCAGCAAACAGTGAGTCTAATTTCCCCCTTCAACCCCCAGTAAGGGCTGACCCATTCTACTCCTTAAGAGTCCCACCTGCTGGAGTTGTGCGAGGACTTCAGGGACTTGGCAGAGATGATGTTTAAGGAGAGGATCGCATCAACGGCAGCTTCGTCTACCTCAGGCTTATTCCTAATCCGGCCTAGAAGAAAAGGTAAAGGAACCATAAGACAGACATATTCAAAATAGAGTTATTAAGCCAAAAAGAGACTTTCCAATCTCTGTGTAACTTCAAGTCTTTGGAGGTCAGGGGTCAGCACAGATCCTGAGTGGCTCTCCCAACCAAGACAAGTTTGAAACTCAAGGCCTCTACCTGCCCAGAACAACCTTCTACACATTCCCTGTACTCCAAAGGGGGGAATAATGACACTGCTAAAGAGCCGGACTGTTGTACGCACCTACCACCAATTCCCGAACATCTTTCCAGTGGAGCTCACTTCCTTTCTCGTGGATAATGGTCACTGTGATCCTTCGCTGGATGCCCTGGGTAAGGGAAGAGAGGCATTCAGCTGGGGAACAGTGTCTTGTAGGTTGTTTGATGTCGGTTGAGCCGGAAGGAGAAGGAGGAGGGAAAGAGCTATCTACACTTCTAAACAAAGGACTGAACAATAGTCAGCTATAGATGTGGTTTCTATTTTATTTTGCCAGTAATGGGGCTTGAACTCAGGGGCTGGGCACTATCCCTGAGCTTCTTTTGCTCAAGGTTAGCACTCTACCACTCTACCATTTGAGCTACAGCACCACTTCTGGTTTGTTTGTTTGTTTAGGTGGTACTGAGGAATGGAACCCAGGGCTTTATGCATGCTAGGCAAGCACTCTACCACTAAGCCACATTCCTGGATGTGGTTTTAAGAGAGATGCAAAATGGCCACCTGGCCCCGAAACATGTTTTTTTGCCGGTCCCAGGACTTGAACTCGGGGCCAAAATGCTGTCTCGGAGCTTTATTTGCTCAAATCTAGTGCTCTACCACTTGAGCCACAGTGCCACTTCTGGCCTTTTTCTGAGACGTTAATTGGAGTCTTACACTTTTCTGCCTGGGCTGGCTTTGGACCTAGATCCTCAGATCTCAGCCTCCTAAGTAGCCAGGATTACAGGTGTGAGCCACTGGTGCTTGGCTTTGAAACATTTTTGAGCACTGAGTGAATTCACTTGTTTGGTTGAGACAGTGTCTTGCTAGGCAGCCCAGGCGAGCCTCAAAATGAATCCTCCTGTGTCAGTCTCCCAGTGCTGGGATTTCAGGCATGTGCCAATATAACAGGCTTTGAATTTACTTTTGATTTATTAAAGGGGGGGGGCATACATTTCAAGTACTCCATTGAAACTGTCATCTTCTACCCTCATTTTTTTTTTTGGGGGGTCCGGTCGTGGGGCCTGAACTCTGGGCCTGGGTTCTGTCCCTCAGCTCTTCAGCTCAAAGCTAGCGCTCTACCACTTGAGCCACAGTGCCACTTCCGGCTTTTTTTTTCTTTTTCCTTTTCTTTCTTTTTTTTTTTTTTTGCTTATGTGGTGCTGAGGAATCGAACCCTGGGCCTCAGGCATGCAAGGCAAGTGCTCTACCACAGAGCCACCTTCCCAGCCCTCTACCCTCATTTTTAAAAAGCATATTGTTATTATAAAGGTGATGTACAGAGGGGTTACAGTTATATAAGTCAGGTATCATAAAGACCTTTTGTTTTCCTCTCCCACCCTCCAAAAAAAGAACTTTTAGCTGTCCATGCCTACCATCCCAGCACTTAGTAGGCTGAGGCAGGAGTAGCTAGGCTTCCAGGTGCGAGCTACCAGCACCTTGTAACTGCTGGTTATTTTGTAATTAGTCTCACAAATGTATTTTGTCTGGGCTGGCCTTGAACTACAATCCTCTGGATCTTGGCCTTCTGAGTAGCGAGGGTTACAGGTATGAGCCAATAGCACCTGGTTCTAAACTCTTTTTGATGGTCTCCCTAGGCACTATTTTACTCTGCTTTGGTACCTGATGAAGCAAAAATGTCCCCTGGCAAGGCAAGCCTGCTGTGTGGTCAACAACGGCGGGAATATACCTAGAAAAACAGAAATGCAGAAGTCAGGGAGACTGCATCTATGAGGCCTTCCAAGATTGCTATAGCAACTTAAATTCCTTATTTCTCTCACCCATGTTGCATTTAATCACACTGACATGACACCTTAGCTGAGGTGTCACATATAACCTCATTGTGCATACTAGAATGAAGTGCTAGAATAGGCTGTGGTTCCAGCTCCACCCTTTGCTTAATAATGTATAACTGCACTAGCAGTCAACAGGAAATAAGAAATGGATCATTTCAGATTCTAGCTAGTTTTATTTTATTTGTCAGTAGTGGGGCTTGAACTCTGGGCCTGGGCGCTGTCCCTGAACTCTTCAGCTCAAGGTGAGCTCTCTACCTCTTGAGCCACAGTACCACTTCTGGTTTTCTGGTGGTTAATTGGAGATAAGAATCTCATAGACTTTCTTGCCTAGGCTGAACTGTAATCCTCAGGTTTCAGCCTCCTGAGTAGCTAGGATTACAGGCCTGAGCCACTGGTACCAGGCTCTAGTTTTGTTTTTAAGACCCAGAAAGTAGTTAATTCAGCAAAACCATTACTGTAACTAGCTCTCCCTCATAATGTTTATGAAAAGTCAAATTCCACTGCTGACCAATTGGCAACTGCATACAGGATTGTCAGAGCCATTCTTTTTTTTGGGGTCCGGTCGTGGGGCCTGAACTCTGGGTCTGGGCGTTGTCCCTCAGCTCTTCAGCTCAAGGCTAGCGCTCTACCACTTGAGCCACAGCGCCACTTCCGGCATTTTTCTTTTTGCTTATGTGGTGCTGGGGAATCGAACCCAGGGCCTCATGCATGCAAGGCAAGCACTCTACCACTTAGCTACCTCCCCAGCCCCGTCAGAGCCATTCTTAACCTACAGTAGGGACTTCATACACATTCAATGGTGAAGGCAATGGTGGTTTCTGCAAATATACAGAATGTTATAGAACATTATAGCTTGCCCTTTACATGAACTGATACAGCCTCTGCCAATGTCAGGAGTAGAATCACTACTGTGTCTGTCCAAAGGTATTTTAAAAGCAACCACAAACAGTAATTACACTAATCATGTACTCTAGCCCAGTTCATAAAGACAAGCAAGCTTCTGTGATCGTATTAATCCAGGCCAGTGGCCATCAGCGGGGACCTTGACCAGTGACAATATTATGTGAGAGCTATGTGGCAGTAACTAGAGGCATTTTTGGTTGCCATGACTAGAGAGGGAAGGTGCTATGTGCATCTTGAAGTAGAGGGAAGGGATGCTACAGAATATCCTACAATGGCCAGCACAGACCCTAGAATGAAAAATAACAATGCTGGGGGGGGAAACTTGGTCTTTGGGACACATCATGCCCCCATCTCCTCACTGTGATTAGAAATGTGTGCCTTGGCCACGCTCTGTACAGTCTGTTACCTCTGCTCTGCTCCTGATCACAACCAAGTGCAGTCCTCATCACCTTGCTGACATTGGCAACAAGAAAACCTAATGATTAATACTGGAGAGTCAGTCCCCTGGCATAAAGTACCAAGCCCACCAAGATTTAATTCAAAATTGGAAATTGGATGGTAATAATTCAAAATTCCATATCCTAATGTTGAAACATGTTGCAAAGTTGGACTTACTCTCCTGTAGGCTCCAGTTCACTGATCTCAAACCAAACCAGAAGATCATACTTGCTCATGCTCTGGCCAAGGCTGGTTTTGCTCAGGGTATTCAACTTGGTAGCTGGAACTTAAAAAAAAAATTTCTTTTTTTACAAGATGTAATGATCTGACCCAAGTTTACTCAGCAAAAAGCATAAGCTTCTCTAATAGCAGTTTTTAAAAACACATTTGAGGAGGGCAGAGGGTCAGAGGATTTAGATTTCATTGCAGAAGACCCAGAAAAACGTTATTAACTATGCTAGCACCTTTCACTAAGAGAACAATATGGAGACTCAATATTTTCCCTTCTCAGACCAAAGTTTCCAAAAGTGAGAAAATAATTTTGTTTTTTTTTTTTTTTGGGTCCGGTCATGGGGACTGAACTCTGGACCTGGGCGCTGTCCCTCAGCTCTTCAGCTCAAGGCTAGCACTCTACCATTTGAGCCATAGTGCCACTTCCGGTTTTTTTCTTTTTGCTTATGTGGTGCTGAGGAATCAAACCCAGGGCCTCAGGCATGCAAGGCAAGCACTCTACCACTGAGCCACCTTCCCAGCCCCAAGAAAATAGGTTTTGTGCAAAGCAAATATGCCACAAAATCAGTCTAATGATCTTCACACTTCAGAATCCCTTATTTTGTGGCATGGTGTCTATCACATGGGAACTATGTGGGGGATAGTGAGGAGAACCTTGCATATCACGGGGCTCCAGTGGAGCTGGAGAGATAAACCATCCTGCAACCTCGGGTTCCCAGTCCTCCCTGCATCTAAGAGCCACTGAAAAGCCCAGCTGGGTATGGTAGCTCACCCTTGTAATCCCACTTACTTGGGAGGCAAAGATAGGCTGGTCTGAACCATATGAAAAATAACTATAAATACAAAATGGGCTAGGTGTGTGGCTTATGTGGTAAAACACTTGCCTTGCAACGTGCAGGCCCCTGAGTTCAAACTCCAGTACAAAAAAAAAAAAAAAAGGATTAGAGAAAAAGTGGAAGTGGCATTGTGGCTCAAGTGGTAGAATGCTAGCCTGATCAAAAGAAACTCAGGAACAGTACTCAGGCCCCTCAGTTCAAGCCCCAGGACTTGCAAAAAAAAAAAAAAAAAAAAAAAAAAAAAAATATATATATATATAGCCAGGCGCCAGTGGCTCACACTTGTAATCCTAGCTACTCAGGAGGCTGAGATCTGAGAATCATAGTTCAAAGCCAGCCCAGGCAGGAAAGTCCATGAAACTCTATTAAACCACCAGAAAATCAGAAGTGGTGCTGTGGCTCAAGTGGTAGAGCGCTAACCTTGAGCTGAAGAACTGTGAGACAGCGCTCAGGCCCAGAGTTAAAGCCCCATGACCCCAAAAAAAAAAAAAAGAGATCCAGACCATACCTCAAATAATCAAATGACAGTCTTGTGTGCATGAGTAAATGTATTTGTGTATATGTGTGTGTACACACGTGTTTGACAGCCCTTCCCTTGGTTTAATTTCCCCAATTGATTCTAATGTTGAGTGAAACCACTTGTGTATTGTGTAAATGCAGGAATCTATTAAGTGATCTGTTGTTCCAAGGATTCCTAGCAATGCTGATGTGGCTTTGGTTAAGGTATTTCCTTAACTTATAAAATATAGGTCAACATAGACTGTTATCTTGGCAAAGAAGACCTACCAACATGTAACTAGGTTTTATTAGGTTTATATATAGCATTATTCATTTTTATTTATTTTTTTTGGTCCGGTCGTGGGGCCTGAACTCTGGGCCTGGGCACTGTCCCTCAGCTCTTCAGCTCAAGGCTAGCGCTCTACCACTTGAGCCACAGCACCACTTCCGGCTTTTTTCTTTTTGCTTACATGGTGCTGAGGAATCGAACCCAGGGCCTCTGGCATGCAAAGCAAGCGCTCTACCACTGAGCCACCTTCCCAGCCCCCATATAGCATTATTCAAATGTGTAGCCTATTACCAGTATTCATCCCAGCTGAATTTCATATGCATTGGTGATGCTAGAAAATAGAGTTCTGGACTCTGGTAGTCACCTAATGTTCAGTAACCAAAACTGTAAGTACCAAAACAATCAAACAAAAGGCTGGGGTGTATCTCAGATAGAACTCTTGCCCAGAATGCCAAAGCCTGTGGGCAATCCCCAGTACAAAAAAAACAAAGCAACAGGTCAGGTACTGGTGGCTCACACCTGTAATCCTAGCTACTCAGGAGGCTGAGATCTGAGGATCATGGTTCAAAGCCAGCCTGGACAGAAAAGTCCCTGTGAGACTCTTATCTCAAATTAATCATTCAAGAACTGGAAGTGGGGGCTAGGAAGGTGGCTCAGCGGTAGAGTGCTCGCCTTGCATGCATGAGGCCCTGGGTTGATTTCTCAGCACCACATAAGCTGAAAAAGCTGGAAGTGGCGCTGTGGCAAGTGGTAGAGTGCTAGCCTTGAGCTGAAGAGCTGAGGGACAGCACCCAGGCCCAGAGTTCAGGCCCCATAACTGACCATAAAAAAAAAAAAAAAAAAAAAAAGAACTAGAAGTGGGGCTGTGGCTCCAAGTGGTAGAGTGCTAGCCTTGAGCAAAAAGAGCCTACAGACAGTGCCCAGGCCCTGAGTTCAAGTCCCATGCTGAACAGAAAACAAAAACCCCACAAAGCAACAAACAAAAGCGAACTATTAGTAAATATCAAAATTGAAAATACTACAAGGTTGGGGATTCAGCTCAGTGGAAGAGTGCTTGTCTGGCACGGACAAGACCCTATATTCAGTCCCCAGCAACCCTCCCAAAACAAGCAAACAAAATTAAAATACTACTGAAAAAGCTAGGCACCAGTGGCTCATACCTATAATCCTAGCTACACAGGAAGCTGAGCTCTGACTTCAAAGCCAGACTGGCCTGGAAAGTCCATGAGACTCTTATCTCCAATTGACTAACAAAAAGCCATAAGTGTAGCTGTGGTTTAAGTAGTAGAACACTAGTCTTCAGTCAAAAAGCTCAGAGACAGGCCCTAGTTCAAGCCCCAGGACTGTACGCGCACACGCGTGCACACACACACACACACACACAAATACTACTGCATAACATTTAAACAAATACTAGAAGCACTTAACTAGGGTGTTATGCAAGAAGCACAGGTAGAGAAGGAGTTTCTTAAAATCTCTCTAAAGGAAAAGCGATACAATCTTGACAATGTGTTGGACTCTATATTCAGCTCAAGGAGCACACAGAGACATCAGCGCTTTGTTCAGAGTCAGGACTTAGGACAAGCCCTGAGGCTGGTTCTACATCTAAGGAGAGCTACTTTAGCTACTAACCATCTCGTTTGGGTGCCCTCTGGCAGCTGGAAAGTGGCAGAAAGAGAAGAGGCGGCAATGGATCAGCCTCGATCTGGAAGGTGGCAACCGCAGAGGACGCAAGCACACTGGCGTGCTCAGAAAACGTGTCCAACACATGCACATTCACATAACCAGACATGAGAGAGCGAATCATCTCAATCTTTCTTTCATGGTCTGAAGGCCAATGGGATGAGGAATACAGAAAAGAGAAAACAAGCACAGGGAGGGGTGGGAATGTGGCAAGTGGACAATGAGGAAAAAGGGTGAAAAATACAAAGCAAAAGAAAATAAGGTAAATGAATAGGACAAGTTCTGATGTTCTATGGCAGAGAACATGAGGATGATCACATAGAGTATCACCTATTCCAAAATTGTGAGGAGACAGGATTTGGATGTTCTTTTTTTTTTTTGTCAGTCGTGGGGCTTGAACTCTGGGCCTGGGCGCTGTCCCTCAGCTCTTCAGCTCAAGGCGAGCGCTCTACCACTTGAGCTACAGCGCCACTTCCGGTTTTCTGGTGGTTTATTGGAGATAGGAGTCTCACCGTCTCTCCTGCCCGGGCTGGCTTTGAACCGCGATCCTCAGATCTCAGCCTCCTGAGTAGCTAGGGCGTGAGCCACCAGCGCCCGGCGGATGTTCTTACCATAAAGAAATAGTAACTGCTTAAAGTGATGGTGATTATGCTATACATACATGCACTACCCATTATCTATCAGGTAAAAATATCCTACCATGCCTCACAAATATGCACAATTATATGTCAACCAAACATTAAAAAAACATAAATGACTACGCAGAACAAATTTAATATACAAAGAAATGGCCAGTCACTGAGAGAGCAGGTACCTACAGAACAGAGGCTTAGGAAAAGGAAGATTGTCAACGTCTGCAATAAAGAACTGGTGGAGATAAAACATGCTTTTTTTTTTTTTTTTTCTGACATCTATCTTAAACCAGGAACCAAAATTCCTGTTATTGTTAGATGAATACAAGAGGGGAAGAGACACATGAGGACACACAGAAGAGGGGAAAAAATTCTGGAGATTATTTGGAGCAAATGCACAGAGAGCTTCTGTGTAGCTGGTACTCACCTGGTTTGGAGAGTGGCATGGGAGGAGGGAAAAACCTTCGAGATGGCTGAGGTGGACTGCAGAGAGAAAGATAAACCTCAGGACTAAAGACTTGGTGTTGGTATTAATGGCATGCTTAAATCATGGTGAGGAAACGGATCTGTGTACTTCCGACTCTGGCACAGCATCAGATACTCAACATAATCCCACAGAGTGAAACAAGATAACACATTTTTAAAAAGTCACCCTGTGAACCGTGGCTAACAAGTGAAGTAAGAAGCGTATTCTGTTAGCATGGAGGAAATCTGGTGACACTGTCACTGAATCATCATCATCACTGCTCTCTCCATCAGTTTTGTTTTGTTTTTCTGAGACAGGGTCTCACAATGGAGCCCAGGCTGCCCTTGAGCTTGAGGTCTGCTGCCTGGGCCTCCCGGTGCCTGGTGCAGTGATGACAGGTGGGTACCACCACCATGCCCAGCTCATCAATTTTAATAATTCCATTTAGAGCTTTTACTTTTTTGGGGGTTGGTTGTAGGGCTTGAACTCAGGGCCTGGGTGCTGTCCCTGAGCCTCTATGCCCAAGACTAGTAGAGCCACAGTGCCACTTCCAGTCTTTTTGAGTGGTTATTGGATAGGAAAGAGCCTCATGGAGACTTTTCTGCCCAGGCTGGCTTCAGACCACGATTGTCAGATCTTAGCCTCCTGAGGAACCAGGATTACAGGCATGAACCACCGACACCTGGTGAGCTTCCACTTTATAAGGCTGAGGGGATTGTGAGGAATAATCAAACATACTTGTCATGTTATAGCCCCATCCCCAACTTTCTACCCTATTCAAAGTCTCTTCATACAAAAAGATGGCATTCAAGGTCATCTGGGTAAAATTCAACTTCCTCTATTTAAAATTAGTGACTAATAAAAATAAGATAAGTGACTAAATGGCTAGCAAAAGATTATATTTCCTACGAGGAAACACAGGATAATTTATAAAACTGTTATCCACTTATCTTAATCCATCAAGAGTTCTGCAGCAATTGAAGAACTAAAAATCCAAACAGTAACAACAGAAGTCTCTGATTCTATGGTCTATACCTGCTTAGCTCCTGTCCTTGCAGATGAAGTGGATGCTGCTGGTAATGGCCAAAGACTTCAAATACAATAGGCTTGGTTTTGATATAGTCCACAAATGACTCAGTGACTTCCACTGCAATCTAATGAGAAATAATGCCAAATGAGATTATGGAAAGATTTGTTACAAAAAAAGTTCCTACTTAGCTTTTGTCAGAACTTTAGCACTTAAAAAAAAAATTTTTTTTTTTAATTCTAAAAGTGATGTTCAGAGGGGTTACAGTTACATCAGTCATGTAAAGAGTACTTTTGTTGTTGTTGTTGGTTGTTGGTTGTGGGGCTTGAACTCAGGGCCTGGGCGTGATCCCTGAGCTCTTCAGCTCAAGGCTAGTGCTCAACCACTTTGAACCACAGCACCACTTCCCATTTTCTGTTGGTTAACTGGAGATAAGTCTCATGGATGTTCCTGCCCAGGCTGGCTTTGAACAGCAATCCTCAGATCTTAGCCTCTTGAGTAGCTAGGATTACAGGTGTGAGCTACCAGTGCCTGGTGAGAGTACATTTCTTTTTAGACAATGTCGTTCCTTCTCTGATGCTCTCTCTCAGTTAACTTTAGCACCCTTACACATCCTGTCTGTAGTGAATGTTGTTACATAGTCCTCTTGCACCAAAGGATGAGCTCTACTTCTCATTCTACAACTCTATTCCCCACTGGGATAGTGTGGAGATGGAACCCAGGACCTCACACTTGCTAGGCAAGCATTCTACTACTAGAGCTATTAAGTCCGTAGCTATCCCCCTCCTTTTATTGCAGTATTGAGGTTTGAACTCAGGACCTTCTGCTTACTAAGCTGGTATTCTACCATTTGAGTCATGCCTCCATCTCAGCTTTCTTCTGGTTATTTTTTGGAGATGTAATGTCACCAACTTTTCTGCCTGGACTGGCCTTCAACCTCAATTCTTCAGATCTCCTGAACAGCTAGTCCCCACTCCCTGCCTTTTTTTGTTGTTGGTCTTGGGCCTTGAACTCAGGGCCTAGGTGCTATCCCTGAGCTCCTTCAGTCATGGCTAGTGCTCTACCACTTTGAGCCACAGCACCACTTCCAGTTTTCTAGTGGTTAATTGGAGATCAGAGTCTCAGACTTTCCAGCCCGGGCTGGCTTTGAACCTCAATCCTCAGATCTCAGTCTCTTGAGTAAACAGGATTACAGGCATAAGCCACAAGTGTCTGTCTTTTGTTTTTATTTTGATTTTGAGATAGGGTCTAGATAACTTTGCCCAAGCTGGCAGAGAACTCAAGACCCCCCTGCCTCCACCTCCCAGACAACTGGGAAAACACCATGCCCAGCACGCTTCTCATTCTAAAGTAACATTACTAGGCTTCAGGCCTTCAAAACTCCCCACAATGTGCCCCCATTGACTCAGCCCTGCTGCCTTTCACACACAGTTTCAGTGCAGCTGAACTTGCCTGCTGCTCTCCTGCCTGCTTTTTTCTTTTCTTGTACTCCAACCCTGTCAGAGGCCCTCCCATATCTCCATGCATCTAAGTCATTCCTATACTAAATGCCCATCTCAAATAGTAGTAACAATAAGAAAAGTAGCCAGGTGCTGGTGGCTCACACCTGTAAAGTTAGCTACTCAGAAAGCTGAGATCTGAGTACTGGGGTTCAAAGCCAGTCTGGGCAGAAGAGTCCATTAACTCTTAGGTCCAGTTAACTACCACAAAGCCAGAAGTGGAGCTGTGTGGCTCAAGTGGTAGAGGGCTAGTCTCAAGCTAAAAAGCTCAGGGACAGTGATCAGGCCCTGAGTTCAAGCCCCAAGACTGTCACAAAAACAAACGAACAAAAAAACAGAAAGGGAAAAAAAAGTATTGACTGTAGAGTGTCAGGTGTAATGCCAAGTTTGACACATTTTTTTATTATTATTCTATATCCTTCAGAAAACTGACCTTTCTCCACCCAACCACCCCCAACCAGCTAAAAAATTAATTATCTCTCCATATGAAAATAATTTCTCTTTCTCCACTCCCACTGCATCTTGAATGTTTTTCTCATGTTTTCCATGTTATATCTCTCTTATCATAATTCTAAGCACCTTGGGGGGCACCCAAGGTACAGCTGCACCCCCAAACATGTCGAGCACACCTTGTGCACAATAGCTGATGAATATTTATTAGATTTATGCATGTTCACATTATACAAATACCAAGAGTGAGAGGTGATTTCATGAGAAGTGAGGACCCTGGACTCAAGGGCCACATTTCTCTGTGTTTAAATGGATCTCTGCCTTGTCCCTAGCTTGGCTGCCCTCTGAGTGACGTTAGTTACTCACTGCCTCAGTTACCTCAGCGATAACATAAGGATCATTAGAGTCTATGGTGTGAGGGAAGCATTAAATGCAAAGAAAAATTTCCAATTAAATCCATCAACATTAGCCATTGTAACAAACGTGGCGAATTTTCTTTTCTTTTCTCTTTTTTTTTTGGGGGGGGGGGTCTGGTCGTGGAGCCTAAACTCTGGGCCTGGGCACTGTCCCTCAGCTCTTCAGCTCAAGGCTAGCGCTCTACCACTTGAGCCACAGCGCCACTTCCGTTTTCTTTTTTGCTTATGTGGTGCTGAGGAATCGAACCCAGGGCCTCATGCATGCAAGGCAAGCGCTCTACCACTGAGCCACCTTCCCAGACCACGTGGTGAATTTTCTGAATTGAGTTTTAGTGAAATTTTATATTAGAGACAAAGACAGCTGTAAGGGCATTCCTCACAGCATTAGCTCCAAGGAAAACAGACTGGAACTTAAGTTGGCTATAAAAGGTATTTAATAAGTTCTGCTTTATTTGCATCCAAAATAACATAATTATCCTAGATTTAAATGACAGCATATTAACTTTAACAAAAGTGCTAGTAAACATGTTTTATTTTTCTAGGACCAAAGCATTAAAACAATGCATTCATACATTCAAAGTGATGGAAGATTTCATTCCTGGGCCAGCTGTGCACCACTGTAATTCAGCGTCTGCTGCGGATGACCTCACCACCCAGGCACGAGCCCCTCCCTCCATTGTCTTCTCCACTAGCTCCCTCCCGCACAAAGGCAGCTGGGCCTCGCTATCCTTCCTCCGCCAAGAAAGCCAAACTACCACAAACCCCAATGTGTCTGACAAAAACGTCCAGGTTACTCACATTCTGCACATGATAAAAGCCCAGGGGACTTCCTCTGCCATTGTTCTTGAGGGGTTCAGTGGAGAATGCTTCATCATGGCGATGCAAAAAACTTAATAAAAAGGTAAGACAAGCTGGATTACATGTTTTCATTTGGATTCTGTTACGAGAGCCTGCCTTGCATCCAGTGGTAAGAAGCATCCCACTTAAGCAGGTTTTTTTTTTGTGCCAGTTCTGGGGCTTGAACTCTGGGCCTTAACACTGTCCCTGAGAGCCTCTTTTGCTCAAGGCTGGTACTCTACCACTTGAGCCAGAGTGCCACTTCTGGCCTTTTCTGTGTATGTGGTACTGAGGAATCGAACCCAGGGCTTCATGCATGCTAGGCAAGCACTCTGCCACTAAGCCATATTCTCATGTGGCTCTCATGTTTTTCATCTTTCTTTCCTAAGAGCATTCCCATCACTTACATGTAAAGCACTCTAGAGCACAAATGACATCTCAGTTAACAACTAGCTAGGCAGGCAGAACAAAGGAGGGGCTTACTTGAATTGACAGAAGATGTCTGCATACTCTGGGAGGATCCCACTGGCCTGTAACACTGTGACTCGGAAAGTGAAGGCACTACCCAGTTTCAGGTGGTTGCCAATCTCTTCAGAAAACCCTTCCATTACCATCTTTCCATCCAGTAAACTGCCTGACTTCAAATCTAAAGAGGGTCAGATGAACATACATTTGGTTTGAAGAATGGAAAAAAGGTGTTGTCGGGCACTCTCCCCATTCCTAGTTGAAGAAAGCAAATTACATCCCTTGACAGTTTCTTCCTCCCCCTCTTTGAGAATGTTCCCGATAGCAGTCATCTCTGTTACTCACCCAAGTCATTCATTCGACTGATTTCTTCTGGAGGAGTGATGACTTCCGAACTCTGACCCTGTCCTTCTACAATCCTTAGCTCCTCCAAGGACAGACCCGAACGCGTCATTGCAACTGAAGAAAAGTCACTCTGGAAGTGAGGCAGAGGTAGGTTTAGAAGGAAGCAGTATAAATGCACCCCCCCCCCCACACACACACACCATTTCCTTGTTTATTTTCCTAACAAATAAGTGACTAGAAGATGATGTGGATTAAAGAGCTGTCTGGGAAAAGGCATCATGCAAACATGCACACATTGGATTTGTACTGGTATGTCCTGTACCTTACTCAACAACTCTGGGCTTACCAGCATCCTGCTTAGAGCTCTAGGCAGGGAAACTGGCCTCCAATGCAAAAACTTCCTCACACACCCATCTACTTCTCTCCCTTTCCTCATGGCCCTCCTTCCTAAAGATTTCTCACCTCATTAAAGTATTCGTTATCAAAAGATATTTTAGCCGTCCCTGACTGTCGAATTCCAGAGCCATAATCAGGAGCTTCTTCATCCGCTAAGTAGAAAAAAACCCAGCGCACATTAAATGAGAGTATACATGTGAGGAGAGGATTACAGAATATAAACAGGAAAGTCCTTTTACATAAAAACAATTACAATGGCTACAAACTCCTCTGTTCATGTACATTTATCATCTTCTTAGCTTAAAGAGAACTGTTTAGAACTTTACAACTTTGGTGGGGGGGAGGATGCGAAGGGATGGGAAGGGGAAACAAAGGAGGAGGCTACAATGCTTGATAAGAAATGTACTCATTGGGCTGGGAAGTTGGCTCAGTGGTAGAGCGCTTGCCTTGCATGCGTGAGGCCCTGGGTTCGATTCCTCAGCACCACATAAGAAAAAAGCCGGAAGTGGCGCTGTGGCTCAAGTGGTAGAGCGCTAGCCTTGAGCTGAAGAGCTGAGGGACAGCGCCCAAGCCCAGAGTTCAGGCCCTACGACCGGACCCAAAAAAAAAAAAAAAAAAAAAGAAATGTACTCATTATCTTGCCCATGTAATTGTAACACCTCTGTACAGTATTTTCACAATAAAAAAATACGTTTATAATAATAATAAAAAAGAAATACGTTTATAATAATAATAAAAAAGAAATGTGCTCTTTACTTGACTTATTTAACTGTAACTACTCTGTACATTACCTTTATAATAACAATAAAAAATTTAAAAAATAAAAAAAGAGAACTGTTTAGTAAATAACTAGTTTTATTCTCTCACTCTCTTTTAGTACAGAGGTTTGAACTCAGGGTTTCATGCTTGCTAAGTAAGCATTCTATCACTAAGCCATGCCTCCATACCTATTTTTTGCTGCTCAGGTATGAGCCTGGACCACAATCTGCCTCCTGGGCTGGGATGATAAGCATGTGTCACTGCATCCAGCTTCCCTCTGTTGACATGGAGTCTTGCACTTGTCTGCCTGGGCTGGCCTGCAGCTACAATCCCTGACCTCTAATTTCAGCCTGTCATATAGCTGAGGATAACAGGCCTAGCTATGGGTTGAAAGGGAGTCTCCTGAACTTTTCTGACTGGGCTAGCTTCAAACTGTGACTCTCCTTTTCAGTCTTCCAAGTAATTAGGATTACAGGTGTAAGCAACTGGCAGCCAGCAAGAACTGGTTTTGTTTTTGCTGCTGTTTGTTTTTGTGCTTAAACTCAGGGCCTGGGCACTGGGGCACTGTCCTTGAGCTTTTCTTTTTTTTTTGTCGGTCGTGGGGCTTGAATTCTGGGCCTGGGGGCTGTCCCTTAGCTCTTTAGCTCAAGGCGAGCGCTCTACCACTTGAGCCACAGCGCCACTTCCAGTTTTCTGGTGGTTTATTGGAGATAGGAGTCTCATGGTCTCTCCTGCCCGGGCTGGCTTTGAACCACGATCCTCAGATCTCAGCCTCCTGAGTAGCTAGGATTACAGGCGTGAGCCACCAGTGCCCGGCCCTTGAGCTTTTCAAATCAAGGCTAGCACTCTACCACTTGAGCCACAGCTCCACTTTTGTTTTGATGGTTAACTGGAGGTAAGAGTCTCATGGACGCTAATGCTCAGGCTGGCCTCAAACCAAGATCCTTAGGTCCTTTGATCTTGAATAGCTAAGACTGCAGGTGTGAGCCACTGGTACTGAGCTAAAGGAAAACTCTTTACTCCATTATTCCAAAATACCTGGAGCCTGGACTAAACAGAATTAATTTATGATACTTGGGGGAAAAAAAATCTAAAAAGGAAGCAAGAAAGGCCTTCTCCAAGTTGGACAAACACCACCTTTTGTGTTCGTGACTGAAGTGTGGTCCTCACAGACCTGGCCTGCTCGGTCACTAGACAAGACCTAGAACCTTCATACACAGGAGGATTACCCACCTGCAATGGCCTGCACAGCCACCCGCAAGAATCCCCGCACTTCCCCCTTCTCACTGACGATGGCCACTCTGTGAATCAGGGGCACAGGATACAGCAGATTGCTCAGGTACACAAATGCCCTAGAGTCAGAAGGCAGAAAACCACATATCAGAGAATCCCAAAGAGGGACAAGCTGGCTCTCAGTCTCACTGAGACTATCTTCTCTCAACTGAGCCGGCTTCTAGGCCTTGTCTTAAAATTACCTCTCAGTTCTGTCCTTTCAAACTGCTTCTAGTTGCTTTTTTCAGCTATGACAACACATACAAATGCAAATGTTTGTCAAGACAGCTGACAAAGACCAACTTACACCAAATTAATCTCTGTAAGAATTGTATTGCAGGTAGAAGAGTAACAGTTGGAAGTAGACCTTTGAGACACTGCTCTGCGAAAACGACTGGTAGGGAAAGGAAACAATTGAAGGGCTTAACCTTTAAATATAAGAAACTACCAAGATTCTTTCCCAATAGACAGAAATCAGGAGACAAAAAAAAGGCAGGATAATATGAATGAAATAGAGTTAATAACTTAAAAAGCCACATTATTGCATCTTTATTTTTATTCTAAGGACTGTTATCTTGAGGCAGGAGGACTAGCAATGGTAAGGGAAGCCTACACGTGTGGCAGAGACTACACAGTCCGAAATTTCTTGAGTAGTGAGCCTGCAGGAGTCTCTGAATTGGCATCAAGGTAAATGCTACCAGAGAAGAAAGCTGGTTCCTATGGATTTATATACATATATGTATATAAACTGTTACAGATCTAACAGTTTATATTTCAAACAAACAAACAAGTAAACTCCTATGACATCTATATTGTCTTCTTTCACTATTTTATAGCAATTAAAACTGGTGACTGCAGAGTTTCAGAGTGCTCATTCCAATGAGTAGAAGAGATTGAGGATCCAGTTCCTACTGTTACTCCTGGCTTCCCACTTGGTATATGCTGATCTTTGCACATAAAACAAAAAGCAAAGAATAAACCCTTGCATCAGGAAATCAAGCAACTGAATGTGACACACAGGCCTGCCTGCTGTTCTCCTACTCTGATACAAACTTCAAAACAAAGAAGGACGGAGGAATGGATCCTTGAGATTTCAATTCAAGATAATGAAAGCAATTATGAAAACAGAATACATAATAAAAAGTAGTATTAATAAAACATAAGAACATAAATGACATGTGAATGACAACGGAAATGAGATAAATGCAAGTCAACATCGAATAGTTCATGGTATCACTTCCCTTTCAGTCTGCCTCCAAAGTAGGAGGGGAAGTACTAAGAGACAAAGAATTAAAGCTTTGTTGTTCAAAAGTTTAAAAATAAACATGTAACCTAAAAAGTATTACAAACATTACCATCCAATGCTACTTCTATGACTACGTTTAAGACTAAGAATTTGGCCTGTGGAACCAAACGGATACTTCACCTCAAAGTCAGCACACATAAAGATCACTGTTCTCCCCTAGAGGCTGATCCCATCAGACATGGCTGCTTCAAACACTGGAGCCATGCAGAGCTATCCTATGTGCCCCCTGGAGAGAGTCTTCTCTGTACTAAATGTTCACCTCCTCCCTTTGATCTCACATGTTCAGGTGCTATTTTAATCACCAGGTCCCTGCAAGGTTATACCATCTGAGCAATACACACAATTCTTTCATCATTGCTCTGATTTGCACTTAAATGTTTTGTACTTCTGTCACTGACTGTAAGTCTGTCAGAACAAAAACCATCTCTTCTCTTGCTTACTACTGTCTGTAGAGAGTCTGACATAATATATATGCTCAATCAATATGATGAATGAACATGTCTGTATGTAAGAGAAAAGGAAAGAGATCTTCCTCTAACTTTAAGTGGAAGATTTATCAGAAAAAATGTATTATACCTGAGGCTGAGAGGCAAAACCATTGAGCTTTATTATTATTATTATTTTGTTGGTCATGGGGCTTGAACTAAGGGCCTGCTCACTGTCTCAGCCTCTTTGTGCTAGCACTCTCCTACTTGAGCTACAGTGTCACTTCCGTTTTTGAATGGTTAACTGGAGATAAGCATCTCATGGGGATTTTTCTGCCTGGGCTGGCTTTGAACTATGACCCTCAAATCTCTGCCCCCTGAGTAGCTAGGGTTACAAGTGTGAGCCACCAGTGCCTGGGTTATTGTTACTTTTAAATTTTTTATTTATTCTTTGGTGCCATTATTGGGGCTTGAATTCAAGGCTTCGAGCTCTTACTTGGCTCTTCCACTCAAAGCTGATGCTCTATCACTTGAGTCATACCTCTACTTCTGGACTTTTGCTGGTTAGTTTTTGTTTTTGTCATTCATGGGTCTTGATCTCTGGGCCTGGGTTCATTCCCTGAGCTCTTTAGCTCAAGGTGAGTGCTCTACCACTTGAGCCACAGCACCACTTCTGGTTTTCTTGTAGTTAATTGGAGATAAGAGTCTCACAGACATTCCTGCCAGGGCTGTTTTGGAACAGCAATCCTCAGATCTCAGCTAGGATTACAGGCATGAGCCACCAGCACCCAGTTTACTGGTTAATTTGAGATAAGTCTCGTCGACTTTTCTGTCTGGGCTAGCTTCAAAACTCAATCCTCAGAATTTCAGCCACTTTAGTAGCTAGTATGATAGGTGTGAGGTACTGATTCCAGGCTCTGGGCTTCTTTTTGTTGAGATGAAGTTGTGTGAGCTTTTTTGCCTGAGCTAGCCTGCAACTGCTATCCTCCCAATCTGTCTTTTAAGTAGCTACTATTATAGGTGTGAGACACTAGCACTCACTTTTTTTTTTTTTTGTCGGTCATGGGGCTTGAACTGTGGGCCTGGGCGCTGTCCCTCAGCTCTTCAGCTCAAGGCGAGCGCTCTACCACTTGAGCTACAGCGCCATTTCCGGTTTTCTGGTGGTTTATTGGAGTCTCACGGTCTCTCCTGCCTGGGCTGGCTTTGAACCGCAATCCTCAGATCTCAGCCTCCTGAGTAGCTAGGATTACAGGCGTGAGCCACCAGCGCCCGGCTTAGCACTCACTTTTTGTTGTTGTTGTTTTTGTGGGACCTCACACATGCTAGTCAGGTGCTCTACCACAGGGGCTATATCTCAGCCCCCAAAGCCCTTGCATTCTTAGAAAAGCATATCACCATCACGGGAATATTATAAAAAGTTACATTGGAGCACACATTAAAGATGAGAATTTCCTCTCTGCTTATGGAAACGGCTATTCCACTGAATAGGAATTGTTGCAGGTGTCTCTAGTTAGCACATCTGCAATTCCATGGCAGGGTGGGCCATCACTTCTGTGATACACGAATGAATACGTGCTCACCAGACTGCTCCTGTCCCCCCAGCCCAAATTACTGCTGCATCAAAGTTCTCCTCTGAAGCTTTCTAAATTTTTGTAATTACTCTAATTTTGGAAGTCCTTATACTTTGAACTAGCAGACTGAAGGAGAACAGAGATGAGAGGGAAGATATAAAGGACATGTTAGCTGAAAAACTCTGTGATGTTACATCAGGAAGAGAAAATAAATTTGTCAACATAAAGAAAATCAGCATAATTACAGTGATTCTTACAGAGGAATGTCAATTTAGTTCAGAGAGGTTTACAGAATCATCTTTCGCCCCCTTTTCCACCTAGAAGTCTAGCTTATGTCTCTCATCCCAAATTACGGTGGATGGTTTATACATCCCAGCATGCCATAAGAGAATAGCTAAAGGGACAAGCTCTTTGCATCTGGATACAAAGATTCACCAGAGGTAATCCAGGTCAGTCAACAAATCTACAAGCAGAATTTCATTAGGAAGATGGAAACTTTTACAAGTGAGTCACATTTATAATTCCATGCCAATATGGAAAAATCCAATCCTACAAATTACAAAGCAGGAAAGAAGTAATCGCTGTTACAGCCAGTGACTGCCGAACAACGGGTGATGCTGCACCGTCATGCATTTTCTGGTGGAGAAGGAATGTAATTGAGGGCCAAATGGACAGCCATCTTCCACTTCACCACCTGCTATGCTTTCACCTCCTCCCCAGTCTCTTCTCTATTTATTTTTGGCAGTACTGAGATTCGAACTCAAGGTCTTGCACTTGCTAACCACGTGCTCTGTTGCTAGAGCCATGCCCGAGTCTTCTTTGTTTAGTAGGGTCTCACTTTTTACACAGGCTGGCCTATATTTTTTCTACTTACATTTCCTATATAGCTGGGGTGACAGGTGCATACTGATGCACTCAGTATTTTACTGGCTGAGATGGAGATACCCAAACTTTCTGTCAAGAATGGTCTCAAATCCTCTCAATCTCAGTCTCCCAAGGAATTAGGATTATAGGCAGGAGTCACTGTACCCAGTGTCTCTATTTACTTGCTACTGGTGATTAAACCCTAGGCCTTACAACTGGGCTATATTCCTAGCCAACTCCTATCTCCTAGTCTCTTGCAAGGTGACACTAGTTTTAGAAGTCTAGAACCGAACCCAAACAAATGAAAAGACCAATTTCTGAACCATAGCTTCATAAATATATCAGTTGAAAATAAAATAAGAGTTGACTGCTTTATATTTATACTTGCATCTAATATGAGAAAAAGGAAAAATATTAGAGAATATACTTATATCTTAAAAATACATATATCTTGATTATACATATACATATATATATATATATATTTATATTTAAGTAGATAGGTTTTTGTGTGTGTGTGTGTGTGTGTGCTGGTCCTGGGGCTTGAACTCTGGGCCTTGGACTGGCTGGACCTTTTCTTTGAAATTCAGTCCCTGTATCTCAGCCTCCTAAGTAGCTGGGATTATATGCACTGGTGCCTGGCTAAGCAAGATTCTGACTTCGTCTGGGTTTGAACTCAGGGCCTTGTCCTTTGAAAAAGATCTTTTTTGGGGGGTGAGGTCTGGTCGTGGGGTCTGAACTCTGGGCCTGGGCACTGTCCCTCAGCTCTTCAGCTCAAGGCTAGCACTCTACCACTTGAGCCACAGCGCCACTTCCAGCTTTTTTCTTTTTGCTTATGTGGTGCTGAGGAATCGAACCCAGGGCCTCAGGCATGCAAGGCAAGCGCTTTACCACTGAGCCACCTTCCCAGCCCTGAAAAAGATCTTTTAAGGCTCTCAGTATATAACTGGTACTGGGACTAAGTATATGGGCAGAAGATGTAACAGCCAACTCTTTAGAATAGGATGGCCATGTATGAGGGCACAGACAGCCATGGAAGAAAGCATTATTTTCCCATCACTTGTCAGTGCCTTTCTTAGTCAGCTTCTTTGAAATGCTAAGCATCTGATTCTGGCAATAGACCAGTAGAAAACAATATTCATGGTTCTACAATCTCATTGTGTTTACTCAGGAAGAAACTAAACTTTACATGTTCCTTACCACTGTAAAACCACTGTAAAAAAAAACTGTCTAATATTATTACTCGACGTTGTAATTGAGGTTTTCATTTCTACCGAAGAACTTATCTTTTCCCCGTTTTCATGTGTTAAATTTTGGAACACATGTCTGTGGGGTGGGAAGGGGAGAGGTCAAGTCAAGAGACTTGCTGAACTTTTTTTTTTTTTTTTGGTTGGTCATGAGGCTTTCTGGACGCTGTACCTAAGCTCTGTTTCTCAAGGCTAGAGCCCACCACTTTGAGCCATAGAGCCACTTCCAGTTTTCTGGTGGTTCATTGGAGGTAAGAGTCTCATGGACTTTCCTACCTATGTTGGCTTTGAACAGTGATTCTCAGATCTCAGCCTCCTGAGTAGCTAGGATGAGCTGAGTAGCTAGCGTGAGCCACCGGCGCCCAGCTCAATTTTTATTTTACATAAGCAGTGTTAGCCACTTAAGAGTAGTTGAGTTCAACAATACATTCAATATGTTCAACAAGATATGGTGGTTCTAATATACCACTAAACTTAATTTTTATACTTTAAAACCTAGACCTTGTTTTAGCTTAACCCAATGAATGCTCTATTATTGGAATTATAATGACCGTTACTCATCATGAAGCTTGGATATGGACAAAGACACAGTATTGGGAACATGTGACGGAGGGTTCTGCATTTCTAATAGAGGAATGCATAGTCTGACAGCCAGACAATGCCTCGGTTTGGGGAACACAACAAAAGCAGTTTCATGTAGCACTAAACAAATATTCATTGTTGATAGGGTCAACAGACATTTTCTGAGATTTGTCATTATAAATCCTATAGGTAAATTCTGGCCAAAGCAATACAGAAAAACAGTCCCTATAGCCAAAGGGAAATCAGACTAAAGAATCCTGCTTCTTTCTAAGGTTCTTTTTAAGATTCAATGGACTAAGCAAAAAACAAACAAACAAACAAAAAACCCCATGTACTTAACACTACTCCTAAGCCTAGTTCAGTCCTCTGATTCCTGTGGTGGCTTATCTAACCTTGGGCTCACTGTGGTCCACCACATGCTATCTCCATATGCTTCCTCACAACAGTGCCATCTGTGGAATCCATTGTCTTTGACTCTTTGCTTTAATTACTTTCTCTTTTGGGGTTTCCTCCTTAGAACAATACTATTGGGCAATTTAGGACAAGCAGTCCTGAACATAACGTCTTCACAAATTGCTGTGTGCTTTTTCACAAAGTACCCGAGTGCTCTCTCCAGCCACATTAACCTTTATATTAGAAGCCTAAGCATTAGAGGATGTGAGACTGAGGATTCATGAATTAAACTGGCGAAGGCAAGACTACCTAAAATTGTGCAGAGGCCTTTAAAAGCAAGAGCTGGTCCCTTTTTGCCTTTCTCATAATAACCTCACCAACCTTCCTACTAAAATGAACCAAGGGGATCGGTCGTAAAACGGGTCATGCCCATCACTGAAGAGATCTGATCCCTCCTCCGTCCCTGCGTCAGAGCCGGTGTCATCCACGAATGCCTCATCATCAAAATCCTCCATCTCATCTTGCTGTTCGTCAGCCAGCTCAGTGATGTCGGAATCGGCGGTGGAAAAAGTGGGGGAGGGTGTGCGGTCAGCAAGGCGCTCATTCACACAGCCGTGGAAAATGGGGGAGCTAGACACCAGGTAAGACGCCAATTAACACAGCCAGGGAGAAAGGAAGAGTTGGTTAAACAGGAAGCTATAGGTGCCAACAGGACAGAATCCACTGCAACACAATAAGAGCAAATAGAAAAGCAAAAGAATAAAATAGCGTAACTTATCTGGGTCAAGTGAAAGGGAATAGGGTGAAAAAGCTCTACAAGGATGGATCCTTAGAATAAGAAACGCAAAGGAAATCCATGAGTAGACAACCCTTGGTAAGTATGGTAAATATTGTATAAATTGTGTTATAAAACATTTCTATTCTCTCATTCATACAAAAGATCAGCATCCAGGCCTCAAAGGAGCTACTCAAAAGTCAGGTGAAATAGAAAGATTTGAATTCTCATTTTAGAGCAGAAACAAAATGCAAGGAATTATACTGGCCACAGCAGGCATGCTTTCCTTGGGTAAGATGTGTCTGGCCAGTTCATCTCTTTAAAAAAAAAGCAAACAACAATAACAAAAAAAACCTAGTCTATTATCAAAGTGGAGTAGAAAAGAATTTTACTTCATTTCAATAAAATACTAGTACTTCAGTAACTCCTTTTTAACTAGTTTCTTTTTTTTTCTTTGCCAGTCCTGGGGCTTGAACTCAAGGCCTAGGCACTGTCCCTGGTCTTCTTTTGCTCAAGGCTAGCACTCTACCACTTGAGCCATAGAACCACTTTCAACTTTTTTGTGGTACTGAGGAATTGAACCTAAGGCTTCATGCATGCTAGGCAAGCATTCTACTACTAAGCCACATTTTCAGACCTTACCTAGTTTCTTTAAATATTATAACAGAGATTTTTGCAGTTGAAAACAACTCCAATTCTTGAAATCAGTGAAATCAAAACTTAAATTTCTCTGCTTCCAAATTTCTAAGAACTCAACTCAATAAAGTCTCACAGAAGCAATACCTTTTTTCATAAAATGTTCGAGGTGGGCTGGGAATGTGGCTTAGTGGTAGAGTGCTTGCCTCGCAGGCATGGAGCCCTGAGTTTCATTCCTCAGTACCACATAAACAGAAAAAGTTGTAAGTGGCACTGTGGCTCAAGTGATAGAGTGCTCAGGGACAGTGCCTAGGCCCTGAGTTCAAGCCCTAGGACTGGCACTGGAAAAAAAAAAAAAAAAAAGAGTGAGAGAGAGAAAGAGATTCAAGAAGACTGCCAACAGAAGTGAGATAATTGCTCTAAGGAAAGAGTGTGCACAAATCAGAAAAAGGAATAGTTGTAGCTTGCTAAGGCATACACACATACTATGATTTTATTTAGACTGTGCAAAACATACATGTAAGTTTTGTTTTTCCTTTCAATCTATATCAACTATGAAAACATTTTGTGAAAAAGCTAGGAGCCAGGGGAGAGTATTGGTTAAAAGTTGGCAATCAAAACAATACACATGTTGAAATAAGACAGTGTTTATGTCATGAGTGGATAAAATTAGAGAAAGGGTTTTGTTAAATGTACTTTTCCCCCCTATTAGTTCCCCAGAATATCTGCTGAGATTTTAAATAGTTAAAACAAAAATGCTCAATATTTAAAAGTAAAACAACAATATCATCACATACCTTCCCACAAGTTTGAACCAGTGGAACCGATCGTAGAACGGATCGCTGCCTGTCATGGTGGTTTCGCTTTCATCTTGGGCACTGGAGGCCATCTCGCCGGCCCTGTCGTACATCTCTCGCATTAAATCTAGTCTCTGCCTATGGAACAAACAAGAGGCAGGAGTGGTTAATAGCATCAGATTGCATTAGTGCTGTGTTTTGGAAGCATATTCCATACAATATTTTTTCAAAAAGTTGTTCCCACCATTGAATGTTATTACAAAAAAATGAAAGCCAAAAGAAGACACCAATGTCTAAGTCACAAAAAATGAAGAATGGACAGCGAGATGGGTCAAGTGGCATACACCTATAATCCCAGGCACTCTAGAAACTGAGACAGGGCTGGGAAGCTGGCTCAGTGGTAGAGTGCTTGCCTTGCATGCCTGAGGCCCTGGGTTCGATTCCTCAGCACCACATAAGCAAAAAGAAAAAAGCCGGAAGTGCGCTGTGGCTCAGGTGGTAGAGCGCTAGCCTTGAGCTGAAGAGCTGAGGGACAGCGCCCAGGCCCAGAGTTCAGGCCCCACGACCGGACCCCCCCCCCCCCCCCCCCCCGCCAAAAAAAAAAGAAGAAACTGAGACAGAAGGATTACAAGTTCAAGGCAAGCATGGACTACATAGCAAGACTATCTCAAAAAAAAAAAAAAGAACAGCCAGTTAACCTGTACTGAGCCAACAGTCTCAAAGGAAACTAGTTCAATGGTGTGTGATATTTCAATATACTCAGACAGTGGCAATTATCATACTAAATGCAAATAAAGCTAGATTGTAACTTCCCTGTTTTCTGAAAAAAGATAAATGATTTCTAAATACAAGATAGAAATAATAATCATAGAATTGGATCATCTCAAGTTTTAGGGTCTATGGAGAACAAGTTGAAATATCTGCCAATATCAAAGGTATTTGAGGAGTGGGATTCATTCTCCTAGAAAATGGATATGGTAATATCATTAGTCTGCAAGAGCACAAAAAAACCAGCACTCATCCTCAGAGAGAAGAGAATGGGAAGGAACTCACTTGAGCAATTTACTATTATTTCCTAAGTGAAACAATCAACTTATATGAATATCTTCATACTTGAGTTTCTCCAGAGACCAATAATGTGTTGCTCCATTCTTCAGATCCTGAACTTCTACTGCTACCACTGTACGAGGGAAAGGCCTGTCTTCATGTGTTTTGTCCATCTCAGTGGGAAGCAACTCAGGAGGCAACGGGGAGTAGAGTGTGTCAGTCAGCAGAACAAACTGAAACTGCACCTGAGTGGGAAGGATAAGGCAGTGACAAGTGGGAAAGCCATTACCATTCCAGCAAGTAAGCCTCACAGACAACGTGATGTTGCTATGCCAATGGGAAAGAGGCTGAATGTGAAGTATGAGCTCAACAAATAGCTTGTGACTACCTAAAAAAGTTGGCTACCTATGATATTAAACACAGGGAACAATCCTAATTGCAGACTAAGCAATTTACAACTTTGTCTTCCTAGCTTGGAAGAGTGTTTTTATACAAACTAAAATCCCAGTAAATACATTTTGGCTGATTGAACAAAGGCTTCAGTGGAACTTATACTAGAGACCAAAAGATGGATCCAACAATGCATCTCTAGTCATCATTAATGAGAGAGGTTGGAACACACCGAAGGTTTCAATTTTAAATCCAGAGGATTACAACGACTACTCTTAGAAGCGTTTACTATATGGTAAGTGTCATGCATCATGTCATTTATCTCTTGCTACTACTCTATATTTTCACCAACAAACACTGATTAAACACTAGGTACAGCATTAAGAACAGAAAAACAAAGTCCCTGCCTTTAGTCTACTTGGTGATGAATGTGTTAGTAATTACAGTGTGAGATGGGTTTCTGAGATCAGGAGTGAAGCTGAGGTCTACTTGACCTAAGGAGAATTTAGCCCTGGGAGATAAATTTTTCCAAGTCAAGCAGTCTGTTTTCCTTCTTACTGTACACATGGTCTCTGGCTGTAATCTTAGCAATCAGGAGACAAACAGTAGGGCATAGGAAGGTTCAATCAAATGTTCGGTGTAAAATGTTGGTAGCAATTATGAAAATAGGTAACAGTTATTGTCTTTTACCATGCTCAGGCAGTATTTTTAGTGTTTTATGTACATTCTCTCTTTCATCTGTCATAACACCCCTGAGTGACAGGCTCTGTTGTCAACCTCATTTTGTGGATGAGTAAATCTGTTAACTAGGTCAGTGCAACTCGTGACACTGGACTGGTCCAAGCTATGTGGGAGCAGAGCACATGTGCTGGTGCCTTGCAGATGCTAGGAGTCAAGTCACTTAGGTGGTGAAGAGACATACAGGCTTAATAGTACAGACTTAATAGTCAAAACCTAAAGTGAAGCTGGGTACTGGTGGCTAACGCCTATAATCCTAGTTATTCAGGAGGCTGAAATCTGAGGCTTGTGGTTATAAGCCAGCTCAGACAGAGAAGTGCCCATGAGATTCATTTCCAATTAACCATTCAAAAACCAGAAAGTAGTGCTGTGGTTCATGTGGTTGAGCACTAGCCTTGAGCACAACGAAGCTCAGGGACGGAGCCCAGGCCCTGAGTTCAAGCCCCAGGAAAAATAACATGCTAATGAAAAAACATGCTAATGAAGCTAAGGCACCAGTGGTTGGGAGCTGAAGAATACAACTCAAAGCTATTCTAGCAGAAAAATCCATGAGACTCTGATCTCCAGTTAACAAGCAATAAGCTGGAAGTGGACGTGTGGCTCGGGTGGCAGAGTGCCTGCCTTGAGTAAAACAACTAAGCAGAGCTAGAGGCCCTGAGTTCAAAGCCCTAGTGCTGGTGTGCACATGCGCATGCACACATACACACAAAACTAAAGTGAAATTGAGATTTTTTCCCCCAGAAATCCAAGAAAAACATCACACACACACACACACACACACACACACATTATGCACACATTATGCACACACACATTATGCACACATATGTATGCACACACACAAAACTAAAGTGAAATAGAGTTTTTTTTCAGAGACTCAAGAGAAACATTTTTTATTAAGAGCAATTTCTAGCTCTTATCAAATACAATAAACTAAATAATAAACTAAAAACATGCATTTTAAGTTTAGTTAGTAGCTACTATGTCCTATGCACATACATTGAATAAAGTATACAGAAAGCTGCTTCACAGCATAAAGCAGATGAGTTCCCTCAAGAGAACGGTTAGTTTGGTTGCGGCTCAGCTGCGCCTGCGCATCACCCACATTCTCAGCACTTCCTTACCTTCTTCTTCAACTCCACACTGATGGCACTGGCTTCCTTCAGGTATACAGCATTGCCCCACAGCAAGTCCCGTAAAGAGGTAAACTGGTGAGACTTCCATTTCCGGAAGGCCCACTGGGCCAATTCAAACTCATGCTGTGTCCAAGGAGCTGAAAGACCAAATGAAGCATATTTAATGGTCATCTCACACTTGTAAGGAAATCACACTCCTACCTTACAGCATTTACCATGCTATTTCCCAGTTTTGTTTATTAGTAAAGCTTGCTTACTAGGTTGATTTTATAGAAGCCGTACATATATTTGAGAAAACCTTAAGTTCTATTTATTTGAAACAGTACAATAAGGAACTATATTTCCTCTTCCTTTATTTCTAAACAGACAATTTTAATATGTGACTATAATTCTTTTTTTGGCAATCATGGGGGTTAAACTCTGGGCCTGGGTGCTGTGCCTGTGCTCTTCAGCTCAAGGCAAGAGCTCTACTGCTTGAGCCACAGCATCACTTCCAGTTTTCTAGTGCTTTTCTAGGATTACAAGTGTGAGGCACCGGCCCCCGGCTTCGTGACTAGAATATTTCTGTTTTTCTTTTTGGTTGGTCATGGAGCTTGAACTCTGGGCCTAGGCACTGTCCCTCAGCTCTTCAGCTCAAGGCGAGTACTCTACTGCTTGAGCCACCTCAGATCTCAGCCTCCTTAGTAGCTAGGATTACAGGTGTGAGCCACTGGGGCCTGGCTTGGGATAATTTTGGACTTGTATTGGGCTTGAACTCAGGGCCTCACACTCACTTGGATTTTATTCTCAAGGTTGGTCCTCTACCACTTGACTCACACTTCTATTTCCAGATTTTTGCTGGTTAATTAGAGATACATATCTCAGGGAGTTTTTTTGGCCAGGCTGACCTCAAACTGTAATCTTCACATTTCATTCAGCCTCTTGGTAGGTAGGATTATACATGTACGCCATCAGTGTTTGAGTTGATCCTATTTTAAATTTTCCCAAATACATTTGATAACAGGCCATGTAGCACCATGCCTAGTCATTGGCATTTTTTTGCGTAAGCTGGCCTGAAACTGTAATCTTATTTTTATATTACAAGTAGCTAGGATTACAGGCATAAGCCACCATGCCTATACTTTTTTTCTTTCTAATACAGGAAAAAGTGTCTTATTTCACTTAGGTACTTAAAAATACATAGCTCAGTATAAAAATTAAGAGATCTTCAGAGGTTAATCTAAAGCTATGAGACTAACGAGAAGTTGTGTGAGGAACTGGAATATGAGGGTAAAGAAGAGTGATAAACCAAATGAAGTTAATCAGGATATATTGTATACATTTGGAAATGTCACAATGACCCTTACTAATAAGAAAAAAATAAAATGTGATGAATGTTCATATTATAACAACAATGAAAGCACTAATTCAGCTAAGAAATTTTGAACAATGCAAGTCAGGCAGCAGGGAGAAACAACATGATTAGACATCTGCCAGGAATGGATGCATTCCAGATGGAACTATGATTCATTCATTCCTCCCTCCCTCCTTCCCTCCCTTCCTTTCTTCCTTCTTTCCTTCCTTGCTTTCTTTTGCCAGTCCTGGGGCTTGAACCCAGGGCCTGGGTACTGTCCTAGATCTTCTTTTGCTCAGGCTAGCACTCTACCACTTGAGCCACAGTGCTATTTCTGTTTTTTTCTGTTTATATGGCACTGAGGAATTAAACCCAGGGCCTCATGTATGCTAGGCAAACACTAAGCCACATTCCCAGCCCCTTTATTTATTTATTTATTTAGTTAGTTTCTTTTGTTGGCCATGGGGTTTGAACACTGGGCTTAGGTGCTGTCCCTGAGCTCTTCAGCTCAAGGCTAGCTCTCTACCACTTGAGCCACAGCACCACCTCAGTTTTCTGGTGGTTAATAGGAGGTAAGAGTCTCAAGGTCTTTCATGCCCAGGCTGGCTTTGAACCACAATCCTCAGCTCTCAGCCTCCTGAGTAGCTAGGATTATAGGTGTGAGCCACCAGTGCCTGGCCTCTATATTTATAATTTATGTTTGCCCTGAGTTTTTATTTATTTGTTTTGTCAGCTGTGTGGCTTGAACTCAGAGCCTGGGCACTGTCCACAAGCATTTTTGCTCAAGGTGTGCGCTCTACCACTTTGAGCCACAGCACTACTTCTGGCTTTCTGTTGGTTAACTGGAGATAATTCTCATGACTTTCCTGCCCTGGGCTGTCTTTGAACCATGATCCTCAGATCTCAGCCTCCTGAGTAGGTAGAAGTATAGGTGTGAGTCACTGGCATCCACCCAGCTGCACTTTTATTTTAGATAAGCAGTGTTATCCATTGAAGAGTGGTCAAATTCAACAATATGTTCAAAATGTTGAATAACATATTGTGGTTCTAACTCTGTATTATTTTTTTCCTTTCTTTTTTATTGTTACTATAAAGGTGATGTACAGAGGGGTTTCGGTTACATAAGTCAGGTAATGAGTATAGTCAGCCTGTAATCCTAGCAAATTGGACAATGTCACCCTTTCCCTCACTGGACACATGAACTTCTTTACAGGGATCTGAGACCATGAATGTCAACTTCCCAGAGATTCATTTGTATGAGGGCTGTCCTCAGAAACCTGAAGTTCTATGGGACACTAAGAGTCCTACTGCCCCTTTGCGGACTACAACGTGGGTGCTCAGCTCTGAGCATGGGTTAAATCATCTCTAAGTTGGTTCCGTTTAAGGTCAACAGAGGAGAGGTAAAGTCTGAGAAACCCAGCTTTGATAGGTGACAAAGGATCTGAAAAAAAACCCAGAAAGTTTCATTGTCTAAACTTCACCTTCTTCCTCCTCCTCTTCCTCTTCAGTTGTTTCTGCAGCCAGGGACCGGGTCTCAACCTGCTTCTGCAAGGCCTGCAATTTACTCTCATAGTCCTGAAGGAAAACAAAGGAAATGACATGTAGGAGAGGGAGGAAATAAGAGGGAAGGAAAATGATACTGGGGAAAGTAGAGAGAGCAAAGGACAAACACATGAAAGGGAGACTAAGGAATGACACAATAATATTTACACATTGAGGAATTCCAGAGAAAGACAACACTGCAAAAGATCAAATTCACCAGTACTGCCAAAAGTTCCAATTATCTGTTTGGAAGGTGAAAAAATTAAGACTGTAGTCTGTGAAGTACTCTGTGGGTGACAAACCATCTTTATAGTGGTAGAATGAATTCTGCCTTCAGATAACCAGAAGCTCTCATCAGTATTGGACTGAAATAATTTATAGATCATATTGTTATTCAAGAGACATTTTGTTTTAAAATCTATTATGAGGATTACTAGAATTCAAATCAGATTTGTCTTTCATTTCTCCTCCTACTTCATGCATTTTCAAAAAGGGCATTATCACCTCAAAGCAGCAAAAGATTATGAGACAGAGAAAGAAAATGGAAAAAACTGTCTAGAAAGGTTATCAGATATGAAAAAAGATGGAATTTTAATGAAAATAAAACAAGCAGGATTAAAAAAGAAACTTTCACATAATGAAAATACTAAAACATGGCCTTAAGCGTAATACCTTATGATCTACTCAGACATCCTGCTTTGGTAGCCCAGGAGTGGCGCAGTCCCTGGCTGTCAGGAAATGGACCTGCACCACTGTCAGAACCTTCCACTCCCCCACATCAACCTTCCACTTAACCAGAGGGTTACAGATGGCCACTTCAGTAAGCTCCATGACAAAAGGAGCTCCCATCGGCAATGCTAACACCACAAACATTCTCCAAGCCCCTAGCCACGCTGACAAACTGGATTCACAAAGGAAGTCTTCTTTGTTTTTTAAGGCTAGCACTCTACCACTTGAGCCACAGCACCACTTCCGGCTTTTTCTGTTTATATGGTACTGAGGAATTGAACCCAGGGCTTCATGCATGCTAGGCAAGCACTCTACCACTAAGTCACATTCCCAGCCCAGGAAGCCTTCTTTCTTTAGTGGGGCTGGCAATAATCAAAACCAAGAGCCAATGATACAGGTTTATATAATATTACAAATTATGTACAGTGTAGTAAAGAAAAAAGGAAGAAAAGGAAATGGAAAGGAGGAAACAAAAAGCAAAGAGAAGGGAACAGGAGGGTAGGGAAAAAATTAAGCTAGTAAGTAAAATGATTTGAGTTTAGTCCTTGCGCTTTATCTTATAATTTTAGAAAATTCAGTCTTCTCTAAACCTTATTTTCTTCATTTTTTTCTTTTTTTTTATTGTGAAAATACCCTACAGAGGAGTTCCAATTACATGGGCAAGATAATGAGTACATTTCTTATCAAGCATTGTAGCCTCTTCCTTTGTTTCTCCTTCCCATCCCTTCCCATCCTCCCCTTACTCCCCTATTTTCTTCATTTTTAAAATGAAAATTTTAGCCAGGCGCCGGTGGCTCATGCCTGTAATCCTAGCTACTCAGGAGGCTGAGATCTGAGGATCACAGTTCAAAGCCAGCCTGGGCAGGAAAGTCTGTGAGACTCTTATCTCCAATTAGCCACCAAAATATGAAGTGACACTATGGCTCAAGTGGTAGAGTGCTTGCCTTGGGCTGAAGAGCTGAGGGACAGCACCCAGGCCCAGAGTTCAAGCCCCACAACTGGCCAAAAAAAAAAATTTAGGCCAGGAATTGGTGACTCACACCTGTCATCCTAGATAATCAGGAGGCTGAGATCTAAGGATTGCAATTTGAAGCCAGCCAGGGCAGGAGAGACCGTGAGACTCTTATCTCTAATTAATCACCAGAAAACCAGAAGTGAAGCTGTGGCTCAAAGTGATTAGAGTGCTAGTGTTAAGCACAAAAGCTCAGGGACAGTGCTTTGGCCTTGAGTTCAAGCCCCAGAACTGGCTAAATAGATTTTAGCATATGATCCACCTACCACATCAAACAGCAGGATGGACAAATATATGAACCATCTAAAAATGATAGGCAATCTTTAAAATCTCTTTCATTTAGTGTATGTACACACACTGGTATTGGGGCTTGAACTCAGGGCTTGGGCACTATTCTTCAACTATTTTGCACAAGGATGGCACTCTACCTCTTAAACTATGGCTTTTCTGTTTTTTTCTGGAGTTAATTGGAGGTAAGAGTCTCATGGAGACATTTTGTCTGGGCTGGTTTCAAATTGCAATCCTCAGATCTCAGCCTCCTGAGCAGCGAGGATTATAGGCATGAGCTACCAGCGCGTGGCTAAAAATAAATGTTTTAAGCCTGGTGGCTACTTAGGAAGCTGAGACATAAGAATCACCGTTCAAAGCCAGTCTGGGCAGAAAAGTCTGTGAGAAAACCAGAGTGGAGCTGTGGCTAAGTAGTAGAGCACTAGTCTTGAGTGAAAGAGCTAGACTACTTGGGAAAATGGCAGATTCCAAGTTAGGAGTAAGAAAAGTATAAGGTAAGCCTGGAATATCTTTTTTTTTTTTTTTTTTTTTCTTTTTGGGTGCCATGCTGAGGTGGGGCTTGAACTTAGGGACTGGGTGATATTTTTTTTTTCTTTAAAGTTAGCACTCTACCACTTGAGCTATGGCTCCACTTTCAGCCTTTCGGTAGCTTACTGGAGATGACAGTCTCATACTTTCATGATTGGGCTAGTTCCAAACCATGATCCTCAGATCTCAGCCTCCTGAGTAGCTAGGGTAACACACATGAACAACCAGCACCCAACTAGCCTGGACCTCTGAGACAATTTCTTTTTCTTTTTTTTGTCAGTCGTGGGGCTTGAACTCTGGGACTGGGCGCTGTCCCTCAGTTCTTCAGCTCAAGGCCAGCGCTCTACCACTTGAGCTACAGCGCCACTTCTGGTTTTCTTGTGGTTAATTGGATATAAGAGTCTTATTGATTTTCCTGTCCAGGCTGGCTTTGAACCACAATCATCAGATCTCAGCCTCCTGAGTAGCTAGGATTACAGGCGTGAGCCACAAACGCCCGGCTCTGAGGCCATTTCTCAATGGCACTGCTCCCATTGGACATTAAATGTGAAAACAATAGAAAAAGAATTCGGAATATTGAGTACAGAACTAATCTATGAGTCCACAGTGAGAATGAAAGGTGATGAAGATGTGAGGAAAAAGAAACCCTTTTACACTCTTAGTAAGGGAATGTAAACTAGCATCAATATGGAAATCGGTAGAGGCACCTCAAAAACCAACAACATACCTTCCTTATGACTCCACCATAACACTATTGGGTATCTATTTGAAAGAGTATAAATCAATATATAAGAAAGATACCTGCCTAACTCATGTTTTGGAAGCACTGTTCATAATAGCCAAATAGTGGAAACAAACCAAGATGATCAATAACAGATGAATGGAAAAAGAAGGTACGGTACATATATACATCATAGTATACTACACAGCTATAAATAAAATCATGTCATCTGCAGGAAAATGGAAAGAATTGGGGAGCATTAAGTTGAGTGAAATATGTCAAGCTCAAAAAGTCAAATATGTTTTCTTATATGTGGAAGGTAGGCTTAAAAGACATACACATTCATAGATATGTACATACATATGTATTTACATATGTAAATACATACATGCACTCAGAGCACACTGAAACTATTGAGGAGGATAATGAGAAGGGGAAAGGAAAAAAAAGAGGGTCAATAACTTTGAAATACATTCCAATTCATAGGAAATCACAATGAAAGCTGTTTGGTCAACAGGGGATTGAGTAGGGGCTGAGAAAGAGAAAGCAATCGTTTTTCTGAGCAAAATATAACAAAAACATTCATGAAATATCATGGTAAACCCTATTGGGGCAACTAATATACAGTTTAAGAAAAGGACAAGAAAGTAAAACAAGCTCTGTTGGATGGGGTGGTGAGTACTAGCTGGAGGCGGTTTGGTTAACAAGAGGGGTGAATGAGGGTGAATATAATGAGCTGTTTGCATGTATGAAAACAGAACAATGGAACCTGTTGAAATTGTTAAGAAGGGGTAGGGAGTAAAGGAGAATGATAGTATGTGTTGTACACATGTGCACAAATGAACTTCACGAGGCCCAGGACCATTAGTCTTGACTACTGAAGCAACTGTCCCATAACACTCTTCCAGACCAAACTCACAGTCATGCATTGAGGTTTTAATCATTCTCAAAAGTTAACTATCCACTAGACGAAGGGTTAACAGTGTGTACCTATAAGCTAGACCCGGCCTACTGATAGTTTTGTGAATACGGTTTTAATGGAACACAATCACCTCTGTTCATTTGCAGGTTGCTTATGGCTACTTGCCAGCTATCACAGCAGAGATGAGTGACTATGAGATATAACACATGTCTGGAAAGATGAAAATACCACTGAGGGTTGGTGTTGGAGGTTAGTGGTACAGTACTTAGTATGCATAAGGCTCTGGGTTCAATGCCTATCAGTTTAAATTGACTGACTCATTCATTATTATTTTTTTGTTGGTGGTCATGAGGCTTGAACTCAGGGCCTGGGTATAAGCTTTTGTGCTCAAGGCTAGCATTCTACCACTTTGAGCCACAGCACCACTTCCAGTTTTCTGGTGGTTAACTACAGGTAAGACTTGTGGACTTTCTTGCCTGGGCTGACTTTGAACTACCATCCTCAGATCTCAGCCTCCTGAGTAGCTAGGAGTACAGGCATGAGCTACTGGTACCTGGCTTAGATCAGTGGTTCTTAAAGAATGCCTGGAATATTACCTGGAAACTTCTGAGAGAGGCAAAGTACCAGGTCTCATCCCAGACCTACTCAGCCATTGTGAGGGTCAGCCCAGAGTCTGAGTTCTCACATAATCCCCCAGGGGACTCTGATTACAGTGTGAGAACCATTCTCCCATTCTACATATATAGATGGCTGGCGCAGTAAACAAGACGCTTATTCTAGGTGCATTCACATCCTAGTAGGAGAAACAGACAAGTACACAGAGAGGATAATTG